AATTATTAGAATTTATTAAGAATGAATTATTTTATTATTATAAATTGATAGAAACAATTATTAATAAGAAATATTAAATAAAAAATAATTTTAAAGTTTACATGGAAAATAACCTATTTTTGCAAATTTCATTCACTAAATATGAGAAAGAGAAATCATTAAATTGGATAAAACCTTATGAAATATAAAGTACCTGTGATTAACTTTTAGTTTTTCTTATCACTTTCTTCCTGTTTTCTTCACAAATATTAAAAAATAAGCAATTAAAATTGGCACTTTGCTTATTTTCACGATTTTCAAATGTAAATAACTTCTGCCCAGAAAAATGAAAAATTACGAAAATTGGGCAATAATTATTTGATCACTAGATACACTCACTGGAAAAAGATTTTCTTTGGTCCCGAAGCTATTTCTCGAATTAATTAACTTTAAACTTTTGACTATTTTTATCAGGTTAATACATGTGTTTTTTAAAGGACGAAGTTAGCTCTTCTTGTTTAATCGTTTTGAACCAACTTCAGTTTTAAAGAAATCACATGTATTAACCTGATAAAAATAGTAAAAAGTTTAAAGTTAATTAATTCGAGAAATAGCTTCGGGACCAAAGAAAATCTTTTTCCAGTAAGTGTATCTAGTGATGAATTAATTATTGCCCAATTTTCGTAATTTTTCATTTTTCTGGGCAGAAGTTATTTACATTTGAAAATCGTGAAAATAAGCAAAGTGCCAATTTTAATTGCTTATTTTTTAATATTTGTGAAGAAAACAGGAAGAAAGTGGTAAGAAAAACTAAAAGTTAATCACAGGTACTTTATATTTCATAAGGTTTTATCCAATTTAATGATTTCTCTTTCTCATATTTAGTGAATGGAATTTGCAAAAATAGGTTATTTTCCATGTAAACTTTAAAATTACTTTTTATTTATTATTTCTTATTAATAATTGTTTCTATCAATTTATAATAATAAAATAATTCATTCTTAATAAATTCTAATAATTTTTTTACGTTTTTATAGTAAATGATGTGTTTTCTTTAATATTTTCTAATAGATGAAAAAGTGTCAGTTTTTACGACTTCATATACTTTAGATGCTTATTTTACAATAAATATAAAAAATATTTAAAAAATTCTTTTTGTTCGGTGATCCTAATATCTTTAAAATCATTCCTGCAAAATATTACAATTTTTTAAAATTAGTCGGCAACGACTTTAGTCGAAATATAATGGAATGACTCAAAAGGAAATTTGAATATCCAAAATATTCTGTTTACAATTTTACATTCATGGAAAATTTTGTATCTGACAAAAATTGAGTAATTAACCTTTTATCCTCGTCTGTACACGAATCCTGGGTCCTAAATTTGTCTAGCACTTCAGGATCATAAGAAAAGTTTTTGGGAGTTTCCAAAATTTTTATCCTCTTTAACCTGAGGCGCTAGAGCTATTAATTCAGTTACTAATATTTGGACACAAAAATTGTCTCCTTTCTGTGGACCAATCTCGATAATCATTTCTTTTAAGTCACTTTTCATTAGTTCCTATATAGTTATGCTTTACAGTATTTTTAACTTTATCTTATAGGCCTCTAGATTCCTTTGTTCCCAGAATGAGGTAAAAGACAAGGGGAAATTTCAAAGTATGGGTTGAACGTGAAAATTGAGAAAAGGTCTTTATCACGACGCAGATACTTGAAAAGGGAAGAGCAACGGAGAAGATGAAGCTGTAGGAGGGAAATGCAGAAGATTTTAGGTTTTATCCTTGGATCCTGAAATTTGCATACAGAGCATCTGTCACCAGCTACTTATTGTTAGCTGGCTTTGGATATTTTCAAGTCGAGATATCTCTTGGCTTGAATCTATACCATAATGGAGACCATTTGTATGGTAAGTGTTAGGGGTGCTTATTGACAAAATCCGAACTTTGATTCTATATTTCTGCGCTATGTTCCTGGACGTTAAATTATTATAGATACTCAAAAAAATGTTTTATTAAATTTATTTACAAATTTCTTCAAAAGTCAAATTATTCGAAAACATCAATAGCTTTATTTAAAATAAATATTTAATCATTTTTTTTTTCATTGGGTAAGATCAAAAATTTTAAATTCAAACCTTTTTTGAAATTAAACAATTTAAAAAAAAATTGTTACAAAACATAAAGAAATGGATTACTCCGAGTCGAAGACTCGGAGTAATCCATTTCTTTATGTTTTGTAATAATTAAAGATGACCGACTGACAAAATAATTAGTTTATAATTATAAAAATGTTGTTACTATAATTTTTTTAAAAATATTTGTATTATTTCAATTCAATTAGTACATTTTCTAGAATTTTTAACTGAAATTCTACTTTAAATCAATAACATCAATTATTATTCAATTAAACTTTTTCAAAAAAAATTAATTCTACAGAATTGTTAGTTAAAAGTACGAAAAACAATAATTTAATTCTACGAGAAATCAATTATTTAAATACAAAAATAAATAATATTGAATGTTTCTTAAAATTTAATTTTTATGAAGAATTTTATTAACAACTTTTGAAAATATTTAATTTCTTAGGAATTTAATTAAAATTTTAATGAAATTTATTATATTAAAGAATTTTATAACAATTTTTGAAAATAATAATTGAAAACTTTTTGAAGAATTTTATTAAATTTTCTAAAAATAATTGAATTCCTGAGAAAAATTTAAATAATAATTTTTGAAAAAAAAAATTCAAATTGAATTCATGAGAAGAATTTTATTAAAATTTTTGAAAATAATTGACTTCAGAAGAATTTTTAAAAAAATTTTGACAATAATTTAATTCTTGAGAAGAATTTACCTATCTATTTATAAAAATATACTTTAATTCTTAACGAGAATTTTTAAAAAATTTTTAAAATAATTTAATTTCTGCAAAGTATTTTATTACTTTTCAAAAGAATTGAATTTTTACGATGAATTTTGATATTTATCAAAATAAATGAATTTTGGAAAAGAATTTTATTGAAATTCCTTAGAATAATTGATTTTAAGGGAAGAATATATGCGATTTTGTTATTTATCAAGCTATAATTATTTATAATTAAATTAAAAAAATATCAAAACTTTTTTTAATAATTGAATTCTTTTGGGAAATTTTATTAGAATATAGTATAGAATATTGAAAATCATTGAAAATAATTGAAATTTTGCCATGAATTTTATTAAAATTTTGGAAAATAATTGAATATTGTCGAAAAATATTTTGCTATTTATTAACAAAGACAATTGAAATTTTGACAATTTTTTTTTAATGTTTTGAAAATAATTGAATTTCTGCATAGAATTTGATTAACTTTAAAAATAATTAAATTCTTCTGATAAATATTGTCATTTATGAAAATAATTGAAATTTGCAATGAATTTTATTAAATTTCCTGAAAATAATTGAATTTTGCAATGAATTTTATAAATTTCCTGAAAATATTTGAATTTTGCAATGAATTATATTAAAATTCCTAAAAGCAATTGAATTTTGTCGAAAAATATTTTACTTTTTATTAAGAAAGACAATTGAAATTTTGACTTTTATTTTTAATGTTTTCAAAATTATTGAATTTCTGCAAAGTATTTTATTACTTTTCAAAAGAATTGAATTCTTGTGATGAATTTTGATATTTATAAAAATAATTGAATTTTGCAATGAATTTTATTAAAATTCCTGAAAATAATTGAATTCTGCAATGAATTTTATAAATTTCCTGAAAATAATTGAATTTTGCAATGAATTTTATAAATTTCCTCAAAATAATTGAATTTTGTCGAAAAATATTTTGCTATTCATTTATAAAGACAATTAAAATGTTGACAATTTTTTTTAATGTTTTAAAAATTATTGAATTTCTGCAAAATATTTTATTATTTTTCTAAAAAATTGAATTCTTGTGTATGAATATTGATATTTATCAAAATAATTGAATTTTGGAAAAGAATTTTATTTCAATTCCTTAGAATGATTGATTTTATGGGAAGAATTTATGCGATTTTATTTTTTATCAAGATAATTGAATTCTTTTGCAAAATTACTTAAAAGTTTTTGAAAATAATTGATTTTCTGCGACGAATTAAATGTTATTCATGAAAATATTTGAATTATTGCCACGAATTTTATTGTTTTATTGAATAATTGAATGTTTTTTAAAATTGAATTCTTTCCTTAAATTTTAATAAAATTTTTAATAATAATTGCATTTTTCAAGGAATTCATTTAAAATTTTATTAAAAATATTTGTAATTCTGCGATGAAAATAATTGAATTCGTAAATGAAAGTTTATTATTTATGAAAATAATTGCATCTTTTCGTAGAATTGTATCAACAAGTTTTTTCTATAAATAAATCTGTTGATAAATTTTATGAAAATAGTAAATATTTAAAAACATTGAATTGCGAAAAACTTTTAAAATTAATTAAAATGTTGCAAAGAATTTTATTTAAATTTTTGAAAATAATTGAATTTTTGGCAAAAAATCTTGCTATTTATAAAAATAATTGAATTCGTGCAAAGTAGTTTATTAAATTTTGTTTAAATAATTGAAGTTTTGCCAAGAATTTAATTAAAATTTTTGACAATAATTGAATTCTTGAGAAGAATTTTGATATTTATCAAAATAATTGAATTTTGGAAAAGAATTTCATTAAAAATCCTTAAAATAATTTCTAATTTGAATAAAATATTTATTTAATTTTCTTATTTGCGGTTCAAATACAGATTTACTAGATAATAGCAGACAAGTTAATAGCATTTAATTGGATTAAATAAATCTCATTTGCTTCTAAATACCTTTTCTTTAGCGTGCAGTAGTTCAGTTCGTAGCCATATGAACGAAACGATGAGAATTTAAACTAACATGAATTTAGTTTGAAAATATCTTAAAAATTAAGTTAAATATAATAAAAGAATATTTATAATAATTATTTAATTTTAAATTCCAGTCGGTAAATTTGTTGAGGCGCAGGAAGGTTGGCGGCACTGCTTATCGTGAACAAGTGGTCACGTGAGCAATATTGAGTAATGTCAAACATAACAATGCGAACATGGCCGTGTCGTATTACGAAAGAACAGACAGTTTTAGGGGAAGTTGCTCGGAAAATAATACTGTTCGAGCAAAGGAAAACGAGGCTTCAAAAACCTCGTTCCTTTCCTTTTAGCAGTGGATTCAACATGGTCTACAATATCACTTGGATAATTCCCAAGCTCCGTAATCCGTCAAGACTGTGGAACATGGCTAGTACTATAACCTTTGCTGCTGTAGGAATTTTCTCTAAAATCTTTATCGGTAAGTGCTTTCAAACGTCGTTGCTCGTTGGTGTTATGTTTCTTATAAAGTGTCAAACGAAATTTCATCCCTGAAAAATTCTCTGCTTCCTTCAAGAATGGTTTAACAAAACGACAATTTACAACAAACACATTATTCAAAGGGCATTGGATTCTCGGCCGAAAAATGTACCTCTTATTACAGTTTCAAATCATCACAGTTGCTTTGATGATCCAGGTATATGGGGTAAGTTTTGCTTTCGAATCATTTTAACACTCTTACACTTATGTCACTCTGAGAAATATTTTAAACTGTCTGTCGATTTTTCCTGTTTAATTACTCTTTTGTTCTTTATAAAGTTGTCGTCGTGAACAACTTGAAAGTTTTTTAAACGAATAATAATTAAAATTTCTGCCATAAAATAACATTCTAACAAGGATTTTAAAATCATTTTTTAGAATCATTTCTAATATACATTTGTTTTATTATCAAATAATTTATTTTTCATCATCAAATTTTATTCTGTAAATTAATTGAAAAGTGTGCAATAACGTCTTAGTTTAAATTTCACTTTACCCATTGTAATTAAATTTTTAAAAAAACATTTATTAACAACGAGTTTTCAATTTAAAAACTTTTTTGACACAACCAAGATGACATAATTTTTTAAAGTTTTTTATTAGGAAAAATTACCAAAAGATTAATTTTTTTAATCATTTTTATGAGAAAACTAAGATGCTTGCCCATAAAATATGAGAACAAAATACTTTCGAGAAAACGAAAAAAAAAATTTTTTAAACACTTTCTTTTTATTTTCTTTAGAACCCACAATGACAAAAGAATTTATTTTATTCAAATTAAACTACTTAATTAATCAAATGTAATTATCAAACTTAAAGGTTGCCACAGGTCAGGGATATCAGGGAGAAGTCAGAAATTCAATTATGTTTAAACATTTTTTTAAATTCTCGCGAAAAATTAATATAAAAAAATTTTAATAGGATTCTTAACAAAATTTCAATTATTTTCAAAAATTTTCCTAAATTCAATGATTTTCAACATTTAGTAATTTTTATAAATTTTTCCTAAAGAATTCAATTAATTAAAAAAAAAATGTAATAAAATTCTACGCAAACATTTAATTATTTTCATAAATAAAAAAAAAAAATTCAAAGATCTTCAATTATTTACAAATGTTTTATAAATTCCTTCTTAATAATTAAATTATTTTCATAAATAATAAAATTCTTCTCAGAATTTCAATTATTTTTGATACAATTTTAATTAAAGTCTACGAAAAATGTAATTATTCTAAAAAATTTTATTAAAATTTGTCAAAAGAATTCAATTTTAAAAACAATTCAATTATTCAATAAATTATTTATTTTTGTATTAAAATAATTTAATACACGTAGAATTTTCTATAATAAAAATTGTGGCTTATTTTCAAAAATTGCGACTTTTTCTATTTTTCTTCCAAATATTGCAATCATTTCTTAAGATAAATTAAATTTTTCAAATTATATCTATAATAAAAATATTTTTGAGTTAATGGAAATTTTGTAAAATTTAATTGAAAATAATTAATTTTTTTCTAGTATTTTGTTACAATTTTTGGAAAATCAACTTTTGAAGAGTTTGAATTGCAAATTTTTGAAAATAATTGAATTATCAAAAATATTAATGAAAAATCTTTAAATGTAAATTTAAAAATGAAAACTAATGAAAATTAGCTTCTAATTTTTTTAAATTCAATATTTTCAGTATTTTCAATTACATATTTTCGAAAATTCAAATACATAAAAAAAAAGTATTTTAAAATTATTTTTAACATTTTAGAGAAAAAAATCATGTTCAAAATTTTTAAATTAAAATTCTTTAAAAAAATTAATTAGTTTTTTTTAAATTTATACAAAAATTCTTTTAAGAAATTCAATTATTTTCTGAAAAATGACATTAAAATATTTTTAAAAACTAATTCTTCGAATTCTTCTATCATATTTTTTTAAGATTCAATTATCTTCGAACAAAGTTTTTGTATTTAAATAATAAAATTGAATTATTCTAGAAGAACTTTCGGAAAATTATTAAAAATAATTGATTTAGAGATAAAGTTTAGTTGAAAATATTATTAAATATTATAGATTTTATTTTATAATTTTTAATTTAATTTATATTTGAGATTTTTATTTTGGGAATTATTTTAAAATTTTGTACTTTAGAAAAATATATTTTGGAAATATTAATTTTTGAAAATTTTTCTTGGCAATTTTGGATTGAAAATTTTTTTTTGATACTTTTGTCTATAAATTAATTTTTCAGCATAAAATAATAAATTAATGCCATTTTTTTTGACGTTAATTTTTATAACTTTTTACTAAAATCCTTTTTCGATATTTTCAATATTTTCAATTTGTTTAAATAATTTACTATTTTTGCTTTGAAACTGACTTTTAAAAAATCTACAGAATTCTACACTTAACAGGCTTCGTCTCGTCTGTCAGCAAAAAAAAAGTAATAAAAAGTAGCTCTGAGACTGAAAAAAAGGGCAAAATAGTAGAGAACTTAAAATTATTAAAATGTAAATTAAAGAAAATTGATTTTATTAAACTTTAATTTAAATAATTAATTTAATTAAAAAATATTTTCTGTATACTACTTTACAAAAAATTAATAATAGTGAACATTAATTCAAATTTTGTTAGATTAATTTTAAAAAATGATTAACGAGTAATTTTTTCCTTTGGCAATTATGCAAGTCGTAAAAATTAAATCACATAAATTATACAACAATTACAATTTTTCACATAATTATCTAAAAAAAAAAACTTTAAAATTAATTTTTTTCTGAAAAGAAAAATAATTGTTATATTTAAAAATTAAATTTTACGTAACTGTTTGGGAATTTCTTTTATCTAAACAATGCCTTTATATATTGTTAAGTGAGTGGAATATACAAAGTAATTGATATCTTTTACCATTCACTTGTGACATGATAAAATAATTCTAATAATTAAAATACATATTCACTACATTTTTTTTTATCGAAATTTTTCTGAATTAATCAAAACAGAAAGTTAGAATTTTCTAATATATGTATATTTGATAAAAATTAAAAAATTTAATTGTGCATTTGAAATTTAATTATGGATTTGAAAGTTCTCAAAGAATTTTTTCAAAAATTGTTAAAAATAATTGATTTAAAGAATTACAATTAAAGAAATTCGTAAATGTAATAGAACATTTTTTTGAGTATCTAATCATTTTTAGAGTGAATCAGAATATTCTTTAGAGTCAAGGAAAAAGTCAAAATTTTGTCTGGAACTCAGGGAAAAACAAAATTCAATTTTTGTGGCAAATATAAAAGTTTCAACTAATTATTTTTTTTATTTATAAAATTTGTATTGAACTAAAAATTGTGTCGCAATTGTATTCTACAGTTTAAATTCACATTGTCTTTAAGATTTTTTGCGCACTATTATAATGTAGCTTACTTTGCTCTTATCACTGGAATTTATTTGTTGCTTTTTAAACGTCAACATTATAATTTCTTGAATATGCATATGTTTCCTGTGTGCTTTAAAAAATGCATTGATTGATATAAGTAATGAATCTTTTTTACGACCTTTTCCATTGAATTGTCGTGAAATTTTCAAATATTAAAAATTTTTAAAACTAACTTTTAATAACATTACACAACCTTCAAGTTACTAGGAAACTTAGAAAATATTGTCGAAGAAAAACTTTATTGAACTATTACACTTACTGCCGTCTCTTTACTACTATCTTGTAATGTACATAATAATGATCAATTTACATAAAAAATTATGAAAAAAAAAGTAATTTCAAAATGGCGAAGATATGAGAATTTACGTAAATGTATAATCGTCATAGCGTTTTTTTTAAACTTTTATACATTATAAACTATTTTTTATAATAAAAAATCATTTATCATAAATTTCATTTGACGTAAATCGTAAAATTTGTAAAATTTGTCATTTGACCAAAAATTTGATATAAATTTCCCGACGTTATTGCACGTTATTAAATTATTAGAGATATTTTAACGCAATAATTATTTGTTTACTGTTAATTCTTGTACATCGAACGTTTTAGGTAATAAAATGAATACAATTAAAATTTAAAAGCATACGATTCAAAATGTAGTTTAATTGTAGTGTTCTGTTATATTATTTTTAATCTAAACTGAAAAAAAAATTGTCAATTGTTTTAATAATTTTTTTCAGTTAAGAAGCCGAGGTTTTCAAAATTTAAATGTTTGTTTTATTTTTTAGTCTATTTGGTCGGTTCGTTGAAGATTTTTTCTTTGAATCGCGTGTTTCCATTCTTCACAGACAAATAAAATCTTTTCTTTCTCAGACTATTGCCGAAAAACGATCGAACGAAAGAATTTAAGAAAGAAAAATGTCTGAACCCATTTAGCAACTCTGGACCTGAGGTATTTGCTGAGTCGCCGAAAAGTAAGGTGGTCCCTGGCAGCACATGACATTTGTTTCACAAATGTGTGGCACTCATACTTCTTTATGCTTGGGAAATGCATACCAGTCATCAGGGGGAATGGAATTTTCCAGGATGCGGTAGATTTCTGCATCGAGAAACTATCCTCCGGCGAGTGGGTTCACGTCTTCCCTGAAGGCAAAGTCAATATGCTCAAGGAGAATTTAAGGTTTATACACTTGCCACAATTTTATCTATTACACGCTGGGAAAAATTAGTCGCTTGTTTTCGTCGACTTTTTAGAAGACTCTTGGATTTAGTGGAAAAGTGTTATACTTTTCAAAATCACTCATCAAGTTCTGAAAACTTGACAGTGACAAATTGACAATTCCCGCTTTATTGAGGAATTTAATTTTCGTTCTTACTTCCACAGTGAAGAAAACGTCGCATGATACTGTTGCAAAACAGTACATTTTGTTTACAAGGAAGTAAAAGATTATATAGATCACAAATTCAATTATTTTCAAAAATTTTAGTAAATAAAATTCTTGGCAAAATTTCAATTATTTTCACAAATTTCACAGAAATTCAATTATTTACAAGTATTTTATAAATTTTTTCGCAATAATTCAATTATTTTCATAAATAATACAATTTTTACAGGGATTCAATAATTTTCGTCAATTAATAACAAAATTCTTTTTAGAAATTCAATTATTTTTAACACAATTTTAATAAAATTCCTAGTTAAAAAATTTGTTGATAAAATTCTTGATGAGAATTCAATTTTAAAAAATATTCAATTATTAAATAAATTATTTATTTTATATTTAAATAATTGAATTCTAATAAAATTTTTTAATAAAAATTGATTTCAAAATGAATTTTAGTTTAAAATTTTATATTATAATTGCATATTAAAAACACAAGATCGTGCATTTTTAGAAATAATTGAATTTTAAAATAATTTCAAATTAAAATCTTTGAAAAATCTGAATTTTTCATATTTTCAACTTACAATTCTGTGTAATTAATTTTTTTGAAAAAGTAATTTTTAAAAAATTAAATTGTAAACAAATGAATTTGAAAATTTCAAAAATTATTAAAAATAACGAATTTATAGAAGAAATTTAGTTAAAACCACTAAAAAAATTTTTAACTTTAGAGAAGTTACAAATTATTGCAAGAATTCAATTATTTTCATAAATAATAAAATTCTTTTTAGGAATTCAATTATTTTCATAAATAATTCTTGAAAATTTTATTAAAAATTGATCAAAAGAATTCAATTATTTAAAAAAAATTTTGATTAAATTCTTTATGAGAATTCAATATTGAGAAATATTCAATTATTAAATAAATTATTTATTTTGTATTTAAATAATTGAATTCTAGTAAAATTTTCTAAAAAAAATTAAAATCTTTGCGAAAATCTGAATTTTTCATTTTTTTAACTTACAATTCTGTGTAATTAATTTTTTTGAAAAGTTTAATTGCACTTTTTTTTGAATTATTTGAAGTTTTTATTTTCTAATATATATATATATATATATATGAATTAATAATTGAAAAATTAAATTCTAAGCAAATGAATTTGACAATTTAAAAGAAAAATTTTAAAAATTATTTAAAAAAATGGATTTGTAGAAAAATTTGAGTTAAAACCACTTAAAAAAATTTGTAACTTTAAAGAAGTTACAAATTATTGTAGGTATTCAATTATTTTTAAGAATAATAAAATCCTTCGCAGAAATTTAATTATGTTCAAAAATTTTTTAAAATTCTCGTCAAAATTTCAATTATTTTTATAAATAATAAAACTCTTGTCCAAAATTCAATTATTTTTAAAAAATTTAATAAAATTCTTGGTAAAATTTCAATTATTTTCAAAATTTGTAATAAAATACTCGTCAAAATTTCAATTATTTAAAAAATTCTAATAAAATTTTTATCAAAATTTCATATATTTTCAAAAATTTTAATGAAATTTTTGGCAAAATTTCAATTATTTTCAAAATTTGTAATAAAATTCTCGTCAAAGTTTCTATTGTATTTAAAAATTGTTATTAAAATTTTTGTCAAAATTTCAATTATTTAAAAAATTTTAATAAAATTCTTAACAAAATTTCATTTATTTTCAAAAATTTTAATGAAATTTTTGGCAAAATTTCAATTATTTTCAAAATTTTTAATAGAATTCTCGTCAAAGTTTCTATTATATTTAAAAATTGTTATTAAAATTTTTAGCAAAATTTAAATTATTTTCAAAAATTTTAATAAAATTTTTGTTAAAATTTTAATTATTTTTAAAACTTTTAATAAAATTCTCGCCGAAATTTCAATTATTCAATTATTTTTAATACAATTTTTTAATTAAAGTTCTCAAAAATGGTAATTATTCTTAAAAATTTTATTAAAATTTGTTGATAAAATTCTTTATGAGAATTGAATTTTAAGAAACATTCAATTATTTAATAAATTATTTATTTTTGAATTTAAATAATTGAATTATCGTAGAATTTTTAATAGAAACTGATTTCAAAATGAATTTCAATGAAAATTTTAGATAATAATTGAATATTGAAAGCAATGTAGCGTGAATTTTTAGAAATAATTGAATTTTGAAATTATTTTTTTTCAAAAAGTTGAATTGAATTTTTTTTTACATTATTTTACGTTTTTATTTTCTAATACTTATTTATTTCATTGAAGAATTTACGAATAGTTGAAATTTCGTAAAATTGAATATTGTAAAGAAATGGATTTGAAAATTCTAAAAGATCTTTTTCGAGAATTCTTGAAAATAATTGATTTAAAGAAGAATTTTAGTTAAAAATTCTTGATTATAATAATTGAATTGATAATGATTTTTATCACTCGGTTATCTTCATGTTTTATAGTTATGAAAAAATTTAATTTACAGTTTTAAGTAAAATTTTCTCTTATTTTATTCGGACTGATTATATTTTTGTTAGCAATTGATCCGTAATTTTTCATTTTTGGTCCATAAAGTCCGTATTTTTAAATACTTTCACTGATTTGAGCCCTGAATTTGCCTTAACAGAAATATATTCAAAAAAGGAATTCAGAAGTATTTAAAATTTTCGTCTTTCTATTGATGATGAAATAATTTCTAATACCTTTCTATTCAAGCCTTCTTACCGCCGTATCCGTTTAGTAAGGAAGATGAGAAAGTAAATTCACAGCGAAAGCGTTGTGCAAATAAATGAAATTCATTAATAATGATAATTTCTACTGTTTAGGAATCAAATTTTCCATGATTTCAAATTATATAAGTGACGTGTCGCGAAGAAAGAGGCCTAAGAAGCAAAATCTTATTGTAAAAAAATATAGGAAAAAAATAAGGGACCCCGCAGAAAATTTAATAGTTTTGGGGCCCAGTCGAGTTTCTTAAATACATTTTAAATTTTAAGTTTCAAGAAAACTGTTAAATTTGAAGAACTTATAGGAAAATCGACTGAGACCCAAAACGTCTCGTTTATTATCGCCTTTTTTTCTATAATTTCTGCTAAAATCGTAGAGTATTTTCAAAACTTGGTAAATTAATTAATTTTGATTGGTTTCGATTAACTTGGTAAAATATCGGTTTTTAAAATATCCAAGAGTTTTCGATTAGTGGCTTAAAATATAAGAAACTAATTTTTGCCCGTAAAGTGTATTACAAACATTCGTAAAATGACTCTGGCCAAGAATAAATTCAATTAAAATACCTCGAAATAATGATTATTCACATTCCATTCTAATTCATTTTCCTATTTTAAGAAAGAAAAGATGCCAAAGTACCGCGACCCACTTTTAACCATGAGATTAAAATAAGTTTCTATTACAGGTATAAATGGGGCATTGCAAGGCTCATCCTTGAATCGCCAGTGATGCCTCTAGTCGTTCCCGTCTATCATCTAGGAATGGATGATATTCTTCCGAACGAGCCACCCTACATTCTCAAAACGGGCAAAAAAGTTACAATGTATTACGGAGAACCAATAGACTTTAGCGATATGCTAGCTGAGCTTCAAGCAACCAAAGTTAGTGAGACCGAAGCCAGAGTATTAATCACCAATCGTGTTCAAGATGAACTCAATAAGTAAGTTTCTATTTTTCCTAAAATCATAGGCTCACCATTTTTATTTCAGAATCAATACCTCCATCTTTGTTTTCTTTAAAAATAAAATAATAAATTAAAAATAATAATTTTCAGCCGTTTAGAAATCTGAGCGAAATCTCTTAAATATATACTAAATTTAAAAAAAACTTCTTTAAACTTAAATACTTAATCACTGACTTCAAGAATCTCACAAAACGTAGTTATAAACATTTCTAAAAAAAATATTCCTCCATATTGAATCCGCCATCTTTAATTCTAACAATCCGGATTCATAATCATCGATCGCAGAAAAAACTTAAAAAAAACAATTTCTTGGAAAAAAGAAATTTTTTTTCATCTTTAAAGATATTTGCTTCCTTTTAATTTGCACCCTCTTTGTTCTCGAATTTACTACACTAACAGTTGATGACGCCATCAGCTTGCAGTGCTACGAGGATCCTATTCTAATATATCTTACACAATAACGACAGTCTTCGAGTTTCAAGAAACAACTGTATCTATGGTAAAGCATAAATTTGAAGATCATAAAATGTAAGAAAAAAAGTATTAGGCATTTTTCCGGAATTTTTAAATTCTTAAAAAAACACTTTATGTTTTTACGAAGTTTGCGAATTTTTTTTACTTTAGTATTTTCTATTAGTATTAGTAATTAGTCAAAAATAATAATATTTTAATTACTCTGCAGAAAAAAAATATTGACAAAATTATAGACATAAATTTTTATTGAATATTCCTATTATGTAAAGTTTTGTTTGATTTTTTAATATTAATTAAAATTTTGAGAAACTGCAAGACTCTTTTAAAAAAAAAGAAGATTAAATTTAAGAATTGTTTCATTTTTTCTTTCTTTGCATCATTTTTAAAAAATTTATCAAAAAGTGAATAATATATTTTTATAAATTATTTTTCAACAATAACGTTAATTTTGATTCATTAAAATTTAACTGGTAAATCAATCTGTTTTTATAAAATTTTTCCTTAATATAAAAGATAATAATAATAAATTATTAAAATAAAAATTGTATAATTGAGAAAATTAATTTTCTATATAAATTTTAATAATACAGAAAAGTTTTAGATTCTAAATTATCCCATAAAAAAAGTTGATCTGTTTTTTAAAATATTTACAGAATTTCTACAGAAATTTGATTTAATTTTTCCTTGACGTTTTCCTGATTTTCAGACAGAATTTTAACTTTTTCACTGATTCCAATGAAGAAATTTAAATATTTCTAAAAACTGCAAATGTAATTCTTCCAAAATTCAATTATTTTGGGTGTTTTCGATGTTGACACTCTGAGCGCTCTGAAAGTACGAAACGTGGTTGGTTGGGCTAGGGGAATTCTGAATGTTGATTGGCTGAACTTCAAAATTCATAGTTTTATGCTCTGGTTTCCACACTCTGTATCGCCGATACAGTATCGCTCTGTACCGAGCGATACAGAGTGTGGAAACCAGAGCATAAAACTATGAATTTTGAAGTTCAGCCAATCAACATTCAGAATTCCCCTAGCCCAACCAACCACGTTTCGTACTTTCAGAGCGCTCAGAGTGTCAACGTCGAAAACACCCTTTGTTATAATTTTTGAATAAAATTATTTAAACTTCATTAGATTATTGTAAAGTATTTATAAAACATTTGAAAATAATTAAATTAATTTCAAGAATTTTATCAACATTTTTTTGCAATAATTGAATTTATTTCAATTTTCTTGGAAATAAAGAAATTTTTTAAAATAATTTTTACTGAAAATTTTGAAAATAATTGAATTTTAAGAAGAATTTCTTTTAAGTATTTAAAATAATTAAATAATCGTTTTTATTATTAATTGTAATTAATAATTTTCCTATTAAATTACAGTCGGGCCTCCGAACTGAACGCTTTCAAACTGTACGCTGTCGCCAAACTGTACGCTGGCTTTAGTTTTTAAGTGCTCCACAGTGTACGGTGGCGCTACTAAATTCAGTGCCGTATATTTGAAAATGTTGCCTTTTAAGGAAGAATCTGAGGTTGAGTCCACAATAGACAGCGTTAAGGAGATTGAGCTACTTAAGACCATCGATAATCTACTTAAGACCATTGATATCAATGGTGTTAAGTAGCTCAATCTCCTTAACGCTGTCTATTGTGGACTCAACCTGAGGGACAGTCAAATAAAAAGTTATTCCAATGTCATAATTTCGTAATTTAAAAAAACTAATTAAATTTTAAATTCGTCTTGTTGGAAAGGCGAAGAATTTAATTTTGAATATTTAAAACGATTAAAAGTTTCATTTGAATAAAAATTACAATTTTCTGTCAATAAGAATAAACATTTGTTAAATTTTAGGTTATGTTACTTAAATCATTCATTATTGACGACAAAATTATCATTTTTATTCAAATATATATTTAAAATTTTCAAAATTTAGAAAATTAAATTCCTTACGCTTTTACCAAAAGGAATTGAAAATTTAATTTGACTTTTTTTTAAAATACTAAATTATGACATTGGACTAACTTTTGTTCCGATTGTTTATCAAATTCTTCCTTAAAATTAAAAATTTTACTGATTTAATCAAATTATTTTCTTTTTCATAATTTGGATAAATCAGTGGACTTCTTTTAATTTTATGAGGCAATACGTTTTGGTTAAAAATTGTTAATTTTTCTAACATTTATAATTTTAAGAATAGTATATATTTTTATGATTTCAATTAATTTTAAATCTAAAATTATGTATATTATAGTCCCAGACGATAAATGAGGAGCAAATTTTCAAAATTTGATAAATTCCTATTTTCTTATTATTTCGAGAAATCGAAATAAATTACTTTTCTGACATAACCACTCAGTTAATTTCAAACTAAAAAATTTGTAATATTTAATATTTGTAACAAAGTTTTTATATTTAATACGTTCTGTTTTTAATAAAACTTTCACATAATAAAGTAACTTTAAGGTTTTGGTAATTTGTTCTAATAACAAACATAAAAATTAAAAGTCAATTTGGTTATGTCAAAAAGTTTTTAAATTGAAAATTCGCTGTTAATAATTTTTTTTTTAAATTTAGCAGGGACATGACGATTTGTGAGATATTTAAATTATTAAATTTATGTTTATCTCGATTTAAAAAAAAATATATTTATCAACTTTTGAAAACTTGCTCCTTAAATATATAAGTGTACAGTCCTGAAAATTAAATAGTGGGGATGAGTTCGTCAGCGTACAGTTTGAAATCAAGTGGAGGGGTTATTTCTGGGGTACCGTACAGTTCTGCGGCCTGACTGTATATTAAAATTAATCATAGAAAATTAAATTCTTTTAAACAATTTTAATGGGGTTTTTGTAAATAATTACATTTTTTTAAAATTTTGTAAAAATAATGTAATTTTTGAAAGTAATTTTAAATTAAAATTTTGCAAATAATTGAAAAATTTGCAAAGAATTGTTTTAAAAACTATTGAGATCAATTGAATTGTTAAGAAAAATTTTTTTACATTTTTTAAAAATAATTGAACCTGTTAAAAAATTTTATTAAAATTATCTTGAATATAATTTGGTTTTTTCCTATAGAAATTAATTAAAATTGTATTAAAAATAATTGAATTTCTTAGAAGAATTTTGTAATTTACAAAAATAATTGAATTCTTGACAATAATTTTACCTACAATTTATAAAATTAATTGAATTGTTTCGAAAAATTTTAATAAAATTCTTTAAAATAATTGAATTGTCTTGAAGAATTTAGTTAAATTTTCTTGGAAATAAAGGAATTTTTAAAATAATTTTTACTGAAAATTTTGAAAATAATTGAATTTTAAGAAGAATTTCTTTGAAGTATTTAAATTTTAAAATAATCGTGTTTATTATTAATTATAATTCATCATTTTCCTATTAAATTACATTAAAAATATTTATAGAAAATCAAATTCTTTTAAACAATTTTATTTTAGTTTTTGTAAATAATTACATTTTTTTAAAAGAATTTAATTAAATTTTGTAAAAATAATGTAATTTTTGAAAGTAATTTTAAATGAAAATTTTGCAAATAATTGAAATTTGCAAAGAATTGTATTAAAAACTTTTAAGATCAATTGAATTGTTTAGAAAAATTTTATTACAATTTTGAAATATAATTGAACCTTCTAGAGAAATTTTATTAAAATTATCTTGTTTATAACTGAATTTTTTCCTATGTGACGCGATCTGAAGAAAGGGACCTTAGAAGCAAAAAATTATAGGTTATGTTTGCAATTTTTTAAATGAAAATACAAAAAAAGGATCAACTGTCAATATAAATCATTAAAGTTTAAGTCTTCATTAAAACTAAAATATTTAATAAACACTGATTTTAATTCGAAATAAGTAAAAAGAAACTTTCAAACAAGAAAAAAGTAACTCTAACCCAACCTTAAAATGATTTGCTTCTAAGGTCCCTTTCTTCAGATCGCGTCACCTATAGAGATTTAATTATAATTGTATCAAAAATAATTGAATTTCTCAGAAAAATTTTGTTATTTACAAAAAGTAATTGAATTCTTGCCAAGAATTTTACAATTTATAAAAATAATTGAGTTTCGAGAAATTTTATATGTATTAAAAAACAATAAAAATGTCTTATCTTAAATATTTTCGACAAAAAATTCTTAAAATTTTTTTTAATTTCAAAATCAAAAGTTTTAGAATTTTTTTAAAAAAGAAATCCAATTTTTTTATAATCCCTTTATTTGTCTTTGTAACATATCCAAAGCACATTGAAATCCATCCAGTCCAGAAAGAAAGAATTTTTTTAGCAAATGTAGAAGTTAGATATTTTTTCAATTCTTTTGATAATATTTCCTGACATTTCGCTGACCCGTGGCAACGCTGATTTAAAAAATCAACGTCCCCTATAAGTCCCCCTCAAGAAGTGAAAGCTAAAATGCCTTTAATGTTTAATTTGGCAACTTTGTGTCTGTTTGCAGATTACACTCAGTCGCAGTGGAGCTTCATAACAAGAATTGATGCAAACTATCGCCTAACTGCCGTAAAAAATATTAGCGCGAATATGCAATAATAAAGAATTATTGGAGTGTAACAAAAATGAAGAGAATTTATCCTTCGAAGGGAGAAATTTTTTAGTCAAAGTGACTTTTATTGTATTTTTATACTAAATGAATGCGTCATTCCAGAATTTCTGCCAAAGTCTTTAAGAGTCAGTACGTAGAGCGAAACTTTTGTTGGCTTTTGAAAAAGTCTACGTACCTCGTCCACTATTATACAAATCATTAAATTCGTCAATGGCGCAATTGTACATATATATGAGAATGTGAATATAATGAATTTTTATCATTCGGATTGTCCGATGTTTATCAAAGTGGCCATGGCACAAAAGTCAACTAGAGAATATTATAATAGGACGAATTAAAATAATTTTCGATTATCGACACACGAAATATAAGTTAACATTTATTATAAATATTATTATTGTTTTGAGTATATTTACTGTATAAAATAAGAACGAATATTGAAGTAGTGAATAAATTTACTAATACTATCAAGTTTCAAATGAAAGTGCTTTCATTTTTAATGCTCGTACTACCTTATTAGCATTTTATTTGCATGCTCTTTTATATTTTATAAAGAAAATAATGTTGTCACTTTTGACGTCATTTCCTTGCAATCGAGTTGACCTCTATAATAACAGTTACGTCTTTATCTTAAATGACTCTTTATTAACTAAACGTAATCCGGACTCGAATTATGTAATGAAACGATAAATTATAATAATTTAAATGATAAATTATTTTTTGATTTCATTGTCTTTACTTTCAATTTAACTAGCTACAACATTTGCTATTTGGAGTTGAACAAAAATTTCGCATATCCAACTTAAAGCACTTAAATATTTATAATAATTACTAAATTTAAATTGTTAATCTAATTAGTCCTCTATTTGCAATTGTTAAGTTTTCGAGATTTTCAAGTATATAAAAAAATGTAATTTTTATTTTTGGAAATTAAAATTCTTGCAAAGAATTTTATTAAAATTTTTGAAATTAATAAACAAGAATAATTAGTTTGTATTTACATAGTTAATAATTGAATTTTTTTTTAAAGTTTTGAAATTATTCAGAAGTTCATATTTATAAAAAAAACAATATAATTTTTGATAAATTTATAAAAAAGATATTAACATATATTATAAACATTTTAATTTCGGACAAATTTCATTTAAAATGTTCCATCATTCACAGAGCTAAATAACAAGCAACTTGAAACTCAAAGGTATTATCAGTTACGCAGCGAATACAATAGCTTAGTATCAAGTCACTTGTCATATAATTTTATGGATAGTAAAACATTTTTAAAAAATCTTATGGAATGAAGTAATTTTAGAAATTCCAAAACAAAACACGATTCGTCGTGTTATAAATAACGAACGAAACCCATCGTCGTTATTTTAGTTGTAAACTAAATAGTGAATAAAATCGTATTGCTTTAAATAAATATAAGGTTTATTTAAAAATTTATTTATTATTATTAAATAAATAAAAAATAAATTATAATTTATTAAAATATTAATAACGATAGCATTATTATTAATAATAAATATTAATTAATAATAATATTGTAACGTACTCTATCTCTGTAATTATAATGTAAAGTTATCAAGAAGTAAAATTTTCTGTCATTGCTAATAGAGTAATTAAGATAAGTTAGTAGCATATATTTATCATGTAAGTTTAATTGAAAGACATTTCTTGAGTGGGTGTAAAGACACCTAAATCATAGCTCTGAATACGACATTTTATTATTATCAGTTGGTAGTGTTGAGTTTTAATTATTTATGACCAACGCAAAATGACGCGTTGTGCTTCAGCCTTGAAAACTACTTTTCCTAAGAAATTTCAGCCACCATTTTGTATCAGTCATTTTGAATTTCAGTTCTTAAATCCTGTCATCAGTGACAAATAATTAATACACTCACTAAATTAATGAAATGTATTTTATTAAATTTTAAACTTTTCTATTGAAGTAATTTTGCAGAATGTCAAATTTATTGCATCAAAGAATTTTAAAGAATTTTTTTTAAAAATATAATTTTTTAAAACTTAAATTCCATTTCTTTTTGTTCTCTTTACAGGATTGCCACAAAAATTGAATTTTGTTTTTCCCTGATTTCCAGACAAAATTTGACTTTTTCCCTAACTCTAAAGAATATTCTTATTCATTGTAAAAATTATTATAGATATTAAAAAAAAATATTCTATTACATTTATTTACGAATTCCTTTCATTGTAAAATTATTCGAAAACATCAATAACTTCTTTTTTAAATAAATTACTTTCATCATTTCAATTCAATTATTATTACCTATATAAATTTTTTAACAAAAATTCTTCTTTAAATTAATTTTTATTAAAAAATTCTAAGAAAATTTAATTGAAAATAAATAAAATTAATAAATAAAATTAAAAATAAATAATTTTTACTGAATAATTGAACGTTTTTTAAAATTGAATTTTCATAAAGAATTTTAACCACAAATTTTTAAATAATTAAATTCTTTTGACGAATGTTAATAAATTTTTTTTAAATAATTACATTTTTCGAGGAATTCGATTAAAATTGTATTAAAAATAATAGAAATTCTGCTATGAGTTTTATTATTTATAAAAATAATTGAATTATTGCGAAGAAATTTATAAAAAAAATTTGTAAATAATTGAATCCCTGTGAAATTTTTATTATTCATGAAAATAATTAAATGTTTGCGTAGAATTTTAACAACATTTTTTTTAAGTAATTGAATTCCTTTTAAAAATCTTATTTAAATAGTAGATATTGAAAATATTAAAATTTTTGAAATTTTGCCAAGAATTTTACTAAAAATTTTTGAAAATAATTGAAATTTCGACGAGAATTTTATTAAAAGTTTTGAAAATAATTGAAATTTTGCCAAAAATTTTATTAAAATTGAAAATTGAAATTTTGACCAGAATTTTATTAAAAGTTTTGAAAGTAATTGAAATTTTGCTAAAAATTTTTGAAAATAATTGAAATTTTGAAGCGAATTTTATTAAAAGTTTTGAAAATAATTTTTTTGTAATGGATTTTATTAAAATTTTCGAAAATTAAAATTTTGTCAAGAATTTTACTAAAATTTTTTGAAAATAATTGAAATTTCGACGAGAATTTTATTAAAAGTTTTGAAAATAATTGAAATTTTGCCAACAATTTTATTAAAATTGAAAATTGAAATTTCGACGAGAATTTTCTTAAAAGTTTTAAAAATAATTGAAATTTTGCTAAGAATTTTACTAAAAATTTTTGAATATATGTAATTGAAATTTTTATATTTGAATTTTATTAAAAGTTTTTAAAGTAACTGAAATTCTAGCAAGAATTTTATTATAATTTTCGAAAATAATTAAATTTTAAACAGAAATTGTATTACTTTTGAAGTTCATCTATTCATGAAAATTGTAATCACAACTCTTTTAAAATTCAATTAGTTTTGGAATATTCAAGTAAATTTATTCGTTAAATAATTTCTAAGTGATAATTTAGTTGATAGTCTAAATTTTTTAGATCTAAAATTTAGATCCAAATTTTTCTGCATCACTTATCTGAAAATTGAGATAAACAATTAGGTGAGTATAATAAATAAATAAAGAGTATAATGATATTCCTATTATATTATTGCAATATAATAATATAGTAATCATATAGGTAACATTCTGCTTCGTATGTATTTTATATGCACAATTCGATAATATTTTAAACTTAGCTTTCACATACTATTTTTTATATTTTTAATTAATCTTTCTCTGTTACTGACATTGCTAAGCAACATTATCCATTTCCTTATTTTTCTTCTCTTTTAACAGTTGGCAAGATCATACGTTTAAATATTTTACAGGCTCTATGAAAATTGGAAAACATTTTTGTTCCAACAAAAAAATTAAATAAAAGTAGATGACGCTTAGATATATACAAAAGAACTTATCACTTTTCAACTGTTCCTTTTTCTTTTTACTTTTATTAATAAATCTCTTGATGTATATATTTCTATGTTGCTAATTAAATTTTTTTTTTTATTTCTATTTTCCACAATCTCGCATCAATTTGTCTCCATGCATGAATAATATTTTTTTTATTAACGAGTAGAGATGTATTTATTTTATTAATTAATTTTTATTATGAATTTTAGAGAAATCTTTTTAATCTGAGTAGCAAAATCTGATATGTGTATTTTAATAATATATATTATAAATAAATATAATTAATTAATTTTATACTGAAAAAAATTATTCGATTCAAATAACTGATTACTTGACTAAATTAAATATTTACTTGAATCAAATAATTTTTATTTGAGTCAATTTAATGGTTCAATTCATATTTACTTCAAACACTGAAATTATTGGTTCAAATATAAATTAATTGATTTAAATAAAATTGATTTGTTTCAAGTAAATATTTATTTGATTCAAGTAAATATTTATTTGATAACAGACAAATAATCGGTCATTTGTATCAAATAAAATTCTTTTCAGTGTAAAAAAAATTGCGCAAAGTGAACTTGAATTTTGCAATCGATTAAATAGAAATTATAAAATAACACTTGAAATAATTGTAAATAATTTACAAAAATATCTATTATTTTCAACAAGAATAATTGTTGCTTACTTTTAATTTTCAAGTTATCAAATATTTATATTTTTTGGTTATTACATGTAAGATTAGGATAAATTCTTCAAAATTTTCTTAATATTGTATTCGAAGATTTTTTAATTTTCTTATTTTTCACAAAACTTTCGATAGATGGCAAAAATTTTAAGGAATAAACAAAAAGTCCTAGATTCATTAAAATGTCAAAAGTTTGCTGTTGCAAAAGTTCTACTTAAATTGATTTAATTTTAATTTAATGTAATTTTAATTGATTCTAAAATAACTCATGTTAGAAGAAAAAAATTATCAATTTTATTGTCAACTATTTCTGAAAATGAAACTTCGCGGATAAAAAAATTGAAAAATATAAACAAAAATATAAACATATAATATGTGACCAGAAAAAAATCGTTTCTCAAAGACAAAAATCAAAGTAGATTTTTTTAAATTACAGAATTTCATTGTAAAGAGAAGTTAAAAATAAAATTGAATGAAAAATTAATTTTTGCTACAGATCGTTTTTCGATTACAAACTAATGAGTTAGGCTAATGTTATATTCACATGAATGTAGACGAACATTAAATTTACACTTCGCTATGTTTCGGTATATTATTAATGCATGCGACCGCTATTCCAACTAAAGTGTAATTAATTAATTTTAATTAATTAATTAACAAATTATACCTTTTCGAATAATTTAATCACACATAGTGCTAACTGTACATGTTTTCGTAAAAATGTAACAAATCGTTATTTCGGTGCAACAATAATTTAATACTGGACAATAAAATTAATCGTAAGTAAGGAATCATCTGCAAAATTAAGGAATAAAAATTTCATCTCTTTGAGTGTATAAATTTAACACGTAATAATTAAATCACAGTTGCTATATATAAAGTAAACGCTAATATTGTTTACTAATTTATATAAATTATATTTTACATTTTTATTTAGAAAAAATAGCCAACATTGAATATATTTATAATTAAAGAAAAATAATGCAAAAATAGGCTTCGCACTCAATAATTTATTTTCAAAAAGTAAGCTTTAAGACTGAAAAAAGTAGCTACTATCAAAAAATTAAATTTGACAACTAAAAAACTTGTTTTAGACGATTTACAAAATTCACAAAAATTTCATTCTGTATTTACCTGATTTCCATAAAAAATATTTTTTTCCTGATAATAACTTCAATTCTAAATTCTTCTAAATCTCAATTATTTTCCAAACTTTTAGTTAGAAATTTTCGAAATATTGTAGAACTCTTCAAAAATTCGATTATATTTCAAAATAATTTTTAAAAGTAGGAAAATTAATTTTTTAAAGCATAAAATTTATTTCAATTAAATTTGACAAAATTTTCCATTAATTGTCAATTTAAATAAATATTTTTCATTTTTACGATAATATAACATATTCAAAAAAATTTTAATTACAATTTTTCAAAAGACAAATTTTCTTTTTGATAACTTCAAATTAAATTATTCAAAATATCACATTTTTGTCTAATAAACTTTTTATAATTTTCGAAACTGAAATAATTTAATTCTTTTGTAGAATTTTATTCAAAATTTTTGAAAATAATTATATTGTTTTGAAGAATTTTGTTAAAATTTAAAAAAATTATTTTTCAATAAATTTCAATATTTATTTTAAAGAATTGAATTAAAATTGCAATGAAAATAATTGAATTCCACTAAAAAATTTTATTATTTATGAGAATAATTGAATTCCTTTGAAGAATTTTATTATTTATGAAAATAATTCAATTCCTATAAACAAATTTTTAGAAAATAATTCATTTCTTTCAAGGAATTTTATTAAAATATTTATATAATTAATTTCACTCGAAAAAATTCCTTTAAAATTGTATTTCACATAATTGAATTACTGTGAAAATTTTATTATTCATATTATTTAAATTTTCGCTTTGAATTTCATTAAACTTTTTATAAATAATTTGAATTCTTTTAAGAAATTTCATTAAAGTATATAAATTTGTATTTCTAAATAAATAAAATAGAAGATATTGGAAAATATTTGAATTTCAGCGAAGAATTTCATTATTTGTGAAAATAATTGAATTCCTGCAAAATATTCTCGAAAAATTTTTGAAAATAATTGAAATGTGTCAAAGAATTTTATAAAAATTTTCCTAATTGTTTCTAAGAAAATTTTTTAAAAAATTTTCAATAATAATTTCTTTATTCCAACTATTAGCGAATTTAAATTCGTGAAAATTGGCAAAAATAGGAAAAAGTAGTTTTTAGTGCCACTTTTAAAAAAAAAAAAAAGTATCCAAATAGTAGCTAATCGGAAAAAAAGTAGTAAATGAGTGCGAAACCTGCAAAAAGTACTTTTTTCAACTGCTATTACAGACAATTTTAATATATTAATCTTTTTCGTTACTTTAAACAATTTTTTTTATCAATAATGAATTTATTGATTGAGAGAATATCTATTCGTGCATGGAGAATTAACTAATTTGAAAGACAAAGAATTAAAAAAAAAGCAACAAATTCAACTATTGCACATTCATCAGAAAACATACCTTAAAGCAAATTATCATAACAGCTCGAAACTCGAGAAACTGTTCATCTCTCACTATACAAAAATTGAGCAGTCTTAAAATTTCTCTCATAAAATAATCTGGATACTAATAACGAACTATGTTTTCAATTTAATGAGACAAGCTTCACACAATTATTTTTGTTTAACTTTTATGATGATTAAATTTTCCATGATGTTAAAAATCGTTGGAACAATATTTTACAGGTCAGAAAAAAACGACCCGTTTGTAATTTAATAATAATAATTTTCGACCCAGTCGTCTTCATCACTATTTTTTTTTTTTTTTTTTTTTTTGAATAATACAAACACTCTAGGAATGGAATAAAAAATATTTGTATCATTATTAAAAAGATTTTTTGACACCAGCGAGAGAAACTTGGTTGTGTCCTAAATTTGGAGTGCATCTCTAGGTTAAAAGACTGGTTTAATATTTAACTAACGTCAATGGTGTCCATTGGCAACTTTGCGAAGTTTATTCTTGTCGAACATACAGATGCTTCCGAGCAGAGCGGTACGTTCATTCGATGGCGCCGTATTCGGAAGATTAGTGCCTGAAGACATGGATGATGACGGCAATGGAGGCGGAGGCGGAGCAGCAGGCGCCACCACTGGGCATCGATGTTTCTTTAGTGCGGCATTGCTTTGCAGTTCTGATGAACCTTTAACACAGAATAATCTTTAAATAATTGGAAACTATTTATTTATTTCGTATTCAAGACTGAAGCGCATGACAACTTTTATATTTGTTAATAAAAAAAAAAACTTTTTATCTAATAGTATTTAGGTCTTTTTTGCCCTACAATGGAAAAACTGCGATAAGTGACATGCGACTTAAGGGGACACAGAGTAAATATGTAAATAATAAAATAAAATATGTAAATAATATAATATTAAACTTCATGTTTTTTAATAATTTCAATTTCCATAATATTTTTCAAAAAAAATTAAACTATTTGTAAAAATTTTAATAAAATCCTTCTCAAGAATTCAATTATTTTTACAAGTAAAAAAAGTTTTCCTATAAATTCAATTATTTCAAAAAAAAGGTAATAAAATTCGTTGTAAAAATTGAATTACTTTCATAAATAATAAAATTTTTCCAAGAATTTCAATTATTTTTAATAATAATTCTAAATAAATTCCCAGAAAAATGTAATTATTTTCAAAAATTTTTTGCAAGAATTCAATTTTATTACATTTTACAAATAATAAAATTCTTCGCTGAAATTAAAATATTTTCAAAATCTACTATTTTAATAAAATTTATCAAAAGCATTCAATTATTTAAAAAAAAGGTAATAAAAATTCGATGCAAGAATTCAATTATTCTCCTAAATAATAAAATTCCTCACAGGATTTCAATTACTTTTAATACAATTTTTAAGTAAATTTTTCGAAAAATGTAATTATTTTTAAAGATATTAAAATTCTTGGAAAGAATTCAATTATCAATTATTTTTAATACTTTTTGAACAAGTTCCTTGAGAATTTTCAAATCCATTTTACAAAATAATTTTACAAAATTTCAATTATTCGGAAATTCTTCAAATAAACATTTAGAAAATAAAAACTTAAAATATTTTCAAACAAAAATTCAATTAAACAAATTCAACAAAAATTAATTCTACAGAATTGTTAAAAGTATGAAAAATTCAAATTTTCAAGGATTTTAATTTAAAATCTTTTCAAAATTTAATTATTCCATTAAGATCACGCTTTAATACTTTTAATATTCAATTTATTACAATCTAAAATTTTAACTGAAATTCATTTTAAGTCAATTTTTATTAGAAAAGTCTACGAAAATTCAATTATTAAAATACAAAAATAAATAATTCAATGTTTGACTAGAAATTTATCAACACTTTCTTAAAATAATTGAATTTTTTTGGAAAATTTTTATAAAATAGTAAAAATTGAAAATCATTGAATTCAGGAAATTTTTTTAAAAGTAATTCAAATTTTGACGAGAATTTTTATAAATTTTAAACATAGGTAATCTAAAATTTTAACTGCAATTCACTTTTAAATAAATTTTTATTAGAAAATTCTACGAGAATTCAATTATTTAAATACAAAAATAAATAATTTATTGAGTAATTAAATGTTTCTTAAAATTAAATTCTAATAAAGAATTTTATCAGAAAATTTTTAAATAATGGAATTCTTATGAAGAATTTTAATAAAATTTTTAAGAATAATTACACTTTTCGAAGAATTCGATTAAAATAATGTATTAAAAATAATTGAAATTCAGCTATAGTTTTATTATTTATAAAAATAATTGAATTCCTGAGAAGAATTTTATTATTAATTTACGAGAATAATTAAATACCTGCAAAAATTTTATTATTTATGAAAATAATTGAATTCCTAAGAAGAATTTTATTATTAATTTACGAGAATAATTAAATACCTGCAAAAATTTTATTATTTATGAAAATAATTGAATTCCTGTAAAAAATTATTATTTATGTAAATAATTGAACTATTGCGAAGAAATTTATAAAAAAAAAATTGGTAAATAATTAAATTCCTGTGATATTTTTATTATTTCCGAAAAAATTTAAATATTTGCGTTGAATTTTATTTAAATTTTTGAAAATAATTGAATTTCTGCGAAGAATTTTTTTACTTTAAAAAATAATTGAATTTCTGAAATTATTTATAACTTGTCCAAAATTCAATTTTTTAGTGTTTTAACTGAAATTCTTAAATAAGTCAATTATTTTTATTAATTTTTTAAATACATATATTAAAAAACAATTTCAATTGTTAAAATTTTTCAAAAATCTAAGTTCTTTAAAGTTTCTAATAAAATTCATTTAAAATTGAAATTTTATAAATTTTTAAATTAAAACTTTTTGAAATTCATCTATTTATAAAAATTGTAAACACGACTGTTTTAAAATTCAAATAATTTTGAAATATTTAAGTTAAATTATGTATTAAATAATTTTATGATAAGTAGTTGTTTAAGAATTAAGCTATTTAAAAAAAATTGTTGCCAGAAATAGAAAAAATTGAACGTTTTGTATTAGAATTCGTAGTGATTTCATATTTTATGAGGCAAACAAAAAAGACACCAAAATTCAGAATTTTCTCCATGATTTCTAAGAATTGTAATTTTTTCCAGTACTTTTAATAAAAATCCCCTAAAAATTTTCCATGAATTCTCTGACCTGTGGCAACCCTGTATTGTTATATTAATATTTCTTAATGATACTGAATTATCCTGTGACGAATAATAAATATAGTTTATTATCATTGTTTATAATAACAAAAAAATTTTTTTTGTCAAATCCTTTGACAAATAAATCCTTTTTTTATAGGAAAAAAAAAACATTTTGGCGAAAAATAAATTTTTTTAATTTTAGGTGGCACGTTTCAAAAATTCTTACTCTATAAGACATCTACTGACTGGTTATAGAAAAAAAAGATGGTTTTCAAATGTAAATTCAATGACCTACGTGAAATCAACGAGCGAAGTGTTTGCCATCAACTTTTGTGTCCAGCTTATTGAAAAAGATGAAAACACTGATGTTTTAAATTTGAAACAAAATTCACTTCACAAAAATGTAGACATTTTTTTAAATCTACATACCATGCGAAGGAGGTGTCACAGTTCCGACACTCGTAGCTGTGGAAGTACTCGTTGGACTGTCAGATCTCTCGGGACTTTTTCCGTTCACTTGCTTCGTTCCATTTGTTCCCAATTGGTTTAATGAACGTTGTTCTTGGGCTAGTTTTTGTTCCTTTTTCTTCAACAAAAATTCAAATCACATACATATTTATTTGTCGCTTTAGTCGACTCAAAAATACAAAAAAAAGTCACAAGAATTTTATTTTGTATTCTCCTGATTTTCCCCTTTCACTGATTTCTAAATTCAATTATTCAAAAGCATGAATAATTTTGTTAAATAAATATTTAAATACTAATTCTTATTTGATTTTCTATGGAAAATAATTCTTTTTTTTAATTTTTAAATAATGGTAATGCAAAAATTTACCAATTTTTGTTTGCGCTTCTTCATCTCCTCCTCAGAACTCATCATTTCCTGGACCTTGACGAGTCTTTTCTGATGACGAGCGACTTTCTGCTCATCCCTGAGACGCAATTCGGCTTTATTCGAAGCTTCAAGTAAAGCATCTTTGAGGTGGCAGCTCAGTTTAAAGTGCGGTTTCTCCATACCGCCGGCATTAGCGCTAGCAGTTTTTCTCGCACTTTCAAAAAATGGATGCTCCATGAGATGAAGAACTGTTGGCAGATCTTGCTTTAGAGCTTCCGGAGATAAAATAACGTCTAATAAATTCTTCAAACTTGAATCACAGTGAGACAAATCTGAACATGTAGCTTCCATTAGCGGTCTTCCAAAAGCCATCTCGTATAAAACATGGCCAAATGCGTAGACATCTACTTGCGTCTATTGAAAATAAAAAATAAAAATGGTAAATAATATTAATATCTGAGTTAAGCAAAAAATCAATAAATATTTAATCATTATTTTTCCGTAGTGTTTAAAATTTTACAAAATTTCAAATTTTAATCTTTTGAAGTTCAATAACATAAAAATATTATTATAAAACATGAAGATATCAATAACTCCAAAAGTCTTCGACTCGGAGTCATCGATTTCTTCATGTTTTATAATAATTAAAGATGATCGAGTGATAAAATCATTATTTTATATTATAAGAAAATTGTTACTTCAACTTCTTCAAAATTATTTTCATTATTTCAATTTAATTATTATTTTCTACAATTTTTAATTAAAATTCTTCACTAAATCAATTATTTTTAATAATTTTCAAAAAAGATCTCTGAGAATTAAAAATCTTTTTTTTAAATCAAATGAATTTGTTCACAATTCAATTTTACGTAAAATTTCGATTATTCGGAAATTTTTCAATTAAATAGATATATTGGAAAATAAAAATTTCAAGTAATTTAAAAACAAACTTCAATTAAACTTTTTTAAAAAAAATTAATTCGTCGAAATTCTTAGTTTGTATGAAAAATTCAGATTTCCAAAAATTTTAATTTGAAACCTTTTCAAAATTTAACTATTTTTATAAATTCACGCTCTAATACTTTTAATATACAATTCTTATCTAAAATTTTAACTGAAATTTATTTTCAAATCAACTTTTTTTTAAAAGTCTACGAGAATTCAATTATTTAAATATGTAAAAAAATAAATAATTTATTAAATAATTGAATGTGTGAATAGGAATTTATCAACATTTTTTTTAAATAATTGAATTCTTTTGAAAAATTTTAATATAAAATTGTAGAAATTGAAAATCATTGAATTCAGGAACCTTTTTGAAAATAATTGAATTTCAGAGAAGAATTTTATTACATATTTATAAAGATAATTGAAATTTTGCCTAGAATTTTGTTTTTCAGTTTCGAACATAAAATATTATAAAATTCTTTTAGAATTCAATTATTTGAATTCAAAAATAAATTATTTATTCAATAATTGAAAGTTTCTTAAAATTGAATTCTCTTAAAGAATTTTATCAACATATTTTTAAATAATTTTCTATGAAATAAATAAATGAATAATTTAATTCTTTTGACGAATTTTAATAAAATTTTTAGGAATAATAACATTTATCGAGGAATTCGATTAAAATTGTATTAAAAATAATTTTAATGCGAGGATGAGTTTTAATATTTATGAAAATAATTGAATTTCTAAAAAGAATTTTTTTATGTATGAAAATAATTTTATTATTTTTGAAATTAATTAAATTATTGCGAAGATATTTATAAAATATTTGTAAATAATTGAATTCCTGTGACATTTTTGTTATTTGTGAAAGTAATTAAATATTTGCGTAGAATTTTAAGCAACTCGTTTAAAATTTAATTAATTTTGAAATACTTATGTAAGTAAAATTATTCATTAAATAATTTCTAAGTAATAATTTTATTATTATTAAGAATTTTTTTAATTGAATTCATTTATGAAATATTAAAATTTTATTAAAAATAATTGAATTTTTGCAAAGATTTTCTTATTTAAATAAAATTGAATTCGTTTCGAAGGACTTACTAAAATTTGAGAAAATAATTCAATTCTTTCGTGAAGGTTTATTAAAATTTTGTTGATAATCAAAAAATTTATTTTTGAAAATAAAAAATTTTGTAATTTGCATAATAATTATAAATTGAATATCACGTTTCGAGCGTAACATTTGCTAGTTTATAAATTATTGAATTCCTATCAAATTTTTATTATTTTTAAAAATAATTAAATGTTTGCGAAGAATTTTATTTAAATAATTGAATTCCTTTGGAAAATTTTATTAAAATAGTAGATATTAAAAATCACTGAATTGAGAAAACTTTTTGAAAACAGTTGAAATTTTGACAAGAATTTTATTAAAATTTTTGACAATAATTGAAATTTTGACAAGAATTTTGTTACAAATTTTGAAAATAATTGAAATTTTGACAAGAATTTTATTAAAATTTTTGAAAATAATTGAATTTCTGCGAAGAATTTTATTATTTATAAAGATAATTGAAACTTTGACGAGAATTTAAAAAAGTTTTTGAATATAATAAATTGAATTTCTGCGAAGAATTTTATCACTTTTGAAAATAATTGAATTTCTGCAATCATTTGTAACTTCTCCAAATTCAATTCTTTTTAGTGTTTCTAACTAAAAAATTCTTCTATAAATTTATTGTTTTTAATAATTAATTAAATATAAATTTAAAAAATTTAATTATTTTCAGAAGAAATTGAATTATTCAAATTTTTCAAAAATCTAAGTTTTTTAAAATTTCTAATTAAATTCATTTAAAATTGAAATTTTACAAAATTTACAATTAAAACCTTTTGAAATTGATCTATTTATAAAAATTGTAATTTCAACTCTTTTAAAATTCAATTAATTTTTAAACTTTTAAGTAAAAATTTTCAAAAAATAATATATAATAGTAATAATTTTATGATAGTTCTTCAAGAATTATCAATTAAGTTATTTAAACAGAAATTATTGTCAGAAATAAAAAAAATTGAATGTTTTGTATTAAAATTCGTGGTAATTTCATAGTTTATGAACTTTTCGCTTTCGGTAATTAGTTTTTAAGAATAAACACAATAACTTTAGAAAATAACAAATTTCCAAGATTCCGATCAAAATTCCCTGACTTTTACAGGCTTTTCCAAAGTTTATAAAATTTTCCAGCCTGAAGTGTCATCCAGATCCAATTTTTGGTTCACTTATTTTTTAGTTTCTGTTTATCAGTTAATAAGATTTCTGAAAACTCACAGTTGCATGTAGTTTTCGTCTCTGGACCACGTAAGGCCGATAAAATGCCGGAAGACCTAGTAGACCATTCTCAATATCTAATAATTTAGCGCCTGAAGTCGTGAGAAGAACATTTCCAGTATGTAAATGACCATAAGGCAACCCCTTTTCATGAAGAAAGGATAAAGCTTCCAAAATCTAAAAATCAAAATTAACTATTTTTCCATTACTTAATTTAGGAAAATTTCAATAATTTTTTTAATCAAATTTCTTCACAACGTTTAGAGAAAAAGAATGAAATATTTTCTCGTTAAACTAACCTCGTAACCGTAATTTGCTATTTCTAAAGCCGATAAAGACTTGGTCTGCTTGGGATTTCCATATTTTTTAATGAAAGGTTGCTTAGGCTTTGTGTTGCAGAGAGTATCGCGCAGGGTTCCCTCTGCGTGAAAATTTCGAATAGTCAAGGCTCCGTTTTCAGTTACGTGTTGATGTACAATTCCTTCAATGTGTGCGTGTTTTAAAGTGCTTAAACTCTTGAAGACACCTTGCATGTCCTTGTCCTGCAGATGTTTATCTGGTCCAAATTCCACCCAGGCAAGTAATAATTCTTGCTTGTGATTTTGCCTATTTTTAACGGTGTAATAATGCTTCCTCAGCCGCCATCCCATATCCGGAATGGCCTTTCCGACCTCATAATTCGCATCGCTACGTAAGGCTAGAGACACTTGTTGAAGTGCAATTTCTGAAACATTTTCGTTACATATTTTTCAATTAAATTCAAAACCAACTTAGTAGCAATACCGTTTTTTAATTTCATTAATTTTTGTGAAATCCGTATAACACAGCTGGTCAATAAAGTGTCCATTATTGCCCTAGGGTAATAATGGGTACTTTATTGACCTGTGAGCGATCAATGAAGTACACTTTATTGACCTAGGGTAATATTGCCAAATACAGGTAGATAAAGTGGCCAAATTTGCATAAAATTATTTAAACTCTAATTTTTAATCACTCACCATGCAAGGGCGCTGTATAATTCTCTGGGTCGAGAAATTTTTTCATAGGTAAGGACGACGCCAATATAGGATTCATTAGTATCACGTGTAGATAATTCTGATAAAGAAAGAAACATTTAAAACTTAACTGAATATTTATATTTCTAATAATAAGAATATTTATTGTTATAAATATTATATGATCCACAAGTTTTGAACGTTCAAATGAACGAAACACTTTTTATTAGAAATGTTTTTATAATTTATTGTTTGCAATAAACATTAAAAACTTAAATTTTACACTTAGAAACTTTATAATTCATTTATTTTATATCGACAAAAATTATTGTAATAAATATTCAAATTAAAGAAGAAAATAAATAAATTTCGTTCATTTGAACGTTCAGAACTTTAGGATCATAATATTATTATAAAATGTTTTATAATAATAAATATTAACTTAACAATTAAATAATATGACCGAATGATAAATTAATTCTTCAAAATTATTTTCATCATTTCAATTCAATTGTTATTTTCCAGAAATTTTAACTAAAATTCTACTTTAAATCAATCATTTTTAATAATTTTTGAAATTTTTTTTTTTTTTTTTTTCATTTTTTTTTTTATTAAAAACTTCTACGAGAATTCATTTATTTAAATACAAAAATTAGTAATTTATTTAATAATTGAATTCTTTCGACAAATTTTAATAAAAAATTTAAAAAATTTAAAAATTGTATTAAAAATAATTGAAATTCTGCCATGAGTTTTAATATTTAAAAAAAAATAATTGAATTTCTAAAAACAATTTTATTTATTTAAGAAAATAATTGATTTTATGTAAAAAAAACTTTATTATTTATGGAAATAATTGAATTATTGGGAAGAAAATTATAAAAAAAAATTGTAAATAATTGAATTCCTGTGAGATTTTTGTTATTTATGAAAATAATTAAATGTTTACGTAGAATTTTATTAAAATTTTTTTTAAATAATTGAATTCTTTTGGAAAATTTTATTAAAATAGTAGATATTAAAAAATATTGAATTGAGCTGAAAATTTTGGAAAATAATTGAAATTTTGCCAAGAATATTATTAAAATTTTTCAATATAATATTGAATTTCTGAGAAGAATTTTATTATTTATAAAGATAATTGAAATTTTGACAAGAATTTTTAAAAATTTCTTACATAATTGAATTTGTGCGAAGAATTTTATTATTTTTTAAAATAATTGAATTTTTGCAATCAATTCTTACTTATTGAATATTTTAAAGTTTTTAACTAAAATTCTCCTATAAATTCATTGCTTTTAATAATTAATTTTTAACTAATTTTAAAAGAATTTGAATTATTAAAATTTTTCAAAAATCTAAGTTCTTAAAAATTTCTAATAAAATTCATTTAAAATTGAAATTTTCTAAAATTTCCATTTAAAATTTTTGGAAATTTATTTATAAAGATTGTAAACGCAACTATTTTAAAATTGAATTAATTTTGAAATATTTAAGTAAAATTATTCATTAATTCATTTCTATTGAGTAATAATTTTATGATAGTTTTTCAAGAAGTAAGTTATTTAGAAACAAATTGTTATCAGAAATAGAAAAAAATTGAAGGTTTTGTACTGGAATTTGTGGTAATTTATATTTATTTTATAAAAGAAAAATATTAAAAAAAACATTTGTTTTCGGTTTGGTTTGACGTGTTATTGCTCAAAAAGAAGATACAAATAAACAATTTGAAAGAATAAATTCTATCTAAGATTATGTTATTTGAAATGAAATTGAGAACGAAGGATTCTATACTGAACGATGCCTTCTATTCTCAGCACTTTTCATGCTCATCAATTATCCAAAAATCGATACGTCCGACTGTTAAAAATTTGCTGATTTCTAAAGGGATCCTCAATAAATTACGTGACACGAAATAATGGTAGATGAGGGCAAGGAAAATTATCACAGGTGATTTCTTGAATGGATCGAGAGTTCCACATAATTCTTAATTATAAATTTTTATTAAAGCTTTGAATTTAAAATAAAAAACTGCAAATCAAAAAATATTCAGTAAAATAGAATTATTGTTACAGAGTTTGTAAGGAAACCCCCGAGTAACGAGTTTCATAAAAATTCAAAATGTTTTGAAAATTCGTAAATTTTAACTTTAACAAACTTTAACAAAAGATTATCATTTTTTTTTAAACAGCAAATTTTAGATACTTTCTGGTCTATACATTTTTGAAGCCTTCTCTTTGCTGAAGAAAACGGACCAAATTTGAATTAAAGATATTAATTTTCTTTATAGATATTAAACTTTTTGAAAGTGGGACACTTATGTCCCAAGAGCGTTAAAAGGGTTAAGTATAAGAAATATTAATTTTTATGCAATTAAAATTAACCTGTAGAGCAACTTGACGTCGAGCTACGAAATCTGGTTCCATGTTACCGATAATCCTCTTTGGAGGTAAAGGTAAGTTGAGGCCGGAAGCCAATAAAGCCCCATTGAGTTGTATGAAGTCATTGTAACGTCTACAAACTCTCCAAGATCTCTCAGGAAATGGACCTCTTTGTGTCCTAATCACGTATTCCTATAATAAACAGATAAATAAATTTATAAAAAAAATCCACATTAACAAAATAATTCAGTTATTTAATAAATACAAATATTTAAAAAATTAAAAGTTATTATACAGCTTTGCTAAAATGTTAAAGAGAAGAGATGCATGAAACTCCTTATAAGTCAGAATAATATATCTAAAAATAATATTTTTAAATAATAAATAAATAATAATAATAATAATAATAATAATAATAATAATAATAATATAATAAAATAAAAATAATAATATTTCTCAAAATTGCAATTATTTAGTAACTTCTCAAAAATTCAATTATTATCTAAAACTTTAACTGAAATTAATTTCTAAATCAATTTTTATTAGAAAATTCTACGAGAATTAAATTATTTAAATAGAAATTATTGTCGGAAATAGAAAAAATTCAGAATATTCTTATAAGTTCTAAACATTTAATTATTTCCAGTATTTATCAATCATAGAAATTTTAAATTAATTTTAAACAATTTTTCAGCAATATTTATAAAGAAAAAAATATTTTAAAAATTTTCCATTTCCGTTTTTAAGACCATTATTTATTTCAATCTTCTTGCTCTAATTGCTTTTTTAACCTACTAAGAGAATATATGGGTTGGCCCGCATTGTAAGAAATATCAAAAAAACAGGTTTGGTATTTAGGGAGTAGTATAATAAAAAAAACGGTAAAATTATTATTATTATTATTTAACTAACGAATTTTTAATCCTTTGTTTCCTAAATTCAACATTTTTTCTTCACTTTTATGGAATTTAGCTTCATTATTTTTGTGCTTTTGGAAAATTCTTTACTTATTAAATTGTCTCGACTCTTTGGTAAAAAATCTAAAATTATCAAAAATTCGAAAAAATTCAAAAATCCGATTTTCTTAAAATTTAACATTTTTTCCTCTCTTTTATGGGATTTAGCTTCATTATTTTTGTGCTTTTGGAAAATACTTTACTTATTTAATAGTCTCGACTCTTTGGTAAAAAATCTAAAATTATCAAAAATTCGAAAAATTTCAAAAATCCGATTTTCTTAAAATTCAACACTTTTTCCTCTCCTTTATGGGATTTAGCTTCATTATTTTTGTGCTTTTGGAAAATACTTTACTTATTTAATAGTCTCGACTCTTTGGTAAAAAATCTAAAATTATCAAAAATTCGAAAAAATTCAAAAATCCGATTTTCTTAAAATTCAACATTTTTTCCTCTCCTTTATGGGATTTAGCTTCATTATTTTTGTGCTTTTGGAAAATACTTTACTTATTTAATAGTCTCGACTCTTTGGTAAAAAATCTAAATATATCAAAAATTCGAAAAATTTTAAAATTCCGATTTTCTTAAAATTTAACATTTTTTCCTCTCCTTTATGGGATTCAGCTTCATTATTTTTGTGCTTTCGGAAAATACTTTACTTATTTAATAGTCTCGACTCTTTGGTAAAAAATCTAAAATTATCAAAAATTCGAAAACATTCAAAAATCCGATTTTCTTAAAATTCAACATTTTTTATTCTCTTTTATGGGATTTAGCTTCATTATTTTTGTGCTTTTGCAAAATACTTTACTTATTAAATTGTCTCGACTCTTTGGTAAAAAAATCTGAAATTATTAAAAATTCGAAAAATTTTAAAAATCCGATCTTCTTAAAATTCAACATTTTTTCCTCTCCTTTATGGGATTTAGCTTCATTATTTTTGTGCTTTTGGAAAATACTTTACTTATTTAATAGTCTCGACTCTTTGGTAAAAAATCTAAAATTATCAAAAATTCGAAAAAATTCAAAAATCCGTTTTTCTTAAAATTCAACATTTTTTCTTCTCTTTTACTGCATTTAGCTTCAATATTTTTGGGCTCTTGAAAAATACTTTACTTATTCAAAAGTCTCCACCCTTTGGTAAAAAATCAAAAATTATCAAAAATTCGAAAAATTTTAAAAATCCGATTTTCTTAAAATTCAACATTTTTTCCTCTCCTTTATGGGATTTAGCTTCATTATTTTTGTGCTTTTGGAAAATTCTTTACTTATTAAATTGTCTCGACTCTTTGGTAAAAAATCTAAAATTATCAAAAATTCGAAAAATTTTAAAAATCCGATTTTCTTAAAATTCAACATTTTTTCCTCTCCTTTATGGGATTTAGCTTCATTATTTTTGTGCTTTCGGAAAATACTTTACTTATTTAATAGTCTCGACTCTTTGGTAAAAAATCTAAAATTATCAAAAATTCGAAAAAATTCAAAAATCCGATTTTCTTAAAATTCAACATTTTTTCCTCTCCTTTATGGGATTTAGCTTCATTATTTTTGTGCTTTTGGAAAATACTTTACTTATTTAATAGTCTCGACTCTTTGGTAAAAAATCTAAAATTATCAAAAATTCGAAAAATTTCAAAAATTCGATTTTCTTAAAATTCAACATTTTTTCCTCTCCTTTATGGGATTTAGCTTCATTATTTTTGTGCTTTTGGAAAATACTTTACTTATTAATTTGTTTCGACTCTTTGGTAAAAAATCTAAAATTATCAAAAATTCGAAAACATTCAAAAATCCGATTTTCTTAAAATTCAACATTTTTTATTCTTTTTTATAGGATTTAGCTTCATTATTTTTGTGCTTTTGCAAAATACTTTACTTATTAAATTGTCTCGACTCTTTGGTAAAAAAATCTAAAATTATCAAAAATTCGAAAAATTTCAAAAATTCGATTTTCTTAAAATTCAACATTTTTTCCTCTCCTTTATGGGATTTAGCTTCATTATTTTTGTGCTTTCGGAAAATACTTTACTTATTTAATAGTCTCGACTCTTTGGTAAAAAAACTAAAATTATCAAAAATTCGAAAAAATTCAAAAATCCGATTTTCTTAAAATTCAACATTTTTTCCTCTCCTTTATGGGATTTAGCTTCATTATTTTTGTGCTTTTGGAAAATACTTTACTTATTTAATAGTCTCGACTCTTTGGTAAAAAATCTAAAATTATCAAAAATTCGAAAAATTTCAAAAATTCGATTTTCTTAAAATTCAACATTTTTTCCTCTCCTTTATGGGATTTAGCTTCATTATTTTTGTGCTTTTGGAAAATACTTTACTTATTAATTTGTCTCGACTCTTTGGTAAAAAATCTAAAATTATCAAAAATTCGAAAAATTTCAAAAATCCGATTTTCTTAAAATTCAACATTTTTTATTCTCTTTTATAGGATTTAACTTCATTATTTTTGTGCTTTTGCAAAATACTTTACTTATTAAATTGTCTCGACTCTTTGGTAAAAAAATCTAAAATTATCAAAAATTCGAAAAATTTCAAAAATTCGATTTTCTTAAAATTCAACATTTTTTCCTCTCCTTTATGGGATTTAGCTTCATTATTTTTGTGCTTTTGGAAAATACTTTACTTATTTAATAGTCTCGACTCTTTGGTAAAAAATCTAAAATTATCAAAAATTCGAAAAATTTCAAAAATCCGTTTTTCTTAAAATTCAACATTTTTTCTTCTCTTTTACTGCATTTAGCTTCAATATTTTTGGGCTCTTGAAAAATACTTTACTTATTCAAAAGTCTCCACCCTTTGGTAAAAAATCAAAAATTATCAAAAATTCGACATTTTTTCTATTTTTTATACCAAAAATACAAATTAATTAATTAATCAGAAAATATCAACATTAACTTGATGCAAGAATTAATCAATATTTAACCCTTTGAGGAGCAGTGATACATTCAATTCATATGAACATTTTTTTGTTCACTCGTGCATAACTTTGTTGATTTTAAAAACTGAATATTGAAACAATAATTTTGTCTAATGTAGCAAATTTCTTACTTTACATACTGGTCTTTAAATAAAAAACTTTAATAACTTTTTCTGAAAAGCTTGCTTAAAAATTAGGAATCACTATTTTTTTTAGAAAAAAGTTGATCTAAAAAAATGAAAAAAAATTTCAAAATACTTTTTTTTTAAATTTTATTGTAGAAATGGGTTGTATTTATCTAAAAAAAAATTAGCTAAGAATAGTTTTGCATCCATTTTACAAAAAATAAAAAAATTTCATTTTTTTGATTTTTCGAATTTTTTGGTAAAATGTCATAACTTTCGTTCAAGTTAATATTTTTTAATCGGATAAAAATTTTCAAGCTTGGAGCAATGTACAGACAGAAGTCTGATTTTATTAATATAGATTTTTAAAACTTAATTATCTTAAAAAAATATTCAAAAATAATTTTTGAAAGATTTGTCTATACAATTATTTTTCGTAATATATAAAAATTAAAAATAAGTTGCATTTCATACTAAAAATGTGATATTTTGTCGCAATATTAGGGAAAAAAAAGTCAAAAAAGTGTTAATTTTAGAAAATAAGTCGATAAAAGTCGCATTTTTTAAAAATATTCGAAGAAAAGTTTAAAATCGAAATATTAATAAAAAATAAATCCAGAGTAACTCTTTCTTTGAGTAATTTCTTATCTTTTACTTGAAATACTACCTCTACCAATCTGAGTTTAATTTGAGTGTAGATTATAGATAAGAATAATTAAATATGATAAAAAATAATTATTGCGTAATTGTTTAAGTATAGAAGACAAAAAATGTTTTTTTTTAAACTTTTCAGTCTTCTTTTACGTAATTAGATTTATATGCAGTCTGCAAGAAAGATATACAAGAAACAAAAATAAGTTTATCAAAATAAAACCCATTTTTGATATAAAACTCAACAAACATTAATGAGCAAAGAATTTTAAGCAACATATTTATCTTTCTTTATAAAACAAAAGGTTTAAAATGATTTAAAATTAATTTAAACATTTCAACAATATAAGGAAGATTAAGAGAATAAAATCATTTCATTTTAAGGAAAATGCAATAATTAAATTGTTGCGTATAAAATAATTTCAACATATTTTATCTTAAAACTGGCTCACTGGAATTTTCCTACCATTAATTTTTTTTCTTATATTTCAATCATATTAGAAATTATTATTAGGGATTTGCACAAAACTTAAAAAATATTTAACAGAGAAATTAATGTTAATTTTTAAATTCTAATTAATTTGAATTTTTAAAGTTTTATTAATGTTATTAATGTAAATATTAGTTTTGCTAATTAAGTCTTTTTTTTTAAAAAAGAAAAACGCGCCTAAATCGACTATCGATGAACGATTAAGACTTACTGTTTATTCTGTACCGAGTGTTGAATTACAAAGCCAAGTGTAAAGAGTATTAATAGCATGTTATAATAATCAAATGTTTCAACTTAGTGAACCTAAATATCGTCTCATTTTCGAATACGAAATTTGAATTTTTTAATTATTATTAGTCATAAGTTTATATTTAGTCCACGTGAATTGTATAATTATCTGAATTTTTTTTGCACCTTAATATTTACCATAAAAAGGCTTAAAAATTTCTTTTGTTTTTGATTATTTTGAATGAGTAATTTTTTACAAATTATTCTGTAAATCGAATATAATGATGCCCTCTTATATTTATTAAGTCCTTAAGAAAGAAAAATTTAAAAAAATTTATTAAACTCCACAGTTGCAATATTTGAAAAAAATGGTAAAAATTCGCTTTTTTTGAAAATAGTCAATAAAAGTTGAAAAAAAACTCGTAATATTCGAGGCTCTATTAGTGCGTATTATTGTCTGTGAATCATTTTAAATTAGTTACTTAGACAAAAAGATACGTTTTTTGATATCAGTTTATTTATTTTAAAACTGAAAATAAAAACTTTCATTCTGTATCAATATTATCAAAACATTCACAAATTTCGTAAAATTTATCAAATTATTAAAAAAATTATCATTTAATTATTATAGACAATTACTCAATTACTTGCAATTAAAAAAAATGAAAGAATTCAATATAAATTTATTGAAAAGATTTGTATTGCAATAATAAAAAGGGTGAATTTACTGAAGCGAGATCAATAATGGTATTATAGTCAACATTGAGAAAACAAGTATAGTTGACAGCTGATTGATGTGACAGAAATGTCAAAGCAAAACGAGTGAGTGTAAACAGTTTTGAAGAAAAAAAAACAACTCACCGTATGTCCGTCGACTGTTCTGGCATTTTCGATGACACTAGTTAACTTCTCTGTATCATCTAGTAGCACTTTATTTGTATACCTCTTCTCAAACAAAGCCATTGATTATTAATCCAACTGTACGCAGAGCCCGTGTGGGGCGAGCTGCGAATATCCGTCGCGAAATTTCCGCGCGGTGCCATAAATGACGTTCCTTAACTTCATCTCAACATGGACTGACACAAGTCAACAAACTATTATTAGTTCTCACTAATTTAAATGTAATAATTATACAACTTTGTAAAAAGTTTCCTATACACACAACTTTAGGTTCAAACAATGATGATAAGGATTATTTCACAAGACTGACGTTATCGTTTAGTGACAGGCAAATCATAATAATAAAGCGTATGCACAAGTCCTATTCTGTTAAATTGGAACTGACTTTAAGAATAAACTAAAGATGGAAACTCCCTCAACATTGAAACCATCCAAGTTTTTTTAGTTTGGAGGTGGTGATGTGATTTTGACATCGATGTTTGATATCTCGATGATGATTAACGTCTTAAGGTGCTTTCGCAATAGTTGATTTTCATTGAAGGCCAACTTTCAGGGGCTTTCTACAACACTATTTTGTTTCTTCAACGCGAACAAAATGCACGGTGTGCATGAACTTTAGGTATAATCCTAAGGGTGCGATCCCATTAGCAGAATACGTCGACCGAAAGCGAACGCGACGCATGAGATAGAAAAGGACACAAGTATATTTCTTTCCTTTTCTAACACATGCATTGCGTTTCGCGAACGACATTCGCGAACCAATTGTGCATAGACCTTTACATACAAAAATAGAATTTTTTCTAGACCCACTTTCCCAACTCTGGTCATCTGATCCATGATTTGACTATCTATGTCAGATTTTTATTCTCTATGACGTTTTTAGAACGTGAAAGAACAGTGAGTGAAGATGTTACGTTCCATAGTTTCTAATCGTAAGTTTAATAAATTTTCTTAATTGCACTAAATTTAATACAAGTTTTATTACTAAAAATGAATAAATTAAATTATTCTCTATTCACATAAAGTTACGACATTCTCTATAAAAAGTTCCTTTTTCACTTAATAAATTACAAGGGGAATGTGACTTTAAATTTAAAAACAGTTTTCATACAAAAAATAAAGAACGCAAATATTTTTGACTTATATAATTATTTTCTAGTTTGTCAGTGTTATTATTATGTGCGAAATAGTTTTATAAAATGACATTTTGCAAGAATCACATGTTTTTGTTGTGTATATATTTTTCTTTCTATTTTCGTTTTATAATATAAAATGAATATGCTTGAAATATTTACCTGTGTTTATATTTTGTCTTGCTCTTATTTCGAAATTAAATGAAATTGTATATAATCATGAAAATGCATATATTTGAATGAGAATAGAAGAATTTTTTTGCTAAACATGACCAGTTTTGATTTATTGTCTCTTTTAGTAGAAATGTCAATTTATTTTACTTTTGAAATGTATTTTATTGTCAATGTTTCCAGATTTGTCAAACATTTATTTCAATTCTAAATTATGTCAGTAACTTTGCAAGAATTTAGTAATTTTCAGTACATTAATTAAATATTTTTTTCAAAAAACGTCAAAGTTTCTAACGTTTTATCATTATTCATGACTTTATTTTTAATAGAAAGTCATGAACTAAGAAATATTCTATTTTTAATTAATTTATTTTTCTGACACTTTCTTGCTACGAGAGTTTAATTATTTCGTAACATTATGCAAAGAAAGAATACGACTAATTTTAATGATTTCCAAATTTAGCCAACTTTCAGCAAGGATTAACTTCTTGTCTTTGGAATTCCCCGGCAATATGTCATCTCCCAATTACTGGACAAGTGAAAAATTTAACAACAACCGAGACAAATGAGAAGGAATCTCTACCGCAAAAAGTGGAAAAACAACCGTACAGTCCATTTCAAAATTCACAGAGTAAAGCCGAATATGCTCTGGCCCGAGTGGACGATCTGCTGAATTGGGGTCGAAAGAATTCCATATGGCCCTTGACTTTCGGTTTGGCTTGTTGCGCTGTGGAGATGATGCACATTGCAGCCCCAAGGTACGACATGGACAGGTACGGAGTTGTATTCAGAGCGTCACCCAGACAAGCTGATTTGATTATCGTCGCGGGAACTTTAACTAATAAAATGGCACCAGCGTTGAGGAGAATTTACGACCAAATGCCTGATCCTAAGTGGGTTCTTTCTATGGGAAGCTGCGCGAATGGCGGAGGTTATTATCACTACAGTTATTCTGTTGTTCGAGGATGCGACAGAATTATACCTGTGGACATTTACGTACCAGGTATTACAAAATTTGTTTACATTTCTTACACCTAAGATATAATTTACATAGGACCGGAAAAAGTCTTGTCATTTTCCCGAAACAAATCATCAAAAATTGGTCTCTTTTTCTGCCTCTAGAGTACTCTTTAAATAAAAGTAACTTCAGATTCGTAATCTGACATAAGATTTTCAAAAATTTCAAACTTAAACCTTTTAAAATTCAATAACTTTTAAGAATATCTTCACGTTTTATAATTTAAATTTTCATAAAATTTTTCAAAAAGAAAATTAAATTATTTACAAAAATTTTAATAAAATCCTTCACAAGAAGTAAATTATTTTTACAAGTACATAATACAATTTTTCACTTCAATTCAACTGTTCAAAAAAAATTTAATAACATTCGTTGTAAGAATTCAATTATTCTCATAAATAAAATTTTTCATAAGATTTCAATATTGTATTTTTAATACAATTTAAAATAAATTTTTCGAATAATGTAATTATATTCAAACAAGATTTAAATTTTGACATTTCACAAATAATGAAATTTTTCGATGAAATTCAAATATTTTCAAAATCTACTATTTTAATGAAATTTCTCAAAAGAATTCAATTATTTTCATAAATAATGCAATTCTTCACATGATTTCAATCATTTTCAAAAACAATAAAATATTCACAGGATTACAATTATTTAAGAAAATGTAATAACAATTTGTTGCAAGAATACAATTATTCTCCTAAATAATAAAATTCTTCACAGGATTTCAATTTTTTTAAATACAATTTTAAGTAAATTTTTCCAAAAATTTAATTAATTTATGAAATTATCTAAAATTTTAACTGAAATTTATTTTTAAAACAATTTTTATTAGAAAATTCTATAAGAATTCAATTATTTAAATACAAAAATGAAAAAATTATTGAATAAATGAATGTTTCTCAAAATTTTCATAAAGAATTTTATTAACAAATTTTAATAAAATTTTTAAGAATAATTACATTTTTCGAGGAATTTTGTTAAAATCGTATTAAAAATAATTGAATTAATGCGAAAAAATATATAAAAAAATTTGTAAATAGTTGAATTCCTGTGAAATTTTTATTATTTATAAAAATAATTGAATTTTTGAGAAAAATTTTATTTTAAATTTTATTTTATTTTAAAATTAAAATTTTAATGCGAAAAAATATATAAAAAATTTGTAAATAATTGAATTCCTGTTAAATTTTTATTATTTATAATAAATAATTGAATTTTGGAGAAAAATTTTATTATTATTTTTAAAAATAATTGAAATTTTGACAAGAATTTAAAAAATTTTTTGAACATAATTGAATTTCTGCAAACATTTGTAGCTTCTCTAAAATTCAATTTTTTTAGTGTTTTTAACTAAAATTCTTCTATAAATCCATGATTTTTAATAATTAATTAAATTAAACGAATTATGAATCCAGAAAATTTAATTTTTTCCAGTACTTTAATAAAAGCGATTTTAAAGCGATTTATTTAGAAAATAATGACAAGAAACTTCTGTAAAATTTTATTTTTCAAATTTCATTGAATTATGGAATTTTCGAATTGAAAAAAGTTCAAGTGAGACATGTTTATTAGTATATGAAGAAGTTTTTTTTTAAAAAATATTATAATCGTCATATTGGATCCACTATTTTGAAATTTTGAAAAATTTTAGAGGTCGTATAAACCTTTTTAAATTCCAAATTATTTTTGTATTAAACCTAAAAAAATGTTACAGGCTGTCCCCCAACGGCAGAAGCTCTGATGTACGGAATTTTGCAGTTGCAAAAGAAAATAAAACGAATGCAATCAACGCAAGTTTGGTATAGGAAATAAACTGTGTGCTAGGTACGTAAATATGTAGAAAACGTGTAAATTAAAAGAAAAAATGAATTATAAGTTATTATTGATTAGATTTGCCAGTGCATTCGATGCAACACAAGCGATGTTTATTAAAGAAATTGTGATTTACAATAATATGATGGCATGTTAAGATTCTATATAATAAAAATTAATTAAGTTTGTTTTCCATCTTCTTGTCCTTATTAATTGTGTAATTAATAAAAAGAATTATAAACATTCTATGTAATATTAATTACAACTGTATTTAAAAATTTGTCAAACTCAAATTTCAATTTATAAAAATACATATTATATATTATTTTAGGTAAAGGATGTTTCAAAAAACAATAATTGAACATTTTTTTCAAAACTGTTTCCATTTATTACCTAATTTGTTTTGTTTGAAAAATGTACAGTTGCAGTAACTACCATTTAATTTATTTTTAATTTATCTTTGCACAAATTCTTTTAATTTTAATTCAAATACTGAGTTTACATATTTTAAAAAATATAAAATAGAGAAACTAATAAATCCTTTTTTCAAGTTGTAAAATTAAGAACAAAATTATTACCTCCAATTTTGTTTATTCTCGACCAGAATAAGAGTGTCAGTTTTTTATTTTACCAGATAAACCAAAGGGACAATTTCTTTGAAAACAAGTGATAATTTACATCTTAAAATACTAAATAACAATTAAAATCTAATAAATTGCAGTCTGGAAGGTTTTCAATCAATTTTAGCTTGCGATTAGGGCGCATTGGTACAACTGGTTTAAAAACATTCTTCAATTTGACATCTTTACTTTATGTACAATAGAAAAAGCAAAAAACTGATTTTAAAAACAAACGTAAATTTCATAAACGATCATTTTTTTTCGTTTATTGAAAAATTATTTATCGACAATTTTTTTTCTTTTCGGTATAGCAAACACAACATTCAGATCTAATTTAAAGTTTCGAGTCAATTATTGAATTGTTAAAATAAAAAGAGAAACATAAAAAATGACTACTAGCATTCATTCAATTATAAGAAAATGTAGAAAAGAATTCAAATTAGTAATATTAAAAATAATGATATTTTTTTTATGATGAATATAAATAAATTACATTTTTTATTGTGGTCATTCTATTATATTTTAATTAAAGTCGTTGATATTTGTATATTTAGAAAATTCTGATATGTTGACAAAATGCTTTCAAGTGATTTAGAAAAAAAATAATTGCAGACAATTTGTTTTTTATTATTATTATTACAATTTTGTAATAAAAATTAAAAATATTAAAAAAATAAAATACTACAAAAAATTTGAAGAAAATAATTGACATTAGGGATTTTTTTCCTAAAAAAAATATCAGAATTTTCTAAAAGTAGACAATAACTTTGGATAAATTATTAAGGAACAACCCTAACTTTAGATTATTTTTATAATTTGTGACATCTTTCCCAATGAAACTATTTACAAGACGCACTAGTCACTTAATGTGCGCGCAGAGAAGGATTCTTCTTTATTTTTTTTTTTACTTTCCTGCGTGTTAAGTTACTATGCGTTAAGGCCCCAGTAACGATTAATGATTTCTGATACATATTTCAATTTGTAAACTTAAATTAATTTCACACGCATTCAAAATTTCTACAATAACACAGAACGCACAAGAATAACTAGTCGTAAGTTATTACTTTAGACCTGTCCTGTTCACATCTACGCAAATGACATATTTCTTTTTACACAAATAAGAAATAATAATTTCGACAGTCACTAATAAAATTGATTTCACACCATTCAGAATTTGTTTAAATGCAGGAAAAAATTAGACGTATGGCGAATTTTAATATATTTTCACTGGAAAAATTGAATCTGAATTTTTTTTAGCAATTTTTAAAACTTACGGAGTAAATTTTACAAAATTTTTAAAAAAATTCGACAAAAATTTTAGTGAAAATATTAGTAAAATTTATTCCGGAAATTGATTACAATTTCCGGAATAAAAAAAAAAAAATTGCGGGGAAATTTCAAGCAAAGGATTTAGTTTGTTAATAGTAATTGTTACTTTTTTTTCGTGTGATTATTATTTGAAGATTCAATTTAAAGAATTCACTTTTTAAGAACTTCCTTATGTAACCAGCAAAAATAAATTCTAAATTTATTTTTTTAATAAATTTTAAATTCGTCTTTGTGGAAGGACGAGGAATTTAATTTTTAACATTTTGAATAATTATGAAAGTTGCATTTAAATAAAAATTGTAATTTTCTGTCAGTAAAAATCGATGTGGTAGGTGATCACTTTTTCTAAAAAAAATATTTTCGAATCCTTTTTGTCTAAAAAAAAGCGATTTCTAATAAAATCTGTTTTCTAAAAAAAGTTTTTCTAACAAGTTTTGATTTCTAAAACAAGTTTTTCTAAAAAGTTATGATTTCTAATATTTTTTTTAACAAAATTCTGTTCTTTTTTTCAAAGAAGAAAAAAGAAATAATAATTTGCATCATTTTTATAAAAAAAAAATTTCCAAAAATTTATATATTTATTTGACAAGTGTCTTCTTTTTTCATTTTATTTTATTTTTCTATTTCCTGATCTTAATTTTTTTAAACAATTTTCTAACTTTTTTCAAAATTATAGAATTTCACAAACAGAAAAATAAATATTATGTAGAAATCATAACTTTTTAGAAAAACTTGTTTTAGAAATCAAAACTTGTTAGAAAAAAATACGAAATAATATAATTTGACTAACTTCTGTTCAGATTTTTTGTCGGATTTTTTCTTAAAAAAATATTTCTTGTTAATATTTGAAATGTGTTCGATGTTCTGTTTGATTTCATTCTGCTGATGGATTTACAGCTGAATTCATTAGTTAGTTTGCCTAATTTATAAATAAATTTAAACACCAAAATTATTTTTTGAAGAGAAGAAGAAAAAATTCGTAATTTATAAGACAGACAGAAAGTTACTGTGTTATTGTTCTAATCAGAAAGAATTTAAAAAAAAAATTCAAGCACTTTCTTGAAAGGCAAATTTTGAACATAAATAACAAGAATGTACAAGAAAATGATTATTGATGAAATATCCAAAAAAAATATTTTTAAAAAAGATGATAGAGAAATTAAGGAAGAAGAAATATTTGACAAACGAGATTCCTACCTTAAATGAAACAGTGAAACTGTACAAAACTTCAAATGATGATTTAACATTTTTTACTGGTTACGGTGACTAAAATAAAGAATATCAAATTATTTACTGTTGAATATTATTCGAAATAATGCTAAAGCAGTTAATAAATATTCATTGTATTTAATATTAATTATAATTAATATATTTAATAATTTATAATTATTATATTATATCCATTACAATTAACATTTTTGAGACTAAAAAAAAGTCATCTATCTCCATCTAGACTCTAGATTATTTTACAAAATAATTCTGTAAAATACTTAAAACTGAAACCAATTCAAAAAATCCAAAGTTCATTGTTAATATACAAAAAATTTCAAAAGCATATAATTTAAAAATATTTTTATTCAAGATAAAATTTGTCTCACTATTTGTTTCAACAAAAAATTGAACAAAGAATCGAAAGATAGATAATTTATTTTAAATAAAATGAAACATTCATGTACAAAATTAAAAAAATCTATAATATATTCAAAAAACAATTCAAGTATACGGAATAGATTTAAGGCGACTAAATGTATGACTTATATTACTATACAAATAGTTGCAGCGACAGCAGCAACAGTTTGGAGAGTTTGCGGTACCAATAATGGTAACGCAGTTTTATGTACAACTACACGCCCGGAAACCATAGTTTTTTTTTATTCTAATTTGTATAAAAAAATCCTTTTTTTTAATTTTAATTTTCTAAAAAAACAAATAAAATTTCTTGACCAAAAGACTAAAATAAAATTGAAAAATTTAAATTTCAAATATAAAAGGAAACTACCCTTTTCAAAGTCTCACATAAAGGACATAATACTGTATCTCTTTAGAAAGTGAATTCTTTAAATTAATTTTTCACATTATTTATCATGGGATATTTCGAGATTTTTTTTAACAAAATTTATTAATAATTATTTTTTTCAATCTTTTTTCCGCTTTAGCCCTCAAAAGTTACGATGACTTTAGAGTTTGTTATATTTTAATTTTTTGTTTTTGTTTTTTTGTCTTTAAATTTTTTATGTTTTTAAGTTTTAATTCAATAATTTAATTTTCGAGTAAGTAAATGGATTCTAATAAATTTTTTAAATTGATTTACATGCAAAAGGAAATTTTTCATTAAATATTGAGTTAAAATATTAGCTACTTTTTAAGACAACAAAATTTTAAAATTCTTTTTTTCATTCTTTCATGCAGTACGAAAATCTTTTTTTTAATTAAAATTATTTAAATAATTTTGTTAGTTAAAATTATTTTGTTAATTAAAATTATTTAAATAATTTTGTTAATAAAAATTATTCAAATAATTTTGTTAATAAAAATAATGTTTCCAAAAACATTATAAATCATTTGTTTGTTGAATAAAATGGCCAATTTTTTAAGAAAAAAAATTTTCGAATTTTTCTGAAGCTATTATGATGATTTCAAAATTTTTTAAAAAAATTTTGAAATCTTAAAAAGTAGCGAATATTCTTATTTCCTATTTGTCCAAAAGATTTCTTTTCGTATGTAGATTAGAAGTTTAATTAAAATTCATTTACTCTAAAATGTCATGAAATTGATTTGAAGTTGCTTAGATAATAAAATAATAGTTTATATTGAAAAAATTTTTTTTTTCAATTTTTCTTCAATTTTATCAAAACATCAAACGATTACTTATGATTATGTAAAAGTAATTTTTAAAAATAAGACGTATTAGTTATATTAACCACATTTTCTACTGAACGTATTAATAAATACGTTTTTTTTCAAAAGAATATATATCAGGTTTTCTGCTATTTGAGACTGCTTATTTGGGAGTTATTGTTCTCAAATAAGCAGTCTCACTTTTAAAATTTTTACTAATTAGAATCTAGTATACTAACGATCATATTTTGCTTCTAAACAAAATCTATTTTTACTTAGTTGGGAAATTTAGTTCATGACAAAAATATCAATCAAAATCAAAACAACCAATCCATCACAAAATATTCTTTACCTTCTTTATTTATAATTTAATTTCATTAATTTCTTCATTTTTAAATGAAAAAAGTCACTCTTGACTAACTGAACAGTTTAAATATTAATAAATAACAGTTTATTTATTAAATAAATTAGCAACTGTTTCAAGTTGAAAGTAACGAACTGGTAGTAGAAAAGTACAAAGTAAATTAGTAAAGTTTACTAATTAGAATACTAATTAGAATTAGTATTTTTCTACTACAAATTTGTCACTAAGAATTTCGTCGAAATTCGATTTTCGAAATCTGTCAAATAAATTTTTGCCGAGGCTGGAGTTTGAAAAAAGATTGACTAAAATAGTTATTAATAAATTTTGTAATAATCTACTCGAAGAAGCAATTAAATAATTTTCATCCCCTCAACAAACTCTTAATGAATGACTGAATGGTTTGATACTTTTTCAAAAAAAACAATACGTATAATTATAAAACATAGAATAGCAAAAAAGAAAAATAAACCGATCTTTTATATTTGATTTCTTTTACAGCACATTATTGCGCTAAACTATTTTTCTTTTTGTAAAAAATGGATCACCGTACTACAAACGGATGTCAAAATATGTGGTCTCTCTCTCTCTCTCTCTCTTTCACTCCTTTTTTCTCAGTTAAAATGTATCTCAGTGACGTTTCTATGAAAAATGACTCATTACGAAATGAATTTTTTTTTCTTTTTCCCAAAGAATGAAAATAAATTTTCATTTTCCCCAAGAGTAACCGATTCAACGGAACATTTGGAATATTTAAGTAAATTTGAGGGAATAGAATTTTTTTATTCGGGTTAAAGAATCGCTTGAGAAGTGGAAGGAGGAGGATTGTTGGGTAAAACAGGCACTGGTCCTTCAGTCCATTGAATGAGCGCGTACTCACTCATTTGTGTACTTTGGAAATGATCCTTCAGCAGCGTTTGAGAGAAATTACAGTGCATTTGGTAAGCATCATTCTCTCTTGTTGGTTCCCCACAAAGTCTGTATAAATCTGAAGCAAATACAAAATTATATATTTTGTCATTTTTGTGTAAAAAAAGTCACTTTGCATTTAAAATAAATGCAGCACAAAGTGTTGTTTATTTGCTTTTTTGTTTCTCAACTTTTTTTAATAATTTTTTTAAAATACTTTTTTTTTAAATTAATGTATTAAAAATCATCGAAATTAGAAAGAATTTTATCAAAAATTTGATAATAATAGAATTCCTTCGAAGAATTTTGTTAAAATTTTTGAAAATTCTAATTAAATTCTTTCTGAAGAATTTCTTTGAATTTTTTTAAATAATGAAAGTTTTCTTAATATTTTAATTAAAAAGTTTGAAAATAATAGAATTTTTTCGAAAAATAGTAAAAATTAAAAAAGAATTAAATTCTGTAATGAAATGTTATTAAAATTGTTTTCAAAATTATTGAATTTTTGCAAACAATTTTACTATTTATAAATAAAATTGAATTGTTTCGAAGGATTTATTAAAATTTTAGAAAATAATACAATTTTTTTCAAAAATTTTATAACAAATTTAAAAAAAATTGAATTCTTTTGTGAATTTTTTTCAAAATAATTGAATTTTTGCAAAGATTTTATATCGAAAAAAATAATTAAAATGTTTCGAACGATTTATTAAAATTTTAGAAAATAATACAATTTTTTTCAAAAATTTTATAACAAATTAGGAAAAAAATTGAATTCTTTTGTGAAAGAAATTATTCATATTATTGAAAATAATTGAATTTTTGCAAAGATTTTATTATTAAAAAAAAATAATTAAACTGTTTCGAAGGATTTATTAAAATTTGTGAAAATAATTGAATTTTTTTGAAATATTTTATAGCGAATTGAAAAAAAATTGAATTCTTTCGTGAATTTTTTTTCAAAATAATTGAATTTTTGCAAAGATTTTATATCGAAAAAAATAATTGAAATGTTTCGAACGATTTATTAAAATTTTAGAAAATAATAGAATTTTTTTCAAAAATTTTATAACAAATTAGGAAAAAAATTGAATTCTTTTGTGAAAGAAATTATTCATATTATTGAAAATAATTGAATTTTTGCAAAGATTTTATTATTTAAAAAAAATAATTGAAATGTTTCGAATGATTTATTAAAATTTTAGAAAACAATTGAATTCTTTTGATATATTTTTTAACGAATTAAGAAAAAAATTGAATTTTTTTGTGAAATTTTTTTTGAAAATAATTAAATCTTTGCAAAGATTTTACTATTAAAAAGAATAATTGAGTTGTTACATAGGATTAATTAAAATTTTTGAAAATAAATTTAATTGTTTTGAAGAATTTTATAGAAATTTTGTAAAAATAATTAAATTGTTTTGAGAAATTCAATTAAAATTGTATTGAAAATAATTAAATTCTTATAATTTAATTCTTTTGAGAAATTTTATTAAAATTGAATTGAAAATAATTGAATTACTCCGCAGAAAACTATTATATGTATGAAAATAATTGAGTTCTTGCAAATTTTTTCAACGAATTTAATTTAAAATGTATTAAAAATAATTGAATCTCGTGTGAAGAACTTTATTAAATTTTTTTGTAAATAATTAAATTGTTTTAAAAAATTTGATTAAAGTTGAATTTTTAAAAAAAAAATCACATTTTTTTTAATCTTACTACTTTAGTTTCAAATTTGATACTAGGATTTTTTTTAAAAAGCTAAATCCAAATTTGATGCCGAAAAGAATAAAAAAAATGAAAGAATACCTTTAAGAATTGCAGTCGCCCAAAGTTGTACGTGGACATCGGGAATTTTGGAAGCCAACTGCATTGCCGGCGTCACCATATTCATTGACTCCCGATTGTTGCCCAGAGAAAGAAATATGTGTCCAAGAAGAACAAGACTACACGAAGTCAACCTGTTCAAATCCTCTGTATTTGCCATTTTTAACGTCTCCCTCAAGTACCTCCTAGAGTACATCGAATTATTTGCAAAAATTAATAATAATAGATAATAATTTTCAAAAATTAATAATAGTAGATGATAATTTGCAAAAAATAACTAGGTAACCAAAAAAGAGAAACCCACTTTGCCTCATTGTAGCGAGCACCGAAAAATGCTTGAAGTCCTTGAACATAATATGCCGCCGCCCTTAAGGAATGCGAGTGTGATGGTAAAGATTCAGGATTAATTCTTTCCAAGAGAGTCCCTAATTCCTGATCCCTTTTTGTTCTAAGATAAACTATAGCGAGATTTAAATTGGCAAATGTTTGTAACTCTCGTTCTGTCGTCTGTAAAAAAGAAAAAAGGTAACAATGATGATTAATATTACTATCGTTATTATTAAATTTGAAATTTGTTTAAATATGGGCGAAAATTTTTTTTTAAATCTATTACACTGCTCACTCGTAACGCCGCCAAAAACTGAGCCTCCGCCGCTTCCATACAGTTCATCGACATTGCATACAAGCCAATGAGCGTATGCAGCTGAGGTCTATGTCCCTGAAGTAATTTTGGTTGCTGCCTACAAAGTTGACAAGCTTGCGAAATCTCTGCAAGGGCCGTACTCTTATTTCCCATAACCAGTCGACACATCACTATGTGCTCGAGTAACATTAGTTGAAAGACAGAAAGAATTGGTTTGTTTTCCACAACTGTAACGATAATTTTATTGTTACGATTCAAAATTATCCGAAGAAATCGAGCGAATCATCGAGAAAAATGAATTGTATTTTAAATATGAGAATTGATATTATTTAAATATCAATTCATTAGATATTTCTTTTGAAATTATACATTTATTACAATTATTTTTAATAAATTACACTGAAAAAAAATGTATTAGTTTTATTAATGTTTGCAATTTATTTTTCTCAATGTCAATAAATTTGAATTACTGGAAAAGAAATCTCACATTTAAGTTTCTCAATCTGCGTGAGAGCTTTGTCAGTGTACTTCTGTGCTTTCTCCATGTAACCTGTGTGCATTGAATGCATAACAGTTACCAAATAAACTAGAACGTACAAGTGTTCCTTTGGCATCCAAATAAACATGTCACCAATGTTCGAGCCGGTTATGACTTCGTCTGAGGGCCAATTTGGGGAAATGATTGTCTGTATACTTTGTTGCAGTTGCTTCAGACAAGGTTTAACACTCTTTCCCTGAAAAAAATATTTATATAATTATTTAAAATTCAATTTTATTTCTCTAGCTTTGAAATAAATATTTGAGTCTATTTTTTAAATGAAAAATTTACCTGCCCAGCCATTAGGAAATGACAAACTTGTAGAACCAAGTAGTAGACTTTAAGATATTCTTTTTGGTAGGAACTACCTTGCCAATTTTCAACTTGATGACCGGCTGAGGTTAACAGTGGATGCACTTCCACAATCTTTTTGTCTATTAACATGAGCATACATCTACTTAATAGAAACAAAACTCGAGTATAATTAGCACTACTTATGTGAGAATAGTCCACACCAACTGCAAGCAGACTGCTTGCCACGACAAAGTCTTTTTCCGACGCGTGGATTTGCTGAAATCAAATTTAAACTTATTCATTCATTATTTCAATTAAAAAATTGTTACTGAAACTTCTTCAAAATTATTTTTATCAATTCAATTCAGTTATTATTTTCTAGAATTTTTAACTAAAAGTCTTCTTTAAATCAATTATTTACAACAATTTTTTAAAAACATTCTGAGAATTTTCAAATGTGTTTGTTTACAATTCAATTATTTCAATTAAACTTTTTGAAAAAAAATTAATTCTACAGAATTGTTAATTAAATATATGAAAAATTCAGATTTTCAAAGATTTCAATTTAAAACTTTTTCAAAATTCAATTACTTCTAAAAACTCACGCTATAATGCTTTTAATATTCAATTATGTGAAATTTTAAATGAAATTCACTGTTAAATCAATTTCTCTTAAAAAATTCTACGAGAATTCAATTATTTAAATACAAAAATAAATAATTTACATTAAATAATCGAATGCTTCTTAATATTAAAATCTCATAAAGAATGTTATCAACAAATTTTTAAATAATTAAATTCTTTTGACGAATTTAAATAAGATTTTTTAAAATAATAACATTTTTCGGGGTATTCTATTAAAATTGAACTAAAAATATTTGGAATTCTACGATGAGTTTGATTATTTATGGAAATAATGGAATTATTGCGAAGAAATTTATAAAAAATTTTGTAAATAATAGAATTTCTGTGAAATTATTTTATTATTTATGGAAATAATTAAACGTTTACGTAGAATTTTAATACAATTTTTTTTTAATAATTGAATTTTGCCAAGAATTTTATTAAAATTTTTGAAAATAATTGAATTTCTGCAAAGGATTTTACTATTTATAAAAATAATTGAATTATTGCGAAGAATTTTACTATTTATGAAGAATTTTATAGAAATATTTAAAAATAATGAAATTATTTCGAGAAATTCAAATAAAGTTGTTTCGAAAGTAATTGAATTTATTTAAAGAATTTTATTAAAATTAAAAATATATTCAAAATAAATGAATTCATCGTAAGAATTTTATTATTTTTTGAAAATAATTGAATTCTTTCAATTTTTTTAAAGAACATATTTAAAAATATTTTGAGAATAATTTAATTATTTTTCTAGAAAATTTTTAAAATTCTTGTTGAAATTGAATTTTATGGAAATTTTTGAAAATAATTAAATTCTTTAGTGTAATTTTATTTAAATTGTTATAAAAATTATTTAATTTCTGCAAAGAATTTTAGTATTTATAAAAATAATTGAATTTTTTCGAAGGATTTATTAAGATTTTAGAAAATAATTGAATTTATTCGAAATATATTAAAAATTGTTTTAAAAATTGAATTCTAAGGAATTCAATTAAAATTGTTTTGAAAATAATTGAATTTTTGTAAAGATTTTACTATTTAAAAAAATAATTGAATTGTTTAGAAGGATTTACTAAAATTTTAGAAAATAATTGAATTCTTTCGTGAAATTTTATTAAAATTTTTGAAAATATGAACAATAATAATTAATTTTATACTTAATAAGTGAATTTTTTAAATTTTGATTATGAAATTATTTGAAAATAAAAAAATTTTTTAATTTGCATAACAATAATAAATTGAATATCTCGTTTCGCGCGTAATATTTGCTAGTTTTTAAAAGAACTAAGTTTAAAATTTTTAATTAACATTATTCAAAATTAAAATCTTTCCAAATTTCAATTTAATTTCTTTTTAAAATTTCTTCTACGATTGTTCTTTGAAAAAAATGATATAAAGAATTTTTGTTGTTATTTCTTGTGCTATTTGACACGTAAAACTAATTTAAATGATTAAAAAATGTTTTTACCGCCAATTGAAAAATAAGTCTACAATGCCAGTAGACATTGTGCTGTGACAGTTCTATGGCCTTCCTTAAAATTGGTTTACTCAAATTCGACTGTTGTTGTTGATCGTACAATTCAGCAACAACACTTGCTGCCTCGAACTTGACGTCATCGAATGTGTTTATATTTTGACTTAGCCTCCACTAAAAAAATTAAATAATAAAACAACTTTATAACAATTCAAAGAATTTGGACCTTTAAAAACTTCATTTTCTCACTATTCACAATCATCAATCACTGTAAAGAAGCTGATTTTCATAAAAAACTTTTTTCAAAATATGTAATATTTGTCAAATGTCAAAATACGAAAATAGGTTAGAAAACCATCGGATGTAGTCGATGTAATTTATTCCCAATTAAAGGTACTTTTGAATTTTCTCTTTATACAAATTTCATTTATAAATTCACAATAAAGAAATAAAAATTGTTTAATAAGAAAAAATGAATACTAACAGCTTTCTCAAGATGAGAACGAGCAAGTTCAATGTTTTTTGTATGTATAAGCAATATATTTCCAAGTTGTAAATGCGTTCTTGCTTCGACCCTGGGAGGTGGCCTGAAGTTGAAAACTGCTTGGAGGCACTGTATACATGATTTTATATTTGGCGGATTAGAAGTGCGAAAATTTTCAGCTAAACCTAATAGCGATAGATACCAAGCGTCCTGAGAAGACGCCATTTTGACATTTCTCGTTGATGAAAAGAAACTGTAGAACCCGCGAAAGAGAGATTGAAAATGTACAGTTTCCGTAAACAGAACTTTCAAATGATATACACTTATTTGTCAAGCAATTACACGCGATTATTCACCATAGTTACATTCACATTATGCCCTTCTTTTCTTAAATTCAGTATATTTAAGCCGCTTTATTGCATAATATTTATATTCATTGGAACCAATACACAGTACTGCGCACAAAACCAAGACTATATAGGTACGTGAGGGGGGATGTTTTCGATTCATACTAGAGCATTAAAAAAAGGTTCTCAACTAGATATTCTTTTTAGTTCTCAATTCGAAGGGGTAAAAGTATAAGGCCAGTGTACAGTACCTTTGCGAAAGTGAAACATGAGTTAGAAAAGGACTGAGATATAGTTGTGTCCTTTTCTATCTTATGGATCTCCGTTCGCGGAACGACTTTCGCGAAGTTATTGTGCATTCACCTTTATACCTCTGTCGGTATAAGGGTGCGTTCCCATTTGGGCAGAATAATACGTCGACCGAAAGCAGAAAATCATGAGTGCAAAAGAGATAGTCAGATATTGTTGTTCTTTTCACTCACCGTGTTCGTTAAAGCTTCTCAGCTGTCGGTAAGTTAGGGAGCATTTACACCTTTGGTAAAAATTTCCAGAACGAAAATTTACATTGGAGTAAGAGAGACAGGCTGTGTATCTGTCTCTCTTACTCCAATGTAAATTTTCCGTTCTGGACCATTTTTACTTTTCATTTCGAATAATTTTGTCTCAATATAATAACTTCCGATCAGTCATCTGTCATATTTCTCTACTGCGCAAAGGTTGCAGGAAACTTGCACTGCAATTTTGCTGCAAATAACGTAAACTCACAAACGCATAACACGCAATGTTGCATCACAAACTTGAAAGTTTGTGGCAAGTTTACTTGTTATGTATTTTTGAGAAAATTTTGCTAGCGTCAGTAAAAGCTTGCATATTGCAAGATTGGCAAGCTTTACATAATTTATTTCAAATGCAATTAAAGAATAATTGATTTTGTCAGTATTTTAAAATCTTCCGCCATTAGGTCATGTGCGCGGCAACATGCGCTGAACATATTTTACCATTTAAAAATCCATATTTCTTAAATACTTTTCGGCTGTTTAACAAAATGAATTATGAATATTGTACAGTAAAGAATACAAGAGCAATAAAAAGACGAATGTAATTAAAAATAGTAAATTAAAAAACTTTATTTCATATAAGTGTGAAGCCTTGTGTATATACAGTTATATCCGACTTTCGGTGATTCTGTATTCGTTTTGTACAGTGTGTGATCAGTGTGAAATGGAAGGAGAAGGAGAAATGGTTGGAAAATTATTCTCGGAATAACAATACAATTACGCATTGGTGCAACAATAATTGTCTATGCGGGTCGTCGTTGAGAAAAGCATCATGAGATTCTCTCATGCTTTTAATGTTAAATATCGCCAGTTACTTTGAGTGCAGAATCAATAAATCATTGCGGGGAAAAGGAGAGGCGCATCCAGCGGAGAAATTTTTTTTTACAGAATTCTGGGAAAATTTTGTTCATTGTGAAAGGAGTAAAAGACTCATCTTTGAAAATAATGGTGTCGTATTAATGACAGACAACACGTCTTGCAGATGAGTGTCTCTTGAAAGAATGAAAAGACTTTTCTGTTCAGTGATCTGTTACAGGAAGTAAATGACATTTGCGAAACGAGAAAGGCGTATTCAGGTTGTGGTCGTCAGAAGCACGTTGCAGGGAACGACAAGTGTCAATGAGACAGACGATTAGGCACGTGTGACCGCATTTTCCTCAAGTTCATAATGCGCTGCAAACCTGAGGAGCCTATTCGCGTAAGTACGTATTCTCAGTGTCACAACTTTTAGAAGGCATCTCACGTTTACATGCCAACGTCATGAGCCTTGCTTTTTTTGTCAACTTATGCTATATTTACTTCCTAAAGAATCTTCCTCCACACGGATTTCAATGTTTTTTTGTTTCGCTCTTTTGCAATCTTTTGTAAACCGAATATTATTCTTCGATTGTTATTGTTGCAATTTCTTTGTTCGGTCAGTTAAGTCTGATTAGCCAATTTAATTGCTTTTTGTTCCTTTAATACAGAATTTATTGAAATACAGAGTAATATTGAAATCAATGCGATATTAAAATGAGTTAAATTATACACACCCTAAAAAAAGTAATCTTGATTTTATCCGGATTCCTCTAAACTGAATGCATATTTTCCTCTCATGCATGGTATCAAAAGAAAAGCTATTTTACTGCACTAAATTAAACGTTTCTAATTAAATAAATATAATTAATGATTAATAGTTAATTACTTACATTAATTAATTTATTTATTTGTCTATTTACTTCATTTGAATGAAATGTTTTTGACATTTGAACTTAAAAAAATTGTTTTGTTTTATTCTTAACCACCAAAGAATAATAAATATTCTATACATTCAAGTGGAATACCTACTTTTGTTTTGAGAGGAAAAATTGAGAGGATATTAGAAGAAATCGTTGATTGTCGAAACGTTTATTAATGTCACTTCGGTATCTACATTTATATATATCTACTGAAATACAAAAATGTCTTTTTTGTTTGACTTATAAATTATGAAATTACCACGAATTCTAATACAAAACCTTCAAATTAATCTACCTATTTCTTGCAACAATTTCTTTTCAAATTAATTCTTTAAAAACTATCATAAAATTATTTACTTATAAATTATTTAATAAATAATTACCTACACTTAAATATTTAAAAATTAATTCAATTTTGAAGAACACTTAGTTTTTTTTAATTTTAATTTCAAATTTTTTCAAATTCTTCGCAAAAATTCAATTATGTTCAAAAATTTTTAAAAATACTTTGCAAAATTTCAATTATTTTCAAAAATTTTAATAAAATTCTCCGAAATTCAATTATTTTAAAAAATTTTATTGAAATTCTTGACAAAATTTCAATTATTTTCAAAAATTTTATTAATTTCCTTGTTAAAATTTCAATTATTTTGACAAATTTAAATGAAATTCTTGGTAAAATTTCAATTATTTTCAAAAATTTATCATCATCTTTAATTATAAAACAATAAATATAATAATTTTCTTATAAATGTTTGAATTTCAAAAAGGTTTGAAATTTTTGAAAATCCTAATTCATTTGGAAAAATAATATTGATTAAATATTTATTTTAAATAAAACTATTGATGTTTTTGAATAGTTTTACAATTAAAGAAATTCGTAAATAAATGTAATAGAATATTTTTTAGAGTAAATCAGAATATTTTTTAAGGAAAAAGTTAAAATTTTGTTTATTACAATTCCTTTATTTATTTTATAATAATAATTTCGCAACATAATTTTATTGATTTCGTATTTTTTGCAAACATTTATTTTTCACTGTTTGACCATTTTCATTGCAGGTGTGAACGGAACAGTGTTTACCGGTATAAACGAAAGTGATTTATAAATATTTAATTCATGGTGTTTACTAACCGGGAAATGTACAGGAAAAGAAATATAATTCTGAACTTAATAAATATTTTTTTATAATTGAAGAGTAATACCGAATAACGATCTACGTTTACAGTTGAGTAATTTTACAAGAGACATGAAAAACGAAACTGTCATTCAAATGACAGTAATAATTGCTTTTTACCAGAAAGTCAGTAATTAGATTAGATGCTATAAATGAAAAACCACAATTTCTTTGAAAAAATTCTACAAAAGTAAAATTAAGCTAGTTTTTATTGTATCGTAAATTGTTATTCTATTACAACTTAAAGGCTTGTTATTCAGTGATCGCATTTTGTTTAAAGAAAAGAATTGAATTATGCGGAGCACGTGATCACTAAATAACATGCCCTTAAGGGTAGGGATCGGTGAAATTTCAACCACTCGATATTTACATTGCTAAGGTGTGGCACTTTTTCTTCTTTCATTATTTAGAATTTAAATTTATTCTTCACTGTTAAAATTAAAAAAAAATTTTTTTTGACCTTTTTTAAAAATATTTTTTTTTAATGAAATTTAATTTTTTTTTAAAATCATACGATTGATTGTTTAGAATCAAGAATAAAGACAACGAAAAATAAAAAAAGTGGAAGAAATTAAATTTTGAAAGTAACACCAATAAAATTAAGGCCAATTAAAATTGACCTCGTTTATATGCGTATCGTATCTTTTTTACAGTTTTTCATTAATTTTTCGAAAATTTATAGGTTCATTAAAAAAAAATGAATTGTTTTTTAATTTTCCAAAGTACCTATGTTATAATTTTAAATACCCAAAATTGTCAGAAAAAAATTGACCACACAAAAGTCAATAAAAATTTTTAATTAAAATCTTGGTAAAATTTCAATTATTTTCAAAAATTTTATTAAAATTCTTGGTAAAATTTCAATTATTTTCCAAAAATTCAATTATCTTTATAAATAATATAATTCGCCGAAATTCAATTATTTTCAAAAATTTAAATAAAATTCTCGTCAAAATTTTAATTATTTTCAAAAATTCAAATGAAATTCTCGTCAAAATTTCAATTATTTTCAAAAATTTAAATGAATTTCTTGGCAAAATTTCAATTATCTTTATAAATAATAAAATTCTAGTTAAAATTTCAATTATTTTCAAAAATTTTAATAAAATTCTTGGTAAAATTTTAATTATTTTAAAAAATTTTAATAAAATTCTTGACAAAATTTCAATATTTTTAATAAAATTCTCGTTAAAAATTTCAATTATTTTCAAAAATTTAAATGAAATTCTACTCAAAAGTTTAATTATTTTCAAAAATGTTAATAAAGTTCTTTGTAAACTTTCAATTATTTTCAAAAATTTTTAAATTGTCAGAAAAAAATTGCCCACACGACAAAAGTCAATAAAAATTTTTAAATTAAAATCTTTGAAAATATATCTGTAAATTTTTTTTTTTTTTTGAAAAAGTTGAATTGAATTTTTTTGAAACTTTGAAAATTTACTTAAAATTCAATTAAAAATAATTGAAATCCTGTAAAGAATTGTATTATTTATGAAAATAATTGAATTCTTGCAACGAATTTAAAAAATTTGTTTTCAAATAATTAAAGTCTTTTGAGAATTTTTATTAAAATAGTAGATTTTGAAAATATTTGAATTTCAGCGATATTTATTTATAAAATGTAATTGAATTCTTGCAAAAAATTACATTTTTCTTGGAATTTATTTAGAATTATATTAAGAATAATTGAAATCCTATGAAAAATGTTATTATTTATGAAAATAATTGAATTCTTACGACGAATTTTATTACATTTTTTTAAATAATTGAATATTTTAACAATTAAAGAAATTCGTTAATAAATGTAATAGAACATTTTTTCGAGTATTTAATAATTTTTAGAGTGAATCAAAATATTCTTTATGTCCGGAAAATAGTCAAAATTTTGTCTAGAAATCAGGGAAAAGTCAGGGAAAAACAAAATTAATTTTTTGTGGCAACCCTAATAATGAAAAATATCAATCAAAAGTAATATAATTTTTAAATAATTATATATATTTAAATTTAATGAAAAAAGCTTTACTATTCGAAAATTAGTTGACCACTTGACGAATTTTGACTCTTATTAGAAACTTTTGTAATTTTAATTTTTCCTCGAATTATTATTGACCAAATTGAAAATTATTTATTTATTTATGTTAAGGTGGACTAGAATAAATTAGGAGACATGCCTCATGGCTGGAGGCAACGACCACATCAAACAAGGTGGAAGTTTCGTCAAAACGAATGTTTGGCTGCAATATCATCGTTATCGCGAACCGTGTTTCATATTTGAACCCCCTGCAAGTGAAGGCTTTCAGCGTCGTCATCAGAAAGAGAAAAATCGTCTCGCTTCACGAAGTATTGATACATTACAAGAAGATATTTTCCGGTGAGTAATCAAATTGAGAAACGAAAATAATTCTTGTAATAATACAATAATAAAAAATCTATTTGTGAAACTGCTAGATTTAAACATCAATTTAAGTTTTAGTTAAACTGTTTTGGTTGGACTGGTTCTAGTTTCATTAGGAGAAATTCAAAATTTTAAAGTAAAATTAAAACCAAAAATCTAATTTATTGTATCTTTTGGAAATTCTATTGGATTTTATTACTAAAGATTCAATGTTAAATTTATCAATCATTAGTTGACATTCGTCTTGAATTTCTCCTATTTAACTTGAACTTCATTGAAAGATTAATAAATTCATTTTTGTGAAACATACTTTTAATTTTCTTCTTTTCTTTTTTACGAAATATGCATTTTAATTTGCTTGCATTTTTATTATAGAATATTTTCGGAGTCTCTTCATTGTGATCTGAATATACTAATCGGACATGAAGTGATTTGCACAAATAAATGTATTATTAAAATCAGATCACCGTTCTTTTATAAAGTAATTGAACCGTTCTTTGACTACAGTGAAGAAATCATCGCTTGTTGTCTTAATGCACCAGGAATATTTCAGCAAATCGAACGTTTTGTGAGGTATATAAACGTTAATTTTTGAAAATGAAAAATAAGTAATTAAATAACCTGGATAGTTAAAAGACACTTTACGTTCCAAATTAGATTTTCCAGAAAAATGCTCTTGAAGTTATTACTTTGAAATTGCTCAAAATTCATTATTTAGGGAATATCCAAAAAGATAATTGAATTTTATAAAAGTTTCGCTTTTAATTTTTATAAATACTATAAATGAATAACTGGGAAAACTGGCTATTTGAATTTTTTATAATTATGTTATTTACAAAAAATTTTATTTTCAAAAATCATCTTCAATTTTTGATTGATTTCAGATACAAAATTAAAAAAAATATTCAACTTTAATAAAATTCTTGAAAACAATTTAATTATTTTCAAAAAATTTTTTTAAATTCTTCACACGAGATTTAATTATTTCAATTTATTCGAAATTTCATGAAATTGACTTGTAAACAAATAGATTTTAGAAATATTTTAGTTCCATGTGCACTTTTTTTGAAGTAATTGAAATTTTAAGAAACTTTTTCAAAATGTATTAAAAATAATTTAATTAGAGAAGAATTTTAGTTAAAATTTCTAGAAAATAATTGAATGAAAGTCTTGAAAATAGTTAATAAATTATTGGATTTCAAAGGATATGAAATTTGAAATTTTTAAAAATCCTAATTCCTGTAGAAAAATAATAATAATGATTAAATATTTATTTTTAAAAAATCTATTTAAGTTCCAAATAATTTTGCAATGAAAGTCATTCATAAATAAAAATATTATAAACATTCTTTGGAGTATCTAATTATTTTTAGAGTGACCTAAAATATTTTTTAGGGTCAAGAAAAAAGTGAAAGTTCTATTTGGAAATCAGGGAAAAATAAAATGGCAACTCTGTATATTCATGTTCAATTATTTTCATAAATAATACAATTTTTTATAGGATTTCAATTATTTTTAATATACAATTTTAAATAAATTCCTAGAAAAATGTAATTTATTATTTTTAAAAATTATTTGCAAGAATTCAATTACATTTCACAAATAATGAAATTCTTCGCTGAAATTCAAGTATTTTAAAAATCTACTATTTTAATAAAATTCTTTCCATGATTTCAATTATTTAAAAAAAATGTAATAAAAATTCGTTGCATGAATTCAATTATTCTTCTAAATAATAAAATGCTTCACAGGATTTCAATTATTTTTAAAACAATAATTTTAAGTAAATTTTTCGAAAAATGTAATTATTTTCAAAAATATTAAAATTCTTCGTAAGAATTCAATTATCAATTATTTTTAATACTTTTTGCAAAAGTTCCTTGAAAATTTTCAAATCCATTTTTTGTTTACAATTTAATTTTACAATATTTCGATTATTCAGAAATTCTTCAATTAAATATTTAGAAAATATAAACTTGAAATAATTTTTAAAAAAAAATTCAATTAAACTTTTTCAAAAAAAAAAAAAATTCTTATAAAGAATTTTATCAACAAATTTTTAAATAATTGGATTTTTCGACGAATTTTAATAAAATGTTCAAGAATAATTATATTACATTTTTCGAGGATTTCAATTAAAATTGTATTTAAAATAATTGAAATTCTATGATGAGTTTTATTATTCATGAAAATAATTGAATCTCTGTAAAATATTTTAATATTTATGAAAATAATAAAATTTTTTTCGAAATAATTGAATTCTTTTGGGAAATTTTATTAAAATAGTAGAATATTGAAAGTCATTGAAATTAGAAAAATGCATTTTATTTTTGAAAATAATTGAAATTAGGACAAGAATTTTATTTAAATTTTTGAAAATAATTGAATTTTGGAGTAAGAATTTGATTATTTTTGATGATAATTGAAATTTTGACAAGAATCTTTTTAATTTTTGAACATACGTAATTGAATTTCTGCGAAGAATTTTATTACTTTTTAAAATAATTGAATTTCTACAATTATTTGTAACTTTTTCAAAATTCAATTTTTTTCAGTACTTTAATAAAAATCCCTGACTTTATCCTGATTTTCCTGACCTGTGTCAACTCTGTAGTAAATCAGAAACCCATTAAATAAGTTTCAAGCAAATCCGATCCTTTTTTATGAACTTTTTCCTACTGATGTTTTTTACTTTTTTTTTATTCAAATGTGCTCTATTTTGTAGCACTTTTATAAAAGAATAAAAATGTTTAGAATTTAAGGTTCCTTTTAATTATCCAAGTCACATATTATGCTTTTGTGGAGTATACTAAGTTTTTTAAGAATAATTTATTTATCATTTGATCAAGATTTTCTAATTACAGGCTTTTATACACAAATTTTGAAGTTTCACAAGAAGAAAAATTACTAGTACAACTCATTTTGAGTGTCACTTGTAAATTTGATTCTTCAAAACGGTCGTACACTGATGAAATTTCCAACGAAAAAGAAAGGTCTCTATTCATATTTGAATACATTTTCGCAGGCTTTTAGAATCAATTTCTAGATTTCATGTTTCATGGTTTTCAAAGTTTAATAACATTAGAATAGAGAGTTAATAATAACTCTTTGTATTCATTAATATAAAGCAAAATAGAAGCATATTCAAATGTATTATTTTGAGACTTAATACACTTTAGAATGCATACAAAATATAGTAAAAAATTTTTTTTTAGAAATTAGCTTACAATTTAAGCTTTTAAATTTTTTTTTCTAATCTTGAAAGGCTTGAAAGATTTAACAAGTATGAACTGTTTTTGTTTAGGAATCAGAGGAAAGTATATCAGGAATGTAAAATTCTGTCTGGTTGCAATGAAAGGGGCGACTCGATAGATGTAATTTCCACGTCGTCCGATATGGCAGACTCAGGATTAGAAACGGGGTCAGTGAGTCCTCAGGAAACTGACAATTCCGGCACTGAATTTGAGGAGTCTCAAGGTGTAGAATTCACCTCAATGGATGAGGACCTAAGCAAAGTCACTTCAAACGAATTAAGTGATGCAACCTTCGAATCAATTCACTTTGAAAAATGCCAATATAAATCAAGACTCAATCATAATAATATAAAGAAGCAAACACCAAATTATGACGCAACTGGCTCGTCGTCGGAGGCCGAACAACAACAATGCGAATCTTCCGGTTCGTTTGAAGAAAATGCACAAAGATTGGATCGCGTTGAAGAAATCTTCCACTACGAAAACAGAGATCCCTTCTATGAATCAGATGGTAGTGACAATAACAATCAGGACAATTCTCCAATGCCCTCGGACTCTTTCGAATTCGTAGAACCTGAGAATCTTCCTTCCATTGATTACAACAGTGAAGAGAAACCGGAAAATTACAAGGAATTCGAATCGGAGGAGAGTAGTGAGAAGGAGAAGAAATCTGTTGAGAATTTTCCACGAACGAGTGAATCGATTAAAAGCAGTACTACCTCAGTGAATAGTTATTTCTTCATAGACGCTTCGAGTTTGAATGACGATGTCTTTCCTCCGTCCGGAAACTCTGCTAATGAACGTAGTGACAGTTTACCGCCCTATTTTTCTCCTTCTGACAATTACGTTCCCTCGAGAAGGAAAGACGATTTAGCGATGAAGGATAGATTATTCACAAACGTAAAATCGTGTAATTCGCAGAGTGAACAAGTATTTACGGAGTTGAAAATCAATGAATTTCTCAAACCCCGGTCGGAGCCGAAGAAAGTGAAACGAGTGGACCAGGCCTTCGAGGAGAAATTAGAGAAGGAGACGGTCAAGGAGGCTCTTGTCGTTGAAATCAAGGAAGCGGACAGCGGCGAAAGTACTCAACCTTCCCCTTGTCCCGATAACACCAAAATTGATCTGCATATCGATAATCAACAGAAAGGAGGCAAATTCGAAGAAAGTTGCGAAAATCAGTACGGAAAGTCCATTGGAATGTCCATCGAAATGTCCATCGACATAATCGATAATCAAGTAGTTGAGAAATTGGAAGAGAGTAATCAGGTCGATGAAGATCGGAGACCTTCGCTCATCAGGAGAAACACCTTCGAACTGGACTCGAACGACGAGAAACTCTCGGCCCTGAGACAGGAGTACGAGAGACGTCAGGGAAGCCTCGTATTTCAAAATTCCATTCCCCAGTACTCTGGACATCGAGTCGACAACGATTCCTGTTACGGCTCGCCTCTTCACTCGAGTTTAGGTCCGATAAACGACAATTTCTCCAAAACAAACGATTTCTCTAATAAAGTAGATCATGATCACGCCGAAAGAGAGACAAATTACTTTTCAAGATACGATGATATCTTTCCAATGCAGAGGAGCGCGAGTGACAAGAATGTCTCAAATTCCCAGGAGGATCTGTCGGAGAATTGTCAGAGTTTGCCAGTGGCACTGAACAGTATTTTGACGCGTGACGAATATTTACTTCGACGATCATCTGCTCGCGACGATTCAATTTCCGGCGGTGCCAGTACTTCCGATTCCAGACAGATTTCCAGTCCGTCAGTTCGCCGGAAAACCGAATCAACTCCAATTGTCTCCGGCGGATCCGTTTTTCCGATTCTTCCCGAATCGGAGACAAAAGTAAAATCAAGAATGTCTTCCTCAATGACCACGTGGGTTGTCGACATGAGTTCGGGCAAGAAAGTAAAGAGCAGAGAAATGTCACAAAGCTTTTCCTCTTCCGATTGTACCCAAAAATCTGTAACAAGAAAAAAGACACATGAAAAGCAAGCGAGTTTTGGTTTCTTCGTGGATTTCAACGACATGAACATGAAGGAAAAGGAACCGAAAGTTACCCAACCGAAAAAAAAGGAAAACGAGAAGCAGTATTGTGAATTTTTCATCGACATGTCGGACAGTGATGTTTCGCTTAATTCCAAGAAGTCGTCGCCACGAGTGCAAGAAAAATCGAGTGTTAAGAAAAATTCCATAGACCCAAATTCAATTGCAACGAGTGATAAGAAAAATTCCATAGACACGAATGATAAGAAGAATATATTTTCAATGTTCATTGATTTTAAGGAACCGGAGAAAACCGGAACGAATTCCGGTCCAGAGTGGCGGCTAAAATCCAAAGAGAATTTAACTGGACTGGGAAGGAAAAAATCGGTTGAAAAAGAGACGGAGAGCAGTAGCACTGACGAAGCTTGTTTCCCAACCGAAGAACCGAAAGAAAATCAAAGAGAAATAATAGAGAAAAACAAAGGGGTTTTTATGTTCATTCAATCCGACTCGCCGGTTGTACGGCGAAAAACTCTCTCCAGCTCGCGAGCGCCTTTCAAACGTCACTCGTGGAATACGGACAAAAGTCAGGATGAAAATTCGGGAAACAATTCCGGAAGCATTGCCACAAACGGACCGGTAAAGTCCATTCTTTTCCGCAAGGAACACAAACGAACACAAAGTTGCTCCATAGATCGGAAAGAAGTCCGAAAATTCCAGGGAAGAGCGAGCAAATCCAGCCATTCGCTCAGCGAAGCCGCCCAAGTGAATTCTGTGAATGGAATCACAGAGAACAGCAGAAATCTCGACACTTCGACAGAAGATGTTTTCGAGTACGACATTCGTGATACGCCACCGAATTCGCACATTGAAATCATCAACGAGGACATACGAATGAGCGTCAAACACAATAACATCCAAGAAAATCCGATCACAAAAATTTCAGACGACGATTCTTCGAAAATTTGGAACAAAAGTACAGAAGTGAAAAAGCGAAAGAGTGAGACGTTTGATATCAGCAGTGGCAGTGGACCTTCGCCGGGAAGTGAAATCCAAGACTTCCAATTGACAGAGCTTCTCAATGGAGATGTGCCGAAGTTTATTGACAGAACGCCGTTGATTGCATCCGGTGCGAAGATATTTGAGACCCACAAGTCGTTGAATGAGAAGATCAAGAGAATCGAGAGTGAATTGAAGGGACCTGAGTTGTTTGATTTGAAGCAGAAGGAGGAGTCGAAGATGAGTGGCGATTTTGTACGACTTTCGGACTTGGATAGTACACCGACGAAATGTGCGACGTCGAGTGTGACTTTGGTTAAGGAAACTGAAACCTTCAAGCATCGGATGAGTAACAGTATTCCAGAGACGTCGTGGATTGAGAGTAAATTAGTGATTACGAGGACTAATGGACCAATGAAGACGAGACCAAGGCAATTGTCGTGTCACATGAGTACATCTCTTCCGTCGAAGCAAAAATCACCTCTAGAGGATTTGACCAGTGAAAGGGATGTCGAGGGAATTATTTCCGAATCGGATCTCAGTAGTATGCAAAGTAGCATGGGACGATCTGGAGCTGGTGAGCGGAAGATTATTTTCTATATTCTTGTATTTCGACTCTAAATGACAAAAATTGGAAAAAGTCAAAGATTTTTATTAAAAGTATTGGAAAAAATTAAATGTTTAGAATTTATAAGAAAATTTTGAATTTTTGTTGGTTTGCCTTATAAACTACGAAATTACCACGAATTCTAATACAAAAACTTCAATTTTTTCTATTTCCGATAATTTCTTTTTAAATAACTTAACTTATCAGTTTTATTACTTAATAAATTATTTATTATTTATTTATATAAAATAAATAATTTTACTTAAATATTTCAAAATTAATTGAATTTTAAAAGAGTTACGTTTAAAGTTTTCATAAATAAATGAACTTCAAACGGTTTCTATTTGCAATTTTATAAAATTTCAATTTTTAATAAATTTAATTAGAAATTTTAAAGAAATTTTTTTTTTCTGGACTGTTAAGAATTCACATTCTTCTAAAATTAGTTCAATTTTTTAAATTAAAAACTGAACTAATTTCAGAATTGAACTAATTTTTGACTATAGTTAAAAAAAACTACAAAATATTGAATTTTGGAGAAGTTACAAATGATTGCAGAAATTTAATTATTTTCGAAAGGAAATAAAATTCTTTGCAGAAATTCAATTATATTAAAAAATTATTAAAAATTGTCATCAAACTTTCAATTATCTTTATAAATAATAAAATTCTTCTCCGAAATTCAATTGTTTACAAAAATTTTAATAAAATTCTTGGCAAAATTTCAATTATTTTCAAAAAAATTTCCTCAATTCAATGATTTTCAAATATCTACTATTTTAATAAAATTTTTCAAAAGAATTCAATTGAATTTATTCTTTCAGAAAATTTTAATAAAATTTTCAAAAATAATTACATTTTTCGAAGAAATTTTAGATTTGTATTAAAAATAATTGAAATTCAATGAAGAATTTGATTGTTTATGAAAATAATTGAATTCTAGCAGCGAATTTGGTTAAATTTTTTTTAAATAATTGTATTTCTGCAAAGAATTTTATTATGAAAATAATTGAATTTCTGCAACGAATCTTATTACATTTTTTTAAATAGATGAATTCTTTTGAGAACTTTTATTAAAATAGTAGATTTTGAAAACTTTTGATGTTTTGGAATAATTTGACAATTAAAAAAATTCGCAAATAATGTAAAAATTCAAAATTTTTTTATGAATTCTCTAAAGTTTTTTTTTCCAGAACTTTTAATATATTTCCTGATTTTTCTCTTATAAATTGTACGTTCCCTGAATTCCCTGACTTCTCTTGTTAGTAAAATTTTTTTATTTTGTGAAATTAGTCTGGAAATAAGATAAATTTTTGGAAAAAGAATTCAAAATTTCAATTATTAAAAAAAAATTTCCTTTAATGCAATGATTTTCAATATCTGTTTTATAAAAATTTTTCAAAAGAATTCAGTTATTTAAAACGAATTTTAATAAAACTACGCAAACATTTAATAATTTTCATAAATAACAAAAAAAATCACATGAATTCAATGATTTACAAATTTTGTATAAGTTTATTCTCAATGATTCAATTATTTTCATAGATAATAAAAATTCTTTTTATGAATTCCATTATTTTCAAAAATAATAAAACTCATCGCAGAATTTCAATTATTATTTTTAATCAAACTCCTTCAAAAATGTAAATATTCTTCAGAAATTTTATTAAAATTTGTCAAGAGAATCGATTATTTAAAAATTTGTTGATAAAATTCATTATGAAAATTAAATTCTAAGAAACATTCAATTATATTGAATAACATATTTATTTTTGTATTTAAATAATTGAATTCTCGCAGAAATTTCTGATAAAAAATTAATTTGAAAATGAATTTTAGTCAAAAATTTTAGATAATTGAATATTAAAAGCATTATAGCGTGAATTTTTAGAAATAATTGAATTTTGCAAAGGTTTCTCATTAAAATCTTTGAAAATATGAATTTTTCATGGTTTTAACAGACAATTGTATAGAATTAACTTTTTTGAAAAAGTTTAATTGAATTTTTTTTTTGAAATTATTTCAAGTTTTTATTTTCTAATATATTTTTAATTGAAGAATTTCCGAATAATCGAAATTTCGTAAAATTGAATTCTGAACAAATGAATTTGAAAATTCTTAATGAACTTTGCTAAAAATTATTAAACATCATTTATTTAAAAAAAGAATTTTAGTTAAAAATTTTTGAAAATAATTGAGTCAGAAATTGGAACACGTGTCTTTTTTTTAATGCTTTTAAATTCGTGAGATTAAACGGTGTATTCTTGCAGAAGGAAGTACTGAAGAGACGGAAACTTCTAGTTTTGCTGGTGCAAAACCGTACAATAGGCTCGGAGAGGATCTCCTGCGAATGTTTTTGGAGGAAATTAATCCAGATGTTACAATCGACGTAGCTGGGCGTAAAATTAGAGCTCATAAATGCATTTTGAGTTCTAGATGTCAGTACTTTGCTGCGATTCTTAGTGGAGGTTGGATTGAAAGTACGGGGAACATTATATCTTTACAAGGGTAAGTTTTTGAAATTTTATTTTATTTTTATTTTATTATTATTTTATTTTCATTTAGATTTCACTGTATGCCTTTTGATAATTTTTAGCGCTACAGAATTGAGAAATATATTATTACTGAAAATTGACCGTAAATCTTTGAATTGCAGCTATTCTTACAACGCAGTTCATTTTGCATTGTGTCACATATACAGCGGCGAAAGCAACATTCCGGACACAATAAGCATTATGGAATTGGCGACATTATCGGACATGCTTTGCCTGGAAGGTCTTAAGGAAGTGATAGGTTACACTCTGAAAGTTAAATATTGCCACTTGTTTCATAAAGTAAGTATTGTAATTAAAAATGGATATTTCAAGTGAACAATTTTCAGTTTCTTAATCTGAATTTTCTACCTTTTTACAGCCTTGTCAAGTCTGCGCCGTGGGAGTTTTGGAGTGTATGCCTCTTGCTGCAGCTTACGGATTAGATGAATTATACCGAAAATCCTTGAAGTGGGTTACTCGTCATTTCGTGAGAATTTGGCCTTGCAAAGCTTTCGCTACTTTGCCCAGGGAACTCATGGATAAATGTTATCATCAGCATATTGTTCATATGGTACTTTAAATTATCAAACAAATTTTTCCATTTTTTACAGGCCTCGGATATTATGACTTTCTCGACTATTTTCGACTATTTACAAAAAATGCCGCTTTTTTCGACTTATTTTCAAAAATTGCTGCTTTTTCAACTTATTTCAAAAAATTGCGGCTTTTTCGACTTTTCTTCCAAATATTACAACAAAATACCACATTTACATTATAAAATGCAAATTATTTCAATTTATATAATGTGAAAAACAAGGCAAATTTTTTAATATTTTTTTAATTAATGAGAGACTTTGACAACATTTTTAAATATACGAAGATAATAATTTAAATCTTACATAAAATTATTTGTACAGTAATTTTTTAAGAGGAAATCAATGGCTAGCAATTTTTGGATTTATAGTTTTCTTAAAAATCTTCATATTTCAAACTATTTTTTAAGACATTTTCGAAAATTTTTTAAATGGTCGAAGATCTATAAAAATAAACACAAAACTTTCATTTTTACTTTCTTCAATGGAAATTTATACAAATTAAAAATTAAATATAACCAAATCTATCAATTTTAAAGAAAAATAAAAATCCAGAAAGAGTCAGAATATTTTCTGACCATTCACTTCCTCTAAAAAAATTACTATAAAAATATTTTCTGAAATACTAAGATTATTTTCTTGGTATAATTAAAAATGTAGTCGACATTTTCCCTTAAAGTTCTAAAACATATCTATAATTAAAAATTTTTTGAGTAATTGAAATTTTGTAAAATTTAATTAAAATTAATTGACTTTTTTCAAGTTATTAAAATTTTTGAAAATCAACTTTTGAAGAATTTTAACTGAAAATTTTGAAAATAGTCGAATTCTCAAAAATTTTAATGAAAAATCTTCAAATGTAAATTTTAAAAATGAAAATTAATGAAAACTATATAAAAATACGAAAATTTTTTCATTCTAATTTTTGAAAATTTAATTATTTTCAATATTTTCTATTACATATTTCCGAAATTCAAATGCATCAAAAAAAAAATTTTTTGTATTTATAACATTTTGGAAAAAAATCATGTTCTAAACTCTTTATTAAAATTCTTCAAAAATTAATTGGTTTTTTAAAATTATACAAAAGTTTTTTTAAGAAATTTAATTATTTTTTTGCGCTTTAAAGTCGATCCGAGGCCTGTACTTATTTTATTTTATTTTTATTTCTCGATTTAATATAAATTAGTCTCTTTAGTGAATAGTAAGAATGTTATAAATAATAATTATTTTATTTCAGTCGCCAGAAAATGTGCTGCAAACGGTAATGGATTGCGACAAATTACTGGCAACTTTACCAAATGTTCGTTGGGCCGAACCAGTTTTTCGATTAGTTTCCGATCTTCTTGATACTTCGGTGAAATTTTTGTCCGACAATTTTTCTGGAGTTTTAGGCAGCGACAGTTTCCAAGCATTGGGAAAAGATTTAACCTGGAATATTAGTCGTTTAGAAGATAATTTCCTTCTAGCTGCTGAACGACTACCTCCCGAGCAAGCTTGCAGAAGCTATTCGAAACTCGACAAAATGCTGGCAACGTCTCAAGCAGATGATTTAGAATTGAGACTCAAATGTGGACCTCTATTCATTGATTTTCTTAAAAGAATTCAAAGTCGTGTGGAAAAATGTTTAGTGCGAGAAGCTGCGAGGGCATCGAGAACTGCAACGTGGCTCAAGATGGACCTCGAATTACGACGAAGAATACAGGAGTTGGCTTGTCTCGTGATTCTACCTCATGAAGCCACTAAGCGACAGTCTAGACATTCTAATTTTCTTAAAGTGAGTTTTCAACTATTTTAACTTAAAAGTCATTTTTCGAAAAGTGGGAAATTTCTCTCGACTAGCAATACTTAAATGGAAAAATACTTATTTTTATTTACAGGATATGAAAATTGCTCCTGGTAAATTGTCAACAAATCGAAGTCTAGATATAAAGAAAGTGAAGACGGCAATTACGGAATATAATGGAAAGAGTGTAAAATCAACGACAACGATACAGCAAACAAAACGAGTATTTAATAAACCAAAAACCGATCCTCTTGAACGAAAAATGCAAGAGGAAAAACCACCTGCAGACAATCCACTGAGGCCAAAATCTTGGCCTAATAAAATTGAGGTATATTTTCATTTTTTATTTTATTAATTAAAAAAAAATATTAATATTTCAAATTCTTCCTGGAATTAGTTAAATATTCTTAAATATATATATTTAATTAATCATTAAAAATAATAGATTTATAGAAGAATTTTGGTTAAAAACACTAAAAAATTGAATTTTGAAGAAGTTACAAATAATTGCAAAAATTCAATTCTGTTCAAAAATTTATAAAAATTCGCGTCAAAATTTTCATATATTTTCTTTCAAAATAATAAAATTTTTCTCTAAAATTCAAAAATTTTAATAAAATTCTTGGAAAAATTTCAATTATTTTCAAAAATTTCCCTCAATTCTATGATTTTCAATCAAAATTTCCAAAAGAATTCAATTATTTTAAAAAAAATTTTGATAAAATTCTACACAACCATTTAATTATTATCATAAATAATAAAAATTCCACAGGAATTCAATTATTATAATATTATATTCAAGAATTTAAAAAAAAATCACTAAAATTTATTTTTTTCATAAACAATAATATTCATCACAAGAATTCAATTATTTTCAAAATTAATCAAATTCTACGCTGAAATTCAATTATTTTCAAAAATTTTAATAAAATTCAATAATATTTGTATATATCTATTATTTTAATAAAATTTCCCAAAAAGATTTCAGTTATTTAAAAACAATTTTAACAAAGTTCTGCATGAATAATTAATTATTTTCTAAAATAATGAAAATTTCATCAGGAATTCAATAATTAAAAATAAAATTTTGATAAATTTAAAAAAAATCATTTGTTTGAAACTTTTTTTTATAAAATTCTTCGCAATAATTCAATTTTTTTCATAAATAATAAAAATTAATCGCAGAATTTCAATTATTTTTAATATAATTTTTTAATCGAAAAATTAAATTATTCTTAAAATTTGTATTAAAATTCTTCAAAAGAATTCAATTATTTAAAAATTTTTTTTATAAAATTATTTAAATGAATATTTAATTTTAAGAAGTAATCAATTATTCAAGAAATTATTTATTTTTATATAATTAAATAATTGCATTCTCGTAGAATTTTCTAATGAAAATTAATTTAAAAATGAATTTCAGTTAATATTTAGATAATAATTGAATATAAAGAAAAAAAAATTGTAAACAAATGGATTTTAAAATTCTCAAAGAAAATTTTGAAAAATTATTAAAAATAATTGAATTCCTTCAAAAAATTTTATTAAAAATAATGTTATTTAAATTTTTGAAAATGTTGAATTTTCAGAGATATCAATTTGAAATTTTATAAAACTCTATAAGAAATAATTGAATATTAGAGAAATTATAAATAATATAAATTTTCAGAAATAATTGAATGTTGGAGAAAAAATAATATTAATTTTTAGAAATAATTGACAATTCTGTCAAACTATTTTTTTTTGAAAAATTTTAATTAAAATTTGTCGAAATTAAAAAGTAATTGATTTAGAGAAGTTTTTGAGTTGAAAACTCTAAAAAAAATAATTGAATGTTAGAGAAATTGTAAATATTAATTCTAATATTTTTTAAAATTATTTCAAGTTTTCATTTTCTAAATTTAATTGAAGAATTTTCCAGTATTCGTTTTTGACTAAAATTATTAAAAATGGTTAATTTAAAGAAGAATTTTAGATGAAAATTCTATGAGTAACGAGTTTAAAACAAATCGGATAAACTTGAAAAATTTTTCAAGCGAATACATTTAATACGTGTATATTTCTTAGGCACCATATTGAATCCTCCATTTTGAATTTTAAAAATCTGTTGCGTGACATTTAATTCTCAATTTCAGGTAAAGTCCCGATATTTAGAGCCAAGAAACAAGTCTGCAACAAAAGGACCCGCAGTGCCGGTAAGTCAAGAAAAAGTACTAACTCAGAGAAAGAAGATAATGATTTCCTCGTCGGACTCGTCTAGAACCTCGAGTCCCGCGATGAAACGTGCAATCGAAAAGAAACCTGTAAATAAAATCAAATTACAAATAAAGAAAGACTCGAAAGCTCTCTCATCCGATAGTCTTGCCAATTCGAACGCACCACGAACGAATAACAAGAAGGAAATAATCAGCAAGAGTTGCGGAATCACTAGACCAGAGTCGCCATCATTAAAGCTAAAAAATGTCGAAACTGTGGCTCTCTCAGTGGCATCTCTATCGGATCAAAAAACAAAAACAACTGTTGTAAAGAAATCTACAAAAATGGACACCTCAATGTCCACAGACAGTTTAGCGACTGAAAATACAGGAACTCCGAAATCCACAATTTCCAATAAATTATCACCAACCTTAAATCGGGGCCTTAATAAATTTCAAGTCTACGATCGTTCCAAGAAATTCTCACCACCAATGCCCTCGAAAAATACGCCATTGACTCGAAGACCTGGCCGATCGTTGGAGAGTTCAACGACGGCAAGTCGAAATAGAGCCGCTGCCGCCGCTGCCTCTGCAAACGCTTATCACGGATCTCCAAATCTTCGACGAAATCTTCTCGACGCTGCAAAAACACCGGACATTCCTGTAAAACCATTCAGCAATGTCGCTCCGCGCACAATCACGAGGCACACTGTACAATCGGCAAACACAGCTTTCAACGCTAAACGCGATAAAAAGGAATCGCTCTCTATAAGTGTCGACAGTCCCGGACGAAAGACATCGACAAAATTGAACGCCACTCCTAAATTAAGTAGATTATCTACTGTTGGTAAGAAGAAAGGAACTGAAGACAAAGGAAAGCCCAAGAGCGATGCACCGAAATTGCTTACCGTTGGTTCTAGGTCGGGAACCTTCCTGAAGGACGAACCAACAATACTTAAGAAAGCGGACATTAAAACCTCACAGATAGATAGTTAATTCTAATTAGTGAGCTTTCAAAGCGTAAGAATATTTTCCATAATATTATTATTGCCATTAGCTTCGTTATCTAAGTATTTTTACTTTTTTCCTTCAGTTAATTTTTGAAAAAAGATCATTTTGTTTCGAAAACTCCGGTTTCGAAATCGTTACAAAATTGAAAAGATTTTATTTTTATTCTACTAAAAAGGGGCGCGCGTGAATATCCCATAAAGATTATTTGTTAGAATATTTTTGACGCGTTCCGAATAAAAATTTGAGGTTATGTTAGTAATTTTTGGAATGAAAATAGGCAAAGAGGATCAAGTTTCAATAAAAGCGACTAATGTTAAAGTCTTCATTTCATCTAAAATAATAAATAAAAACTGATTTTGGTTTTAAATTAAATACAGAAACTTTCAACTAAGGCAAAATTAATACAAACATAACCTTAAAATGATTTCCTTCTCAGGTACTTTTCTTCGGAGCACGTCACATTTATTAAACACAATTTTAATTTGTATGTAAATTTTATTAGTTTAAATTTTTTATAAAATTATTTTTATAGTCAGTTTTAGAGAGGAAATCAATAGTCAGAAAATATTCGGAACCTTTTTGGATTTATAAATCCAAAATAAAATAAAATTTATAAAATCTATGAATTTTTAAATCCATCCGTAATTTTGTAGAAAATGTTTTTGTATTTCCAAAAAAATTACCGAATGAAAAAAATGCAAAAGGATTTTTTTGTCGTGGATTTTTCAAAAATCCTAAAATTGCAACTAAATTATTATTTTCTCGCCTCGGAAGCAATTTTTTTTTTCTAAAAAAAAAATTATTGATTTCCTCGACTTGGATCTTTTGGCAAATATTTTAAAGGACTTCCAACTTTAAAATGTTTATTTTAAATTTAGAAGTAATTTAAAATAATTTGCAAAAGAAAACATTTTCATTGAATAAACGTTGGTAACTTCAGTTTCATAAAATTCGGACAAATGAAGATTTCGATGGAATAGAAATTCTAATTTTTAAAAATTCGATTCACTCAAATTCTGCTGAATGATATTTCTTCTAAATTCAAATACGATTAGATTACATTTCTTTTAAATCAAAAAAAGATTATTAATTAAAACTTCAGTCAATTGAAAATTGTGTTAAATAAAAATTCGGTGATCTCATGTTCAGTTTTGTAAAATTATTACTATGTAAAAATTTCCGTTACTAATTCTTGAATAATTCTGAACTTCTGTTTGATATTCTAACTAATAATTTCTATATTCATGCGCAACGATTTCCTAATTAGTAATTAAGAATTAAGTTATTAATTAAATCTTTACAATTTTTGACCTACAATTTAACAGAATTCAAGATTATAAAAATACCATAATTAAAAAAAATAAAAATATAATTCTGCCGGTTAGAATTATATTATCAAATTATTTTCATCGCAATCAGTGATTCTTGTTAATTTTTCCTTTCATTTTTTTGGTTTTAAATCGAATCTGAATATTTTTTTGTACTCTAAATTGAATATTAACTAAAATACTCTAATTTCGATTTAATTTGTATCTGGAGATTTTTAGTTCGTTTTGAAAGAATTTATTTTGGAAAAAAGTGAAAATACGGATCGTTTAATGAAAATGGTGGCAAATGAATTGTGGAGAATTTTCATCAAAAACTATTGTATGCCTTTGTACCTTGCATTAGTGATCAGCGATTGAAGAGATATTACAAAAGGTGATTATTGAAAAGAGAAATTAAAAAAAAATCATTAAATATTAAAGTGAAAAATATAATGAAGGATGAGGAAATATTTAAATACTTGATGTGTATCTGTGAATGCTTTTTTTTCAAGTTGAAAGAGTTTCTTTCTAATTCGGTTACAATCATTGAAAACACTTTTTTGTTACTCATTTGCTTCAGAAGAAGCAAACAAAATTTTATTTTCATTGCTCTCATAAATTCACGAAAAAGAACACCCATTTTTCAAAAAGAAAAATAATAATAAAATGAATTTTGCCAAGAAAACGCCTGTGAGCGTTTATTGAAAAAAAAGTGTGCGTGTGAGTGTACGTGCGAAATCTCAGTTTTGTACGAATAAAAATGATAGAAAGCGTGTCTCTACTATAACCGAAAATTGCAAAAAAAATTATGTATTTATTTTTTTTTTCAAATTTATATTATTGTTTCTTTAAAAGAAAAATTATTTATAGTTGATTATTTTTTTTTAAAACTGAATTAATTATTACAATTGATTGGATCAATTGAAAATGTTTATGATTATGAAACCAAAAATAATTTAATAATTAACAAAAAAAAAGAAGAAAAAAAGTCGATTTATTTGTGGCTTAATTAATACTCGTATATGCGACAAAGTCTCGGTGATATTAATTATTTGAATTAGGATATGAAGCGAAATATTTTCGATCACTAATGCAATTAGTGTAATTGTATACTCAGCTAAACAAAAAAGAAAACTTTGGCATAGTTATATAAGTTAATATTATCTCGTAGTAATAATGTGCACTGTATATCGGTAATCGCTAGAACAAAAAAAAAATGCCAGTTCTTATTTTTCTTTAAATTAATTTCCAAAGTTTATTTTAATTCTCAAAAAAGCGATATTCATTGATTTCTTTTAAAAGTTTTTCAATTTTTTTTCTCTTTAATAATGTAACTGCAGCAGATTATTTTTTTTTCTTGTCTTATGGATGTAAATTCTGTTTTAGTTGGCGTATACATGTATTGTTGAAGCGAGAAATACTGAATTGTAGCCAGTCATTATATTTATTTATCGAAAATCTATCTCTATTTTGCAATGTACATTTTTATGCAATATTTGTATCTAGTCATTTATATATTTTGAATATTTACTTTATGTAATGTTATGAAAATATCTCTATATAAAGATAGAAAGTTGTAAAATTATCTAGTACTTTATTTCAACTTTAAAAAATTGCTTTTTTTAAAATCAAAAACACTTTTTTACCAAAGTTTTTAAGACTTTCTGTTTTTGTTTTTCAACTTTTTAAAAAGCTCAAATTCAAAATACTCTATAAAAAAATATCTATAGATAACTATAAAAAAAATTTTTCGAAATTTTTCAAAATTGTAACATACGTATAAAAATATCAAAATTAGACTTTTTTCTTAAAACGAAGTTTCGATAAAAATTTCGAATACTCATTTCCTTTTTTTCTAATAAAAAAAATTGAGAGAAATTTCTAAAAAGTATTTGAATTTTATTTTTCAAATAAAGTGTTATGAGAAATTTTGAAACATTTTTCGATATTTCAAGAAATAATAATAACTTCAATAATTTTGTTAAATAAATGTCTAAATCCTACTTCTTATTTGTTTTTCAACGCAAAATAAACTTTAAAAAATTTCAATTGAAAACTTTCTGAAATTTCATAATTTCTAAAAATTACAATTTTTCCAAACTTCAATTATTATTTTCTACAATATTTTTAACCAAATTTTATTTCTAAATCAATTATTTTTAATAATTTTCCGAAAATTCTTTAAGAATTCAATTATTTTTTAGAAGCTAATTTTTATTTTTAAATTTACAATTGAAGATTTTTCATTAAAATTTTTGAGAATTCGAGTATTTTCAAAATTTGCAATTAAAATTCTTCAAAAGTTGATTTTTAAAAAATGTAATTTTTTTCATCTATTATTTTATCTTATTCCGTAGTCTGCAACTTTTTTGTATTTTGAATTAAAATTTTTTGTTAGAACGTTACTTTTCTTTGAAAATTTCATGAATAAATTATATTCGAACTAAATTTCAGTAAAAATTAGAAAACTTTGTTTTGAACTTCATAAATTTTTAGCGAAAACTAGTAAAATTTATTATTAAAAGTTTACATAATAATTTTTACTATTTCTGAAGAAAATTTCTTTTATAAAAATAATAAAAATTTACTTCAGAATTAAAAAAAAATTTGCCAAGAAAAAATAATCTTTAATAAGTTGTAGGCACGTTTCTAGAAAATTTAAAGAAATCTTACATGAAAATTAACCGTAGAAGTAGGAAGTAAAATTTGCTATAGTAAAAATAAAATTATTTTTAATAAAAATTTTTTTAATTAAAAAAAAAATTTTTTTTATTTTTTTAAAATAAATATTTTTAATAAAGTAAATTTTAATAAAAATTAGTAAAATATATTCTGAAAAATTCCAAATAGATTTATGTTATAGTTTTTAAGTAATGGAAGTTATTTTATATTTATTACCGTTTACGAAAAATTTTTAAGTTTTAAAACTCTGCCATGAGAATAGAAGATTTTTAAGTTTCAAAAAACTAAATTTTTCCAAACCTTGCAGAAAGTAGAAATTTTTTTCTTTAACATAACTAAAAAAATGTTCTAACTTAGAAAAAAATAACAATTTTTGAAAGTTATTTACAAACAATTCTAATTTTATTCAAGAAAATCACTTTTTACAAAATATTTCTTAGTAAATATTTTAAAATTACATTTGGAAATATTACAACTGAATATAATACAATTATTGTACATTAGTACATATTTTTTTAACATCATATTATTAACACTTGAAATACTAATTTCTAGTTTAAGCTTTAGAAAAATTTTTAAATCATCAAATTTGTAAAAAAGAAAGTTTAGTTTGTATTTTGAAATTTTCGAAAATTTTCAAATTTCAAGTTCGAGACCTTTTACAAAAATTCCAATCCTATCCAATTTTGACGGAATGTGTAAAAAATTTAGTTTAATTTCTTTCTTTCAAGTTTTGGTAGATGAAAAAAATTTCGAGTTTGAAACCTTAAAAAAAATTGCAAATTGTATAAATTAGTTTTATTAAATAAAAAGGTTAATTATTTAAAAAATCCAATTACTTATATATCTAATAACGTTCCTCTCGGTCTTGTTCGTTTCGGGTCTGCTTCCGGTGGTGCCATTGCTTTTCGTTTATTCATTCCTTTTCTCTCAAGTTGTTTTTCAATTATCCTCGCGTTATTTGCGTACGAATCAGCAACTTCTCTCTATGGAAAATAATTTTTATTTTAATAAAATTTGAAAAGTAAAATAGAACCTATTTCTAATTATAGAATATTTGAAATAAAAATTAGAATATTTCTATATTTAGGTATAATTAAATTTTAACGAATTTTAACTTTGAATTTTTGAATTTAGTAACTTTTCCAATGAAAATAGATGAAAATTTTTCATAAAAAATTTACTGAATTTTAATTATAAATATTGATATTATTACAGCTTCGATTTCATCTTCCTCTTCATCTATCGTCGACACTGTCACGGAACTGAATTTGCCCATATTTTTCGTGTGCTTAGTAACCATTATCTTCTTTGGTTTCTCGACGGCCACTTGATTGTAAATATCAGTCATTGGACCCTCTCCAGAACTTTTAATCACTGATCCTTTCACGATAAATACAATATTGGCGGCGAGATCGAATTTGTAATAAAGCAATAAACCGCATCTGTGGAAAGAGGAGAAAATTAGATTAAATCAAAATTATTTTTTTTTATTTAAATATTTGAAAAATCTTACTTTTTACACTTCAATCTGTGTTGTTTCTCGATTCCTTCGGGACGTTTCAAAAAGACAGCTTCATCCTGTTCGAAAGTCATTTTATGTGCGTGTTTACTGCCATCGATAACTCTTGCACCATCTCGTTTGCGAAGAGGTAACTTTTCCAAAGCGCAATCTGAAGAAAAATTCAATTCAGAATAACAATTACTATAAAAAAGAATAAAAACAAATGAGAAGCAAGATTTAAACATTGATAAATTTTTCACTTTTGAATTTGAGAGCAAATTTTACTAAAAAGAAATTTATTTACATTTGAAAACATTTACAGGCCTCGGATCGACTTTAAGAAGCAAAAAAAAGTCGCTTTAGTCGATTCAAAATAGAAAAAATTTCGCAAAAGTAGCTTTTTCTAATTCTGTGTTGTCGTAAAAATTTTTATTGTATTCTCCTGACCTTTCACTAATTTCTAAATTCAATTATTTAAAACTTCAATAATTTTATTAAATAAATATTGAAATACTTCTTACTTCTTTTTCCAAGGGAAATAAAATTTAAAAAGTTTCAATTAAAATCTTCTGAAATAATTTTCTACAATGTGGTATTTTGTTGCAATATTAGGAAGAAAAATCGAAAAAGTATATCCGAGGCCTGCATTTGCGTTAAATTTTTAAAGATTAATAACAATAATAATTTAATTATTTACTAATTTATTAAGAAAATTCACTTTAATTAAAATATTTTAAATTGAAAAAAAATTCTAATACTGTAATTTATTGCAGTTTTTCTTCATCAAAAATCCTTAGTTTCGTAAAAATTATTTAATAGTAATATTAACTTTATAGAAATTTACCTAAAATCAAAGTCATTTGTCCACAAAGACAATAATAAATATGCAAAGGTTTCTCTTCACTATATTCTTCTTGATCCTTTGTATCTGAACAAATAATACTTCTTGAAACAACTTTCGGCATTTTTATTATTATTATTATTTTCACTACAATAATTAATAAAGTATTAAAGATGCAATGTTTTTCCTTATTCTTATTATTAAAATGGCCTTTTTCCAAAAAAGTTTCTCTTTCAAAACGTACACACTACGATTACAGCAGAAAACTGCCAAAAACATAAACAGATATCATATGTTCACCTCAGGGATGGGTAGAGTTTTGTACAAATATATCGCTCTTAAGGTATTTCTTCAATAAACCATTAAGGGGATTTCAAAGCTTCTGCTCTACTGCGCGAAATCAGGTAAGCAGCTTATAAAGTTGTGGCAGACCCATAAAGAGTTAAGCTCGATCATTGTAGAAACACCCTTTGAGTCAGATGTATTACGTACGCATCCCTGTTTAAATGTATTTATTTTTTTTAAGTTATAAACAAAAATAAAATTTGTTTTTAATAATTACCTGTTATTTACAATGGATCTGAATGAAGAAGACTGGACAGTGAATTGTTCTGACGATGAAAAATACGAGGCTGATTTAAAAGTATGTTATTGTATTGTGAATATAATTCCATGTTTCGTTTATATTTATTACATCTTAATTTTGTCTTGTTAAAAAATAGCAACTTTTCAATTTTTTCCCAAAAAAAGCAAATTGATAACGTTACAGTCACATTTTCTACAAAAAACGTCTATAACTTTTTTAAATAACAATAATAGTGTTAAAGATTCTTTATATATAGTTATGATAAAAACATTTATTTACTAGCTGTAGTAAACAAATAAAATGTTTACCATAGTTTTTACGTCAGCGTTGTTAATAAAAGAATAAATTAAACACTTTAGCATCTGTTAATAGAAAAAAAGCATTTAAAAAAGCATTGTTTTTAAAAACAAGGCATTTATAAAAAAAACTGAGTCATTTAAATTCTAAATAATACTCTTTAATTCACAGAGTGAATGGATTCTTAAACCAGATGACATTATGAATTTAATAGAAGGAATGGAAGCAAATAATAGAATTTTGGAAATTGAATGGAAATGTCCGGGTAGACGTGGGCTTTCTCCTGTGCCTATGAGCAATCATCAACAAGATCCTAATCTTCAAGATTATAAGTGAGAAAAAAACATGGTTTTACTTTCAATTTTAAGCAATTTTATTTTACACATAAATTTATTTTTAATTTTTACCATTTTAAATGGACTATTAACAGGGTGTCTACTATTTTCGTTCAACAAAATTCCCGGTTATTTCCCAGTTTTTTCCCGGCTTTGCCCTAATTTTTCCCGGTTTTTTTTCTCATCAAATTTAAATTTATTTGATTTCAAACATAAATAAATCTACAAACGGCTTCCAAAATTTTTATTAGTTTTTATGAACGATTTTCTTTAAATTTTTTGAAAATGTTTTTTTTAAAATAATTTTAATTAGAAATGTGGAAAATAATTGAATTAAGCAAAGAATTTTTTCAATTTTTTAAAATAATCTTGTCTGTTCATAATTATAATTGAAAATTTGATTAGAATTTTATTAAAATTTTTGAAAATAATTGAATTTCTGCAAAGAATTTTACTATTTATAAAAGTAATTGAATCCTTCAAAAGAATGTTATTTATGAAAATAATTAAATGTTTGCGTAGAATTTTATTACAATTTTTGAAAATAATTGAATTGTGGAGAACAATTTAATTATTTCTAAAAATAATTGAAATTTTGAGGAGAATTTAAAAAACAATTTTAAACATACAATTGAATTTCTGCGAAGAATTTTATTATTTTTGAAAATAATTGAATTGTTTGTTTGGAATTTTATGGAAATTTATGAAAATAATTGAATTCTTGTAAAGAATTTTTTTTTTAAATAATATTCAAAAGAATTTAGTAAATCTGAAGAATTTTGCTATATTATGAAAATAATTGAATTCTTTCAACGAATTTTAATAAAATTTTGAAGAATAATTACATTTTTCGAGGAATTCGATTAAAATTGTATTAAAAATAATTGAAATTCTGCAATGAATTCAATTATTTATTTATAAAAATTCAATTATCTTGAAACAATAGAATTAAAAAATTTTAAAACTCTTATTTTTCAGAATTTTCTAAAAAAAATTTGGGAAAATTCAATTTTATTAAAAAATTTAAAGTGTACTATATCTTTTTTTAAATTAACTAATAAAAATTTTAATTATTAATCTTCGCACTAAGAAACATGAATACATTAAAATGTGACTTTTTATAAGATTCTATTATTATTTATCAATTATTAAATTAAAATACTTTGAAAATTCGATTTGTTAAAAAGTTTTTAATTAAATTCTTTAACAAATTTAATTATTTTTAGTTAAATTTCACAAAAAGATTAAAAAAATTTTTTTTTCTAATTTTTAGAAATTTTGAAGCAGGCGCAATTTTTTTTTGAGTATCTAGTATCGTATGAATTAAAATGTCTTTAGAGTTTATAGTTTGTTGAAAACCCCGACAAAATTGAGTGGTAAGCAAGGTTTAAAGTGCTGTCTTACTACATTATATTGTATCACTTTATTCTAGAGCCGATGTAAAATCAGATTTTGATTTCATGGATGAAATGGCTTCTCCTCGTCTTCCAGTTCGACGAGTGGGAGAAAGCACGCCAAAAGGTAGTGCGAAAAAGAAAACAGCCAGTTTCAATGGCGTTTTGTCGACAATGTTACGTCATCGTCGTTTAGAGCAACAAGAAATAAATTCAAGTCCCGCAAAAAGTGAACCAAGTTCGCCTGGAGTAAAACAACAATTAAACATGTGAAATATTCCTCTTTAACTATGAATGGATTTTTTATTTTCTCATTCATCAAAAAGAACTCGATGTCCAAAAAATGGATAAGCATAATCACTTATAGACAATTTACCAAGGATGTTATCTTTTGCAAAAAAAATTCCAGGTGATATTTTAATCAAAAACAGAAACTTGTATAATATATAAAATGAGTTTTTTCTTCAATGAATGATGAATATATATATGAAAAATTTTTGGAGAAAGAGTGATCGTGAATTTTTAAAAGAAATTAAGATTCAATTTTATTGCTAATGAATTATTTATATTATAAAATAGTTGTTTATATTTAGTTGAGTGTATAGTTATATGTGAAACTGTAAATATTTCTTTATCATTTTTGTGAGTTTGCTAAAAATGTACAATTAAATAAATATTACTTTAAAATTTACTAAATATTCAGTCTTATAATATTACGTTTATTTTGTTTTCAATGAAAATTTGACAATGGAAACAAAAAATAAATCTAACAGGTAAAACAAGTTTATTGAAAATATTACAATATTAAACAAAATTATAATTATATGTAGGTAAAAATTTTATAGTCGGTGAAGAATATAACATTATTTCGCCAGCTGCACACACGAAAAATCGAAGAAAATTCAGCACTTAATATTTGCTATAAACTTTTTTTTTTAATTAATTCAATTCTATATTATTTGTACATATTTTAATCGTAAAATTTAATACGAATTCTGAATAAATTCTGTAGGAAATTTGTCCTAATTATTTTTTACCTGGTGACTGTACAAGAGAATCTTGTTTACTTACTTATACAAGTTTTTTAATAGATCGTTTTTTTGGGCTATTATTTATTCGGTCACTTTTAATTATCTCCCAATTGCTTTTCTCCTTTTCAGTTAACACGAGAGTTTCAATTTTTCTGTCTAACATTTGCGTTATTTCGGCATACGATGCCTGCATGATTTTTATTTGTTTTCTATATTGTTTAATTGTTAATTGGTTTAGCAAACTTGAACATAGTGCAATAAGTTGTGAAATTTTTCCAGATATGTTATAAACAAAAGTTTCCGCCATCATATCAAGAAAATTCATTTGTTTTTTTTTCAATAAAGTATCAATAAAGATACTTCGATTAATTTTATTCTTCAAATCTTGGTTCTTAATAAATTGTTTGAAAAGATCATCGCTGTTTTCTATAATTTCAATTTTCACGAATATACTAGAATTTTTCCATGAAGTATTATTAATATAGTTTTCCTTGGTAAAATAAGTGTTTCTCGTTGAATTTAACATATTAGCATTATTTCTTATGTGTTTACTATGCAAAAACTCAAACTTTTCTCTCCAGAATGCGTTTATTATATCGTTCATGTTCATAAATTCTTCCATAGGGTTCAATGTATCGTAAGCCTTTTGCAGGCAAGTTACTGTTCTCTCTGCAATAGAAAAACCCACGTCCTGGAGACATTCCATTTTTATTCTATATGAATTTTGAATAGCTCCAATAATATTATCATCAATATCAGAAGTAATTAAACCATTGTTCCTTGCCTTCCTGAAGAACGCAATACGATTGTCATTATCTTTTACATGCCGTACAAAATCTCTAACATCTGCGGACATTGTCATATTAGATTGGGATATTATATTTCTTTCTAATTTTCTCTTTATATATTCATTATCGATTTTATAATTAGAAATCTCAAAAGGTGCTTTGGAGATAATTAATGATATAGATGGAAAAAAAATTCTGAATTTGCCATTAAGGAAAATTTCAAGATTACGTAAAAGAGCTAAAAACGGTTCAGTATTTCCGGTAATGATCTCAAAACTAACAACTAGAACAAATTTTAGAGTTTTTACTTTCTTTACTAAATGATGCAGATAAAAAGAATTATTGACGTCTTTTTTCACTCCTCTACTGTCGTCAAATCCAGCAGAATCCCAGATGTCCAAATTAGAGAATATTGCTGAATTCCACTTTGAGGGAATTGAAGTCTTTGACACTGTCCCTTCACCAATTTCTGGACCTATAGAGTTTTCGTCAAATTTTTTTATTTTTAGGTTATCATATTTACTTGGAAAGTAGGCTGTCAATTTATTGCCTATTAAGTAATTAATTAGTGTACTTTTTCCACTTCGTGCTGGACCTACGACAATTGCTGCATTTCGATTCGCATTTCGAACTAATCTTTCTATGTATTCATCTGCATCAGAGAAAGATGTTTTTAATGCATCTACCTCATCCGCATTGAAGTTACAGTCATTGCTTTTGATTACCGAAATTAGTGAACAGATGATTACTATTCGAATCATGATTTATAAATGATAGGTTCTAACCTTTTTTTGTTGATGTTCAGTGACCTGAAAAATTGATAAAAATACTGGAAATATAAAAAGTAAAAACCTTGTAAATACATTGACTGATTTGAGAAAAACCTTGCAATACGGTTTGGTGACATAGCATGCATAGCATGAAAGTTTGCATAATACGATAAACAACGTGGCACTTATTCAATCGGCAAGAGGTTCTAGCCGTTTACTATAAAAAAAATGGCGCTTACATATACTACCAGAGGTAGGGATAAATTTCTAAAAAATTGAGCTACATATACAGTTAATCAAAGTAAATAGTAAATTGTTTTTTTAAGTAATAAAAACTTACCGTCTGACGTCAAACTTATTTGTATATTAAATAAATGGGAACAGACAAATAAATTTTAATTTTTGCTAATTGTTTGAAATTTAATGCAACGTCGCACAATACTAAATATGTAGCGTTTAAGAATGTTACGCAATTTGCCAACTATCTAATTATAAATATTTAACATATGTATTTAGAATATTTCCAAACTTTATTTGCTGTTAACCAATAGAGAAGCTACAGGTACAAGGTATAGATTAAAAGAAAAAGTTATAATTTATTAGTTCATGAAACGAACACAAATAAATATTCATGTTTATGAAAAATTGTTATCTATTATTAAGGCTAAATGTTTTTTTTTATGAATGCATTTTCTTACCAAAAATTATAAAGTTTATTATTTTACCCACTAATCCTTTTCTCCTTTAGAAAAAAAGGCGCATGAGTGAGAAATCTCGAATTTAAATCGAAATAATCGAATGTACTCTCGCAGTTTAAAAAAAAAGGTTGAATATAATATCGAAAAATATCGAAACAGGAAATGAGCATTGACAATGTAAAAAGTGAATAGAAGTGCGGACTCACATTTCCAAATGAAAAGTACCTTGAAAACTTAAGAGTTGGAGCTACAGTCGCTCTTCTTAATATCATTGGATTTGCAATTTTTACTTAATTTTAATTAATCTTTTAACAACGAAACGGTTAATATTGATAAATCCTTTTGTTCTAAATTTTTCAATTACTCATTTATAATATATTAGTTTTTTAAAACAATCTATAGAAAATTTTACAAGTTATTAAAAGAAATCGGTTAATAAAACAACTTGGAATATTGTAAATAAATGATTTTATATTTATTCACTCCGCAGATGTGTATGTGCAATCGATGTTAGGACTTGAAGGTCATGTCTACAGAGTACAGTACGCGAAAATACTTGACTCTTTTTCTATAATTCAAATTATCAATTTCACATATATACATAGCTTTATTTGAAATTTACTAACGTGATATTGCGTGAATACCCAAAAGGTTAAAATTTTCTGTACTCGAGAGCACTATAATCATTGGCGTATATCGGTTTATTATTCAGATCCGAATAACCATTTTTTTTTTTAATTAATTTGGTACAATAAACGTCACACATTTCAAATCTTTAATAGATATTTGCAATACTTCAGGTCGTTGTACATAGATTACTCATTATACTTTTTAAGGATTTTTCGACCTACTAACGAAACTTCAAACTAACACGCATTATTTAAGTAGGAAAATAGATGTTTATATATAGTTAGTTTCACATTTTGAATATAAAAATCTAAATTTATTTTTATTTCAAAAACTATATTAACACATTGTTTTCTAAAACAGATATTTTGTGTAAAATTATTCCCTTAAAGATTACATTTTATTATTTTGCACTATTTTTTTTAAATACCTATTAGAAAAATAATAAAGTTGAACATTTTTTCACTTTTGACAAATACTTATTTTGCAAATTGTTCGCTAAATCTTTTTCTATTTTATTGTTTAAACTCTAAAAAAAAAATTCTTTTAATTTCAATTCAAAAGACTAATAATCATTCTTTGTACTTTTTAATTAATTTTTAAAATAAATATAAATAAATAGTATACTTTTTTTATATCTCGTTTATATTTAGTTAAAAAATTTTCTTGCCAAGAAATTATAGAGTATAGATTATTAGAAATTTTTAAATTATACTGTTTAAAATTAATGAGAATGATAATATTATATACAATAATAATAATATTATTGTAATTAAATATCTTGTAAGAAAATTGAAATTTTTATAAAGATTTTAATCAAACCTAAAATTTTCTAAAATTTCAATTTTGAATGAAATTTCAATTATTTTCAAAAGTAATAAAATTCTTATCACAAAATTAAATTTTGTTCAAAATTTTTTTTCAAATTCTCATAAAAATCGCAATTTTCTTTATAAATAATAAAATTCTTCTCCAAAATTCAAATATTTTCAAAAAATTGTAATAAAATTCTTGTTAAAATTTCAATTACTTCAATAATTTTTCTTAATTCAATGATTTTCAATATCTACTATTTTAATAAAATTTTCTAAAAGAATTCAATTATTAAAAAAATTTTTAATACAAAATTCTACGCAAACATTTAATTTTTTTTCATAAATAATAAAAATTTGAAAGGAATTAAATTATTTATCAATTTTCTAATAAATTTCTTCGCAATAATTCCATAATTTTTATAAATACTAAAATTTTTTATACGAATTCAATTATTTTTTTAAATAATAAAACTCATCGCAGACTTTCAATTACTTTTAATATAATTTTAATCGAATTCCTCGAAAAATGTAATTATTCTTAAAAAGTTTATTAAAATTCGTCGAAATGGTAATTTAATTATTTTTAAATTTGTTGTTTCTTTTCTAATAAAAATGGATTCAAAAAGGAATTTTAGTTACAATTTTAGATAATAATTGAATAATAATTTTGAAGGTTTCAAATTAAAATCTTTAAAAATTTAAATGTTTTATACTTTTAACTTACAATTCTGTAGAATTAATTTTTTTTAAAAAGGTTTAATTATTGAATTTTTTTTAATTATTTGAAGTCTTTATCTTTTAATGTATACATTTAATTGAAGAATTTCCGATTAATCGAAATTTCGATTATTGTAATCAAATGGATATGAAAATTCTCAAGGAACTTTAACTTTTTCAAAAATTATTAAAAATAATCGATTTAAAGAAGAATTTTAGTTGAAAATTGTAGAAAATAATTATATAAATAAATAAATTAAATATATTAAATATATTAATATAATATAAAATAAAAAACAGAAATATATTAATATAATTGAATTGAAATGTTGAAAATAATTTTAAAGAAGTTTATAAAATAATGATTTTATCACTCGGTCAACTTTAATTATTTTGAATTTCAAAAAAGTTTGAATTTGAATGTTTTGAAGAATTTTAATTCCTACGGAAAAAATAATAATGAATAAATATTTATTTTAAAAAAGTCACTGGATGTTTTCAAATAATTTTACAATTAAAGAAATTCGTAAATAAATGTAATAGAAATTTTTTTTTGAGTATCTAATCATTTTTCAGAGAAAAGTAAGGGAAAAAAATAAAATTTTTTTGGCAATCCTGTAAATTTAAAAATATCTGAATATATATTATTTTCAAAGTGTATTTTCTTCGTTTTAATGAAAAGAAAGTCATTGCAGAAACACCTTCATAGATTAATTAACTTCTAGTTAATTTTGCAAAATAAGTTGAAAATTTGCGTAAATTATAATCTCTTAATTTTCTTTCATTTCATTTCATAAAATGACGACTAATTCGAAGTTCCGTGAATAAGTCAAACTTTATTGAGAAGTTAAAACTTGAAAATTTTTTTTTTGAAAAGCACACGAAACGAGAATTTTGCACTCATTCTTTTATAAGAATCAGACGAGTTACAAAATATCAGAAACGTGAAATTTTTATAATCGAAAATACGTTTAAAACACCGTAGTCTATAGTGACATTTAGAATTCCAATTTCTCTATACATCCAAACATATATTCTGATCGCAATAATGAATTTCTTTCTTCTTTTTTTTGGACTTGGTGCAAGAGTCAACAATAAATTAGCAATTCCAATAACGTAAACGCGCAATGACAGCAAAAAACCGTTCCTCACACACGTATTTTTAAACTTAAAACTTCTTTCACAGCCTACTTAAAACTTATCTTAACTTTTTTTTTGTTTTGTTTTCGAATCAAAAACCTATAAATCGAAAAACCTGAATTGCATAACGAAGGAGCCAAAAGTCTTATTCGCCTGACTCTATTATAAAGTATACACATTGCACAGTATGTCTGGTTATCGTCGCTCATTCAGATCTTTCACTCTCCGAATTCCATCTCATTTCTATACACCACTTAGTACAAATTACTAACTCTAGCAATAAATATTAGATCGCTCAAAGAATCTAGCGCGTTGTTTCACGCGACTTGCATAATGCATGTTTCTGATACAAATTATGTATAAATTTCGACACTCACATTATTGTTGGAATGTCGATATTAAGTTACATTTTCAAGTTTCCCTCTTTTTGTTTTATTTTGTTTTGTTTTTTTTTTGTAAAAGAAACTTTTCATTTGCTCAGTTCACTGTATTTGCCTCTCCCATAGAAGTTACCTTTGTCGTTCTCTGGCACGACGTTGTTCCTTCGAAATTACCACCAGCTACCACTTCGCTTCCAACTTTTCCCTCATGGTGGATATTGCACTGACAAGGACTAGTGCGATGGTGGAGGCGACAAAAACAATCGCTGCACACTCTCACTGGACTGTAAAGTTGCTCGCTTGGTAATGGAGTAGAATTTTCCGAACAATCTGCGCAAAATACTCTTCCACAAGACCTGAAAATTCCAAGTGATTTGTAAGTTTAAGATTTACTGGAATCTTAGTTATTAATTCATTGGCAATTTAATTTTACGAAATTCCGATTATTCTGACATTTTTCAATATATATTAGAAATTAAAAACTTGAAATAATTTTAAAAAATTCCATTAAACTTATTGAGAAACATTAATTCTATAGAATTCTTAATTAAAAGTATGAAAAATTCAAATTTTCAAAGATTTTAATTCTGCAATTCATTTTTAAATCAATATTTATTAGAAAATTCTACGAGAATCCAATTATTTAAGTATAAAAATAAATATTTTCTTAAACAATAGAATGTTTCTTAAAATTGAATTTTCATAAAGAATTTTATCAACAAATTTTTAAATAATTAAAATCTCTTGACAAATTTTAATAAAATTTTCAAGAATAATTGCATTTTTCGAGAAATTTGATGAAAATTGTATTAAAAGTAATTGAAATTCTGACAGGAATTTTATTAAAAATTTTGACAACAATTTTTGAATTGCGGAGAAACATTTTATTATTTATAAAGATAATTGAAATTTTGATGAGAATTTTTGTAAATTTTTAAATATAATTGGACTTTTGCAGGCTTCACAGTCTGTCCCCTATTTCCCTAAAAGTCTCCTTTTTTTAATTTTTGCCCCTAAACGTACCCAATTTTGAAAATTTCCCCTTTTTTTCGTCGCAGGAAATGAATTATTTTCAATAATTTTCAAGTAATTCTTAATAACCAATAAAATTCTCCCTATAAAATCAATTATTTTAAGGATTTTTAATGAAATTCTTTTCCAAAATTCAATTATTTTGATAAATATCAAAATTTATAACAAGAATTCAATAATTATTGGCAAAATTTCAATTATTTAAACAAAGTTAATAATAAATACTTTGCACGAATTCAATTATTTTTATAAATTTTAATGAATATCTCGTCAAGAATTCAATTATGTTTATAAATAGCAAAATTTTATCCGAATTTTTCGCCAAAAATTCAATTATTTTCAAAAATTTAAATAAAATTTTTTGCAACATTTCAATTATTTTAAAAAGTTTTTCGCAATTCAATGTTTTTAAATATTTACTATTTTCATAAAATTTATCAACAGATTTAATTATAGAAAAAACTTTTTGATACAATTCTACGAAAAGATTCGATTATTTTCATAAATAATAAAATTTCATTTACGAATTGAAATATTTTCATCGCAGAATTTCAAATATTTTTAATACAATTTAAAATAAATTCATTGAAAAATGCAATTATTATTAAAAATTTTATTAAAACTTGAGGAAAGAATTCAATTTTAAGAAACATTCAATTATTCTATAAAACAATAAAATTCGTTGCAATAATTCAAATATTTTCATAAATAACATTTAATTCGTCACAGAAAATCAATTATTTAAAAAAAAATTTTAAGTAATTTTGCAAAGGAATTCAATTAGCTTGATAAACAACAAAATCGCATAAATTCTTCTCATAAAATCAATTATTCTAAGGAATTTTAATAAAATTCTTTACCAAAATTCAATTATTTTGATAAATATCAAAATTCATTACAAGAATTCAATTCTTTGGAAAAGTAATAAAATACTTTGCAGAAATTAAATTATTTTCAAAATTTTTTAAAAATTCTCGTCAAGAAATAAATTATCTTTATAAATAGATAGGGAAATTCTTCTCAAGAATTAAATTATTGTCAAAATTTTTTTCAAATTCTTCTGAATTCAATTATTTTTAAAAGTTTTAATAAAATTGTTCTCATGAATTCAATTGTTTTCAAAAATTATTATTTAAATTCTTGTCAGGAATTCAATTATTTTTAAAAAATTTAATGAAATTCTTCAAAAAGTTTTCTATTATTTTCAAAAATTGTTATAAAATTCTTTAATATAGGGGAGAGTCTCCAGTTGTGAGACGGGTTTCATTTTTGACCCGTAAATTGTAAACGGGTAAACGAAATTGTAAATAAAATACACCGTTCGAAAGGTAACAGAAATACGCAACTTTTATTAAAAGAAAGTGTAGTGTTTCGATGAACTCAAAAAATTTTACGATACGTTTTCCGAGCACATCGCTTTTGTCAAAAAAAAAAAAATGTCTCCAGTTGTGAGACACTCATTAAAAATTGCTAAAATTTAATAAGTTTGCCATAAAACGTTATGTTTAGTGGAAATAATTGAATATATTAATAATATATATTATTATATGCTAAATAATTAAATTTATTCGCCAAAATATGACTATCAAATAAACACAATTAAATAGCTTCAACAAGAGCATTAAAATTGATTTCTTCTGAATCAATTGACTTTTTTCCACTTGACATGCCCAAAAATACTAGAAAAAAAATCAAAACAACATTTAAATAGTATGCCTGCAAAGTCGTATTTTTTATGCTGCCCAGATGGGTGTTGACACCGTCTCACAACTGGTGATATGCTGTGTCTCACACCCAGAAATTGACGCTAGTTTGAAAAAGGAAAATTAAATTATTTTCAACCGTAGATTGGAACAATGCAATATTGCATCACAAAATATAAGGAAAACACTAAACGAAAATGCATTACATTTACCTTTTCCAATTAATAAACTTGGAAAAAAAGTACTTTGCATTTATTGAAAAAACGCTTTTTAGTCGATTATCACACACAGTGTTGGTATTTAACAAAAACAGTTTATATATCAGCTTCGGCGTACACGAAAAAGTTGGCTCATATAAAAAGAAATGTTTTTATATAAACCAATCGGCTTTTTAATATTGCATGTTAAAAAAAATTGACTGTCTCACAACTGGAGGTGTCTCACAACTGGAGACTCTCCCCTAATAAATTTTATTAAAATCTTAATTAAATTCCTTAAAAGAAATTAAATATTTTCAAAAGTTGTTAATAAAATTCTTTATAAAAATTAAATTTAAAGAAAGATTCAATATTATTTATTTTTGTATTTAAATAATTGACTTCTCGTAGAATTCAATTATTGTTTTTCGTACTTTTAACTAACAATTTTCAGAATTAATTTTTTTTTTGAAAAAGTTTAATTGAATAATAATTGACGTTATTGATTTAAAGTAGAATTTTAGTTAAAAATTCTAGAAAATGTTAATTGAATTGAAATGATACAAATAATTTTGAAGAAATTACACTAACAATATTCTTATAATAATAAACTAATGAGTTTGTCAATCCGTAATTTTAAATTTTTAAAAAAATTTTTTTTTTTTTATTATAAAGCATAAAGAAATGGATCGATATCTTTATGTTTTATCCTGTGAAATTTTCATTATTTATGAAAATAACTAAATGTTGGCGTAGAATTTTATTAAAATTTTGTTTAATTAATTGAATTTTTTTAGGAATTTTTATTAAAGTTGTGTAGATATTAATAATCAATTAAATATTATATACTAAAAAATTTAACTAATTTCAGAAGAATTTTAGTTTAAAAATTAAAAAAAAAAAACTCGGTTTTTTGGGGTAATAATAATTTCGGAAACTTCGTAATTACCTGCAATGATGTCTACGTCTTCCGAGCCAAAACTCAATTCCACAACCCATGCAATGATCGACGGCGTGATCAGGCACCCAAAGTGTCGGTGCCGGTGCTAATTCTTCCACTGCTTCCCAAGACATGTCCGAAGGCAAAGATTCTCCGTGATCTCCAGCACTTTCCACAGAATCCGGTAAAGAACCCTATTTCAAATTAACAACGTTTAATTTCAAAGCGATCACTTTTTTTTAAAGAAACATGTAAAAAATTTATCGTTAAATAAATAAAGTATTTGAATTGACTAAAAGAAAACGAATGTTTTTGGAATCGAAAGATTATAACTTTAAAAAAGAAAAATTAATGTGATGCACTCCGAAAAAAAGGATGTAAGGTATCCAAAAAGCAAATCATATACCTTTCTTCGGAGCACGTCACATACTTAAAAGAAAAATGTATATTTTTTTACTTTTTTAAAATTCTTTTTTATATTTTTACTTTTAATTTTACTTAATTAACTTTACTTACTATATCATCGATCCGATCATTATCAGTTGTGTGATGACAGACTTGCTTGATCAATGCTAATCTCGTGGCATGTAATTCTTTCCGTAATGCATCTTCTTTGAGCTGCTCTCAAAAAATTACCTTAGCATTTTGTATGTAAAATTACAAAATAAGTTGCTATTTCGTATAAAGAAAGAATGAAAATTTCAATATAACCATAGCAAACTGTAACGTTTTTTTATAATTTATTTCTGAGGAATTTGTAAATAATTGAATTTCCCGTGAAATTTTTATTATTTATGAAAATAATTAAACATTTTTGTAGAATTTTATTAAATTTTTTTTTAAATAATTAAATTCTTTTGGAAAATTTTATGAAACTGTTAGATATTAAAAATTATTGAATTGGGGAAAATTTTTGAAAATAATTAAAATGTTACCAAGAATTTTATTTAAATTTTTGAATTTCAGAGAAGAATATTATTATTTAAAAAGATAATTGAAATTTTGACAAGAATTTTTTTTTAATTTTTGAATTCTGACCAATTCTACTTCCCCTGACTTTTCTGGCCTGTGGCAACTCTGATTAAAGTGAAATTAAATAAAAATAATAATTTTTTATGGGGAGATTACATTGACTTTGAGGTTTTTTTTCGGGGATTTTTTTCAAGTTAAAAAAAAGTATAAAATTCTATTATTTTCAGATAATTATTGATTTTATCCGATACCTTTTCAAAAATAGATAGAGTTTCAAAGTGACAAATTAAACATTTTTTTATGCAAAACAGTTATTTGTCAAACAAACAAATAAATAAATAAATATAAAAAATATTCTCTAAACTTAAATTACAGTTTTTAAATTTCTAACTCAGACTTCACAGCGTTCTCTCGTGTGATAAATTAAATTTACAATTTTGAATATAGTTCTTATAAGGAAACAGGGTGTTGCATGATTTTCCCATTGAATTAAACAAATAAAAAATTTTAATCACAATTAAAAATATTGATCAAAATACAAAAGCAGTAGAAAACGAAAAACAATTATTTACAATCAAAATATAATCATGCAAAATCCTTATTGTGGACAACTGACTTTTTGGAAAAAGAAGAAAAGAAGCTATATATTTAAAAATGATAATTTCACTTTATTCAAAAAATACTTCACACTCTTTTTACTAATCTAACAAATTTCGTTCTAAGATTCACAGAGTTTCCTTTTAGATATATATATATATATATTTTTTTTTTAAATTTTCCTACAGGACGATTTCGCTGATTATGCGTGGAATGCGTATAATCATTAAAAATACTTCCTTCAAAAATAATTCCAATCTAAAAATCAGCAAATTCATCCTGTTCATCACAATCAACAGCAGAATAAATTATAATCAAATATACAATTTTTTTTTTGCTAGAATAATAATTACATTCAATGTTGATAAAAATATCAGATAACATAAAACTGAAAAAGAAGAAGAAAAAGAAAAAGAAGCAGTAGAAGCTTAATGATTTTTTGAAGATGTTAAAAGTAATAAAAAAAAGATTTCATTTTTTTTCTGATTACTAGTAAGGGACACTTTGTACATTACTATAGTGAAGAATGTAATTTTTAATTGAACATTGCAAATGTCGCTGTGAAGCCTGATAAAAATGAAGCGCATAAAATGAAAAACTTTTTTCATTTTTTTCTTACGCGATTGATAAAAAAAATATTAAAATTGAGAGAATCATGTTATCGGAATAATGTTGTAAGGTAGTTCAATTGCAAAACATTCTGTCAATTCGCACTTGAAAAAAAAATTTTCACAAACGTAAAAATGACAAAATATACAACGAGATGATTGATTATCCCATAAAAATCATTTTATAAAAAAGTCTTACAATTTTATTTTTAGTTTTAATTTTTAGTCTCACGAAACTGTAAATAAAACTATATTTTATACTTAAAGAAAGTCATAATCTACTTTAAATATTTTCGGTGATCTTGATTACGAATCCAATTTTTGTTTTTAAAAATTCAAAATGGCGGATCTAACATGGCGGTTGAACAAGATAAAATTCTCAAACGTTGGAGTAAACTAATTTTTAAAAACTATTTGTTCAAATGTGTTCGTTTTATTCTCCTTCACCATAAAATTCTCAAAAATTGTAATCAAATTCTTTAAAACGATTCAATTATTTTCAAAAAAAAAATTTGAAATTCAATTATTTTCAATATTTAATATTTTCATAATATTTCGCAAAAGAATTCAATTAATTAAAAAAAAATTTATAAAATTCATCCAAAATTCAATTATAATTTCCACAGGAATTCAATTAATTTAAAATAGCATTTTTAAAAAAATTTCGAAAAAATCAATTATTTAACAAAATTTTTATACAATTCTTCACAATAATTCAATTATTTTCACTAATAAAAACATTTTTCATGGAAATTCAATCTTTAAAAAAATTTTTTATAAAATTTTAAGCAAGAATTAAATTATCTTCATAAATAATAAAACTCATCGAAGAATTTCAATTATTTTTAATACTATTTTAAATTAATTAATTTAGAAAAATTCAATTATTTTTATAAATAATGTTTTCCACAAGAATTCAATTATTTTCATAAATAATAAAATTCTTTACAGGATTTTAATTAATAAAAAAAATTTTAGCAAACTTCGCTGGAAGAATTCAATTATTTTCATAACTAATAAAATTCTTCACAGAATTTAAATTATTTTTAATACAATTTTAAGAAAATTTTACGAAAAACGTAATTATCTAAAATTTTAACTGAAATTCATTTTTAAATCAACTTTTATATGAATATTCTACGAAAATTCAATGATTTAAATACAAAAATAAATAATTTATTAAATAATTGAATGTTTTTTAAAATTTAATTCTCATAAAGAATTTTTTCATCAAATTTTTAAATAATTGAATTTTTCCGACGAATTTTAATAACATTTTTAAGAATAATTACATTTTTCGAGGAATTCGATTAAAATTATGCGATGAATATTATTCTTCATATTTAAAAAAAAATTTATTTATTTACAAAAAATCTAATAGAATCCTTCGCAAGAATTCAATTACTTTCAAAAACAACAAAATTTTTCACATAAATTCAATTATTTTTAAACATTTTAACAAAATTTTTCGTAATAATTCAATTATTTTTGAAAACTTTAATAAAACTCTTAAGAAATATTCTTAAAAATTTAATTTCAATTCCTCGAAAAAGTCAATTATGTATTTAGAAAAATGTTTTTTCACAGGAATTCAATTATTTTCAAATATTTTAATAAAATTGTTCAAAAGAAATCAATTATTTTAAATACAGCTTTAATTAAATTTTTTTGAAATAATTCAATTATTTTTTTAGTTTTTAATAAAATTCTTCCCAAGAATTCAATTATTTACATAAATAATTTCTGCGAAAGAATTCAATTATGTCGATAAATAAGAAAATTATTCCCGAAAATTTAATTATTTTGAGGCATTTTAATAAAATTCTTAGCAAAATTCAATTATTTACATGAATAACAAAATTCATCACAAGAATTCAATTTTTTTTAAAAGTCTTAATAAATTTTTTCTTGGAAATTCAATTATTTTTTAAAAATAAAATAAAATCGTTCGTAAGAATTAAATTATTTTCGTAAATAATGAAATGCTTTTTAGGAATTCAATTACTTTCAAAAAAAATTTAATAAAATACCACACAGACATTCAATTATTGTCAAAAATTTTAATAAAATTCTTTGTAAAATTTAATTATTTTTAAAAACTTTTCGCAATTCAATGATTTTCAATATCTACTATTTTCATAAAATTTACAAACAGAATCCAATTATTTAAAATTTTTTTTTGTAAAAATCTTCGTAAGAATTCAATTCTTTTCATGAATAATAAAAATTTCTCAGTAATCTATCAACAGATTCGAATTCAACGTAAAAAAATTCGTTAAAAAGCGTTTTTGTTTTTTTGGGTCTAAAAGTTGAACCGAATGAAAAGACAAATTTTTTAAATTTGTTTTTATGGAAATGTGAAAAATGGAATTTTGAACATTTAATACGATTAAAAGTTACATTTGAATAAAAAAATAAAATTTTCTGTCACTAAAAAACATTTGTTAATTTTTAGGTTACATTATACTTTAATTATTTATAATTGACAGAAAATTATAATTTCTATTCAAATATAACTTTAAATTGTTCAAAATTAAATTAAATTTCTTACACTTCTATAAAAAAAGGAATTTAAAACTTAATTTGCCTTTCTTTTAAAATACGAAATTATTTATTTGAACTAATTTTTGTTCCGATTGTTTGTCGGATTCTTCTTTAATCTTTAGAGTTAAATATTAATTTGAAATAACAAATTCCGAAAGATTGATAATTTAAATGATTTTTATGGAATAATCAGACATTATGCAACTATGAATAAAAAATGTTCTTACGAGAACAATTTAAAAAAAAAATTCACATAAAATGGAGAAAGAGAGGAAAAGAGAAAGAAAGAAAGAAAGAAAAAAAGAGAGAAAAAGAAAAAAAAAAGAAAGAGAAAGAAAGAGAAAAAGAAAAAGGGAGAGAACAGAAAAAATTGTTTAATGCATTTTAATTTAAAAAACATTTTTAACAATTTACTTGAAATTAATATACTGACTCTCACAAATAAACTACCTTAAAACATAATAAAATATATACAAAATGTTGACATAGAAAACAATTAATACTTATTAGATAAATAATTAATTTTTGTCAATTTGACTGACTACTTTGACACTCTATTTGTATTTGTAACACAAATTGAATTAACAAAATTTAACCCAAGACATTAAAATAATATAAATAATTTCAAGGTATTATAAATAAAGCTTTTTTTAAGTTAATACACCACATTGAATTCATAATAATAATAATAATAATAACTGAGTTTTGTTTTTTTTAATTAGAATGGCTGCTTTTTAGAATTAAATAATATTCCTTGGTAGAGGATAAAATAGATAATATATATAGGAAATAAGGAAAAGAATTATTATTCATAACAAACTTGTGGTACCTTGTGTTCCACAATGATTTGTTGAACTCTCAGTTGAACGTCGCAATGAATCAAAGGAAGGCCATCTACATCATCCAACTTGTCAAGGTTGTCAATAATCACTTCCTGATGAATGGGAGACGCTGGACAAATACTACTTGCTGATCGTGAATTTATACTCGTTTCACTCAAATCGACATTATCAACATGAACTCGATTACAGTTACAATTCCCTCGACTCGTTCCAGGTTCAATCCATCGCGATTCATTGTTTTGTGAAGGATAAACTTGCAATCTGCAAAAAAAATTATTATTAAAAAATCACATTTCAATTAAAGAATTTGTAAAAATCGTAAAAAATCTCAAAGGGATTGTTTATACACTATGTGAACAATTTTTAATCACTGTTTGACCCCAATTTGGACAAAAAATTAATTTTGTTTTTCCCTGATTTCCAGACAAAATTTTTACTTTTTCCCTGAGCATAAAAAATATTCTGATTCACTCTAAAAATTATTAGATACTCAAAAAAATTTTCTATTAGGTACATTTATTTACAAATTTCTTCAGAAGTAAAATTATTCGAAAACATCAATAACTCCTTCTTGAAATTAATATTTAATCATTATTATTTTTCCATAAGAATTAAGATTTTCAAAAATTTCAAATTTCAATCTTTTGAAATTCAATAACTTTTAAGAATATTATTGTAAAACATGAAAATATCGATACAATTTTAAATAAATTCCTGGAAAAATGTATTTATTTTCAAAAATTTTTTGCAAGAACTCAATTGCATTTTACAAACAACGGAATTCTTCGCTGAAATTGAAAAATTTTCAAAATCTACTATTTTAATAAAAGTTCTGAAAAGAATTTAATTATTTAAAAAAAATGTAATAAAATTCTTTACAGGATTTTAATTAATAAAAAAAATTTTAGCAAACTTCGCTGGAAGAATTCAATCATTTTCATAAATAATAAAATTCTTCACAGGATTTAAATTATTTTTAATACAATTTTAACAAAATTCTTCGAAAAATGTAATTATATATTTAAAAGAATTTATCACTTGGTAAAAATTATATAATTCGAAATAAAAGGAATTTATCAATCTTCCAAGTCAATCTTCCTTGACTTGGAAGATTGATAAATTCCTTTTATTTAGAAAAATGTAATTATTTAACATTTTACCTGAAATTCATTTTCAAATCAATTTTTATTAGAAAATTCTACAAGAATTCAAATCATTTAAATATAAAAATAAATAATTTATTTAATAATGAAATGTTTTTTTAAAATTTAATTCTCATAAAGAATGTTATCAACAAATTTTTAAATAATTGAATTCCTTCGACGAATTTTAATAAAATTTTTAAGAATAATTACATTCTTCGAGGAATTCGATTAAAATTATATTAAAATTCTCAAGAATTTAATTATTTTTACAAGTAATAAAATTTTTCACGCATGAATTGAATTATTTAAAAAAATATAATAAAATTCGTTGTAAGAATTCTATTATTTTTATAAATAATAAAATTTTTCATAGGATTTCAATTATTTTTAATGCAATATTTTTAATAAATTCCTCGAAAAATGTAATTATTTCGAAAATTTGTTTACAAGAATTCAATAACATTCCACAAAGAATAAAATTCTTCGCTGAGATTCAAATATTTTCAAAATCTACTATTTTAATAAAATTTCTCAAAAGAATTCAATTATTTCAAAAAAAAATGTAAAAAATTCGTTGTAAAAATTCAATTATTTTCAAAAAATAATAATACCCTTCACAGCATTTCAATTATTTAAAAAAAATTGTATAAAAATTCGTTGCAAGACTTAAATTATTTTCCTAAATATCTAATAAAATTCTTCACAGGATTTCAATTATTTTTAATAAAATTTTTAGTAAATTCTTCGAAAAATGTAATTAATTTCAAAACTTTTTATTAAAATTCTTCGAGAGAAATAAATTAACAATTATCAATTATTTTGAATAATTTTTGCAAAAGTTTCTCGAGAATTTTCAAATTTCAAGAATAATTACATAATAATAATTACATTTTTCGAGGAATTCGGTAAAATTGTATTAAAAATAATTAAAATTCTGCGAAGAGTTTTATTATTCATGAAAATAATTGAATCTCTGTAAAAATTTTTATTATTTTTGAAAATAATTGAATTATTGCGAAGAAATCTATAAAAAATAGTTTAATCTTTACTTAGAATTTTATAAAAATTTTTGATAATAATTGAATTTTGGAGAAGAATTTTATTATTTTTGAGGATAATTTAAATTTTGACGAGAATTTAAAAAAAAGTTTGAACATAATTGAAGTTTTGCAAACATTTATAACTTCTGTAAAATTCAATTTTTTTTCAGTGTTTTTAACTAAAATTCTTCTATAAATCCATGATTTTTAATAATTAATTAAATATATACTAAAAAATTAAATAAAACTAATTTCAGAAGAATTTGGATTATTAAAATATTTCAAAAATCTAAGTTCTTTAGTTTTTGTTATTAGATTCATTCAAAATTGAAATTTTCTAAAATTTTAAATTAAAACCTTTCGAAGTTCATCTATTTATGAAAATTGAAATCGCAACTCTAAAAATTCGATTAATTTTGAAATATTTAATTAAAATTATTCATGAAATAATTAATTAATTTATAATTAATTAATTAATAATTATTAATTAATTTATAATTAATTAATAAAAATATTAAATTTAAAAAAATATTCTCTTGAAACTTACATTTCCTTTTCTCCATTTGTCAGAAGATCGCTGTTTGGAATTAGAGTATCAGTGGAACTATCCCCAGAGGTATTAGTGAGTAATTCTTTTGGTTCCTTATTAACGCTGAACGCATTTCTCTTTTCCTCAGCCTCCATCTCTTTCTTTGTATTTTCTTCAGGTTTATCAATAATGTGAATCTCCTCATCCTTATCCGATTGATTATCAAGACACAATGTGTCAAATTTTCTATTAAAAAAGAATAATAAAATTATTATTTTTAGAAAATACAAATTTTGCTATTTTATCATTCTTTTAGTGAATCTTTTTGTACATTCAGAAAATATTATATTTAATTAAAATACAAAAATAACTTTACATGATTTTCATTAATTAAAGTTAATATTATAACCTTAATATAGAAAATATCTACTGCTTTGATTTAAAAATATTATTTCCTTCAACAATTATATTTAATTCAAAAACATTTCTGTTTTGGTTTAAACTAAAAAATGTGTTTAATTAAAAAAAATGATTAAGTATAATAAAGAATGAATTATAATTTTAAGTTTGATTTAAACAAAATAGAAAAATGAATGCAAAACTAAAATTGAAATTTACTTTTCGATAGAAATGCTCGAGTCACTCAATCTTCTTTGAAGTCGTGTTAAATGATCTTGTGCATGAATAAGATCACCGTAAGATCGTGTTTTTGTCATTTGTCCCTGTGGCTCTTCATTTTCTCCATTTTCTATATCAATCATTGTCATTCTTTGCTTTATATCACTGACACCGAGAGTTGTTTCCAAGGATCCCAAATATACTTCTGACCAAAGTACTAAATCTCTCACATTATAACTGGGCCATAATACCTGCAAGAAATCAATTAATAATTAGCATTCACAAAAAAAAACAGTTTAAAAAATAAATATATTGATAAAATTAATGAATATAAAAAGATAAAATTAAAAAAAATTGCTAAATTTTAAAATATAACAATAATTAATTATAATGGTTCGATTATAATTTTATTTTTCAATAATTATCAAACTGTTACTTTTTTGTTTATATTGTTGTGTAAAAGGTATAACAATTTTATAAACAAAGATTCACGATAAAAAAAAGAAGTCATTTCAATTAAATTCGACTGATAGACTTTCATCAGTTATTCAGCATTTTTCTCAACATTATCTTCGTTAATACGTATTTGTAATGATTTGTTTCATCTATTTAAGTCATTACTGTCTTTAAAATTAAAGAAACAATATTCGCTTTCTGCCACTTATGTAATAAATACTTTATTTATAGAAAAAAAGGAAAAAAAAATATTTCGTCACTTTTAATTATTAAAGGTCAATATTTTTTATTTTAATTTCTTAAAGTGTTGAAAATTAATTCGTATTTTTTTTATTTGAAATCAAATATTTTTAATTTTATCACTGTAAGTATTATATACGTCAAAAATGAGATCAATCTGGTCTTTGTGTACATAAGTGGCATCGACCTTTAATTTTAATTTTTTGAAATATGAATTGAATTATCCAAATTATCAATTTCAATCTTACAAGACTCAAGTGTCAGTGACCTATTTGAATGAAACTTGGCATTTAGTTGTAATTGTTGTAATGTGTAAGTTTGTAGAAAATATGTTTTTGAACTCAAAAAAAATTCGCAAATGAAAAAATTGATTTTTATTGCTTTTTAATCTTTCTTTGGAAAAAAACCTTTCTTTTAAGCTAAAAATGCTGAAAAATAACATTAATATTTATTTTTTTATTTGAAAATTTATTTGTTTATTTTTCAAACTGATTTCAATTCATAATTTTATCATGTTTTTAAAAAAAAATTTATTTTTTATATATAAAAATTATGGTCAAAAAAGGTTAAAAAAATAAACAAATGAATTTTCTTATAAAAAAAAATTGAATAATAATGTTATTTTTTAGCATTTCAGCCAGAAAACGAAGATTTTTATTCAAAATCATTCAAAATAATGTTTAAAAATTATGCAAATCAATTTTTCCATTTGAAAATTTTATTAAAATAATTGAATAGTCGCAAAGAATTTTTAAAAGATTTTTAAAAATTGAATTCATTTTCAGCCTAAAAGCGAAGATTTTTATTTAAAATAATGCTTATAAAAATTATACAAATAAATTTTTTCATTCGACAATTTCATTTAAATAATTGAATAGTCTCAAAGAATTTTTTTTTACAATTTTTTAAAAACTGAATTCTATCAAGAAATTTTATTAAAATTGAATTGAAAATAATTGAATTACCGTGAAGAATTTTATTATTTATGGAAATTATTCCATTCTCGCAAGGAATTTTATTTAAAATTTTGAAAATAATTTAATGTCGACGAAGAATTATATCAAAATTAAAAAAAAATGATTTCTTTAGAGAAATATTAAAATTTTATTGAAAATAATTCAATTCTTGCGAAGAATGTGATCAAAATAATTGAATTTCAAAGAAAAATTTTATCAAAATTTTAAATAATTGAATTCTTTCGAAAAATTTTATTAAAATTGAATTGAAAATAATTGAATTCATGTGAAGAAATTTATGATTTATGAAAATAATTAAATTTCAACGAGAAATTTTATCAAAATTTTTAAAAACTGAATTCTATCAAGAAATTTTATTAAAATTGAATTGAAAATAATTGAATTCCCGTGAAGAATTTTATTATTTATGGAAATGATTCCATTCTCGCAAGGAATTTTATTTAAAATTCTGAAAATAATTAAATGTCGACGAAGAATTATATAAAAATTTAAAAAAAAATGATTTCTTTAGAGAAATATTAAAATTTTTATTGAAAATAATTCAATTCCTGCGAAGAATTTTATTTAAATAAATGAATTTCAACAAGGAATTTTATCAAAATTTTTAAAAATTGGATTCTTTTGAGAAATTTTATTAAAATTGAATAGAAAATAATTGAATTTCGACGAAGAATTTTATCAAAATTTATTATTTATGAAAATAATTGAATTCTCTCAAAGGATTTTATTTAAAATTTTGAAAATAATTGAATTTCGACGAAGAATTTTATCAAAATTTTTGAAAATATTTAAATTTCAATTATGACTTTTATTAATTGTTTTAAAAATAGAATTCCTTTAAAAAATTATTAAAATATTATTATTATTTAATAAATCGATTATTTCGATTATCAAAATCGAAAATTAAATTATTGACGCTTCTAACAAAATTAATTTAAAGACTTGCTTTGCTTCACTTAAAATTCGAAATAATTGAATTGCTTTTATTGTTTATCGAATTCATCCTTAAATTTATAGCCACAATAGTTTTGATTTTTTTCTAAAAAGTAAATAAAATTACTTCTTTACCTCCAAGAATCAATTTTTAATTCTTCTTCCCTAAAAATGGTGAATTTTTTTACTCACTTGATTTTTTAACGGGGAATAAAGATGATTTATAAATGAAGTGGAGTTAAGAAACCGCCACACTGAAAATGTACGATCTTGTATTCTCAGCTGAAGTCTTTCCTGCCTCGTATTGCATAGGAATGTTCCAAAAAGTTGAGAATACGTATGCTGCGCTAATTTTACCTGAAAGAAAAAATCAAAATTAATAATTTAAAGAAAAATCTCGTCATTGCATTGAAAAAAAAAGAAAAGAAAAATCCTTACAAGATATGCAGGCGACATTTGAAAACTACAAGGAAATTGTTTAATTAATTGGTGAACACAGTCGAGCCATTGTAAAAATACTGGACACCGTTCATTTGGATCTTCGCCACCAACAGTTTGTCCACATCTGTCGGCAAACTTGTGACCAAAGTCAAGCCATTCTCTTTCGCATAGAATTTGAAAACCCTAAAATAAAATTGAGATTATTAATTTTTATTTATGGCTCATTAATTTCTATGTCAAGAGAAAAAAATTAACCAACGAACCTCCATTGTTCGATAATAAGGATCAAGTAATATCTGGGACAATGCTACAATTTGAGGCGTTCTATCCCACCCATCGCTGCAATGTACTAATACTGGCCTTCCGTCACTTTCGATTGCAGATGCAACTGTAACTGCTGCTTGCAATAGTCCCGACATATGTTGCAACCATCGAGTATTCTCTAATAAACTCAGATAACTAGAATCGAAAAATATTAATTATTACAATATACTTATTTACAATTAGTTATTACTATCACTATTATTGTGCAATTTCAATTTGACAAAGACTTTCACTGAAGAAAGCAAACAAATGAATTTTTAATTTTACTCAAATTTTGAACGTCCTAATGAACGAGAACAGGGTTACTACAAAAATTTAATTTTCTTTTTTCCTGATTTCCAGACAAAATTTTGACTTTTTTCTCGGACCCTAAAGAATATTCTGATTCACTCTAAAAATTAGTATATAGCCTTATTTTAATAAGGCAGACAAATAATAATAATACACCAAATAGTAATCTAATTTTTGCAAAAATAAGAGAATAATAATAATTATACTTGTTTTGAATCTTTTGAAAAATAATTACACATGTGCAGTTAACAAAAAATGACAGATGCGCTTAGACAAAGCATTATGTGCTGTGACGACACTTTAATTTTTAAAAATAAGAATATTATATAAGAAATAATAATTTATGCATTAAAAGTGCTTTTAATTATAATAATTTTAGCCCCACTTGATCCACTTCCCGATATAAGTTTTTGATAAAATCTCATCTTATTTCTTATGGTTATCTATAGATATAAAACTTAAAGTTAACTGAGAGTTGAATCAATTGCCTTAAGGATTGCCACAAAATTCGTATCTAATTAAGAAATCAGATATGAATTTTGTAGCAATTTTGAGTTAATGCATTAATTTAATTTTATTTAATTCATATAAATTTAACTAGAAAATAATTGCGTGCTTTGCGTTAGCAATTACTTTCTAATAATACTAATATAGTTGACAAGATTTATTTGCGTGAATAATTCCAGAAAAATTTGAAATAATAATAATAATTTATTAATGATTCAATGATTAAATATGTTTTTTTTTTATTATTTGATAATAATTTATATGAAAATTTAAGGATTTATTTGAAACATTTTACTAAATCAAAATCATTAATTATAAACTAATTAAATAATTAAGCGTGATTAACTTAAAACATAAAAGTGTTTATTAGACAGGATGAAAAGAAAAATTTTCATGAAGAAACTAGACTTTTTCGAAAGAAATAATTAACTTTTTGCACTTTCACTTTTTATTAATTGGGTCATTCCAGAGAACATCAACTAATCGTCGTTGCTCGATAATTTTCAAAACATGCGCAATTAATAATAATTAATTTATAGGTATTTATTAATTAAATTATTTATGTATTTATAATTATTTATATGATTTACTATAATTTGAGTTTTTATTCTGTTAAATGTGTTAGAACTTATCATTTCGAAACGTTATAGTAAATAAATATTTTTATTCATTGTCCGAATATTTTCGTTTTATTTGCCTTATTTTATAAAAATAATTTAATTTTTGCGAAGAATTTTATAAAAATTTTTAAATAACTAATTTCTCTCGACTAATTTTATGTAAATTCTAATTTAAATAATTGAATTCCTGAGAAATTTCTATGATTCATGAAAAGAATTGAATTCTTACCAAAGATTTTTACAACAAATTTCTTAAATAATTGAATTCTATTTGGAAATTTTATGAAAATAGTAGTTATTAAAAATCATTGAATTGCAAAAAGTTTTCGAAAATAATTAAAGTTTACAAAGAATTCTATTAAAATTTTTGACAACAATTGAATGTCTGTGTGGTATTTTATTAAATTTTTTTGAAAATAATTGAATTCCTAAAAAGCATTTTATTATTTATGAAAATAATTGACTTCTTGCGAACGATTTTATTAGAATTTTTTTAAATAATTGAATTTCCAAGAAGAAATTTATTACTTTTAAAAAAAATTGAATTCTTGTGATGAATATTGTTATTTATAAAAATAATTGAATTTCGCAAAGAATTTTATAATAATTCCTCGAAATAATTGAAATTTCGTGAATAATTTTGTTATTTATCTTTAATAATTGAATTCTTCGGAAGAATTTTATTAAAATCGAAAAGAATAATTGAATTATTTAAAAAAAATTTAATTAAAATTGAATTTAAAATAATTCATTTCTTTCGGAATATTTTATTAAAATATTTGAAAATAATTGAATTCCTGTGAAAAATTCTAATATTTTTGTAAATAATTCAATTCTTTAAAGAATTAAAAAAAAACATTTTTTTAAATAATTGATTTTTTCGAGGAATTGAAAATAAATTTTTATGAATAATTACATTTTTTGAGTAATTCCTTTAAAATTGTATTAAAAATAATTGAAATTCTTCAATGAGTTTTATTATTTATGAAAATAATTAAATAGTTACAAAGAATTTTATCAAAATTTTTTTTCAAAAATTCAATTTTCATTAAATTTATTTTTCCATGAGAAATGTTATTATTAGTAAAAGTAATTAAATTATTGTGAAGAATCGTATAAAAATTTTGTTAAATGGTTAATTTTTTAGAAATTTGTTTTGAAAATGAAATTCTAAATTATTTTAATTTCTGTGTAAATTTTAATATTTATGAAAATAATTGAATTTTGGATTAATGTTATCAATTTCTTTATTAAATTATTGAATTCCTTGGCGAAATTTTATGAAAATACTAGATATTGAAAATAGAATTTCGAATATTTTTTGAAAATATAATAATTGAATCGTTTTAAAGAATTTGATTATAATTTTTGAGAATATTTTTTTGATTTCTAGTATTAGAGAATTAAAAGTAGTAGAAATTCTCAAAAAAAAAAAAATTAGTTTCAGGAATAATAAAATTGATTATTTCAGATTTACAGAAAATGACGAATTTCTGTTTTTATAAACTTCAATTATAATCAAATCGCACTTAGAAATATTATATAGGTATCAATTGCAGAATTTATATAATTTATCGAGCAGCGAGGTTCAGATGATTTTCACTGTAAGGAATTTTTCTAATTTAATTTCTTTTTTAATATTTTTTTGTGATTTTTATTAGTTTCTAAAGGGGAAAAATATTTCTAAAAAATGTGTCTCTAAACATATAATGCTGAAGTTCGCAACGTTTTTTAAAACGAAAAAATAATAAGAAGGTTTTTTTATCTTTGATTCTAAATCATGTTATTTTTTAATAATTGTATCTTAAGAAACAATTAATTTCTTCAAAATTAAGGCACAAGAAAATTAGAGATGAATTTAATTTGAAAAAAATTCTTTTTTGACTTTTCGTTTTTATAAACGTAGCGGACTTCAGGTTCATCTAAAAATTGGAAAAATCCTTTAAAGTAAGGAACTAAAAATTACTGATATTTAAAATTAGTAAAAATTGGTAACCATTCGTTATAGTGAAAAATTGAGGTTTTAGATTATTAAAAACTTGTGCTGTTTATTTTTAACGTTTACATATTAACGTCATTGTTGTGTCGGACTCATATGGCTATGGGTAGACGAGAGATGAGATGTATACGTGTGGAATGTGTGTGGGAAGAGCTTATTGCAAATCTAAAGAAACATGTACGACTCACTTTGGTTGTTCGGAATCGGATGCGCAAAGCTGTCTCACAGCGTGAAAGCTTTTTCGAATAGAGTGTATATTCGCAAGATTCATGAACTGTATATCGCAGCTGAGATAATATTCAGGACATTCACAGCCACCGCCTCGTGCTCGATTTGCTACCGCCGTCGTGTAAGACCTCGCATCAACAATCAGCACTTTCTATAAATCAACTTTCATTCAAAGAAAATAGGAGATAAAAAGAGAAGGCAGTTATCGAGAATAAAGAAAAATTCATACTTTTTTACTGGCATTGTTTGCCACTGAAGTCTCCTCTCCTGCGTCGGAGTAATTAACAGGCGAATCGATCATTGTCGATTCCCCTCTGTCGTACGAGCAGGCGTCAGACAGTGCCTTTAAAAGATCTTCATCCTCTGGACTTCGCCAGCCGAGCCAACCGACTTCCGGTTGACTGCTGCGCGCAATTACGGCTCCATTTTTCACGTTTCTGAAACAATCGCCAAAATCAGCTTAAAATTATAAATTTAATTTTTTCATAAATAAAACATGAAGACATCGATTACACCGAGTCTTCGACTCGGACTAATCGATTTCTTCATGTTTTTTGTAATAATTAAAGATGGCCCAGTGATAAATCATTATTTTACATTACAACAATATTGTACTTCTTTAAAATTATTTTCATCATTTCAATTCAATTATTAATTTCAAGAATTTTTAACTAAAATTATTCTTTAAATAAATTATTTTCAATAATTTTCGAAAAAGTTCTTTAACAATTTTCAAATCCATTTGTTTACAATATTCAATTTTACGAAATTTCAATTATTCGTAAATTCTTCAATTAAATATATATTAGAAAATAAAAACTTTAAATAATTTTTTAAAAAAATCAAATACACTTTTTCAACAAAATTAATTTCAAAATTAAATTATTTCTAAAAATTCACGCTATAATACTTTTAATATTCAATTATAATCTAAAATTTTAAATTGAAAATCAATTTTTACTAGAAAATTCTACTAGAATAGATTTCAATTATTTAAATACAAAAGAAGTTAATTTATTGAATAATTAAATGTTTTTCAAAATTGAATTCTCATAAAGAATTTTATCAATAAATTTTTAAATAATTGAATTCTTTTGTCAAGTTTTAATACCATTTTTAAGAATAATTACATTTTCCGAGGAATTCGATTAAAATTGTATTAAAAATAAATAATTGAAATTCTGCGATGAATTTTATTATTCATATTATTCATATTTAAAGAAAAATATATTTATTTACAAAAATTCTAATAAAATTCTTCGCAAGAATTCAATTATTTTTACAAGTAATAAAATTTTTCACATGAATTCAATTAGTCAAAAAAATGTATCTAATAAAATTCGTTGTGAGAATTAAATTATTTTCATAAATATGTAATAACATTTTTCATAGGATTTCAATTATTTTTAATACCATTTTTAATAAATTCCTCAAAAAATGTAATTATTTTCAAAAATGTTTTGCAAGAATTCAATTACATTTCACAAATAATGAAATTCTTCGCTGAAATTCAAATATTTTTAAAATCTACTATTTTAATAAAATTTCTCAAAAGAATTAAATTATTTTTAAAAAAATTGATAAAATTCGTTGCAAGAATTCAATAATTTTCATAAGTAATAATAATTTTCACAGGATTCCAATTCTTTAAAACAAATGTAATAAAAATTCGTTCCAAGACTTCAATTATTTTTCTAAATAATAAAATTCTTCACAGGATTTCAATTATTTTTAATACAATTTTAAGTAAATTCTTCGAAAAATGTAATTAATTTCAAAACTTTTATTAAAATTCTTCGAAAGAAATAAATTAACAATAATTGTTAATTTTTTTAAAAAATTATTTCAAGTTTTTATTTTCTAAATATTTAATTGAAGAATTTCCGAATAATCAAAGTTTTGTAAAAATTGAATTTTCAAATCCATTTATTTACAATTCAATTTTACAAAACTTTGCTTATTCGGAAATTCTTTAATTAAATATTTAGAAAATAAAAAATTGAAATAATTTTTTTAAAAAATCAATTAAACCTTTTCAAAATTTAATTATTTCTAAAAATTTATGCTATAATACTTTTAATTTTCAATTTCTATCTAAAATTTCAACTGAAATTCATTTTTTAATCAAGTTTTATTAGAAAATTCAACGAGAATTCTATTATTTAAATACAAAGGTAAAGTATTTATTGGATAATTGAATATTGCTCAAAATTAAATTCTTATAAAGAATTTTATCAACAAATTTTTAAATAAATGAATTCTTTTGACAAATTTTAATAAAATTTTTAAGAATAAGTTTATTTTTCAGAAATTTGATTAAAAATAATTGAATTTTTCTAAAGAGAAAAGAGTTTTTGAAACTTTTTTTTTCTTATAAGAGTTTTTGAAAATAATTGAAATTTTGCCAAGAATTTTATTTAAATTTTTAGAAAATATTTGAATTTCGAAGAAAAATTTCTAAAGATTATTGAAATTTTGACGAGAATTTTGGTAAATATTGTTGAACACAATTAAATTTCTGCGAAGAATTATATTACTTTTGAAAATAATTGAACGAATTTTATTAAAATGTCTTTTTAAATAATTGAATTTTTTTGATGAATTTTTCTAAAATTTTTAAGAATAATATCATTTTTCGTGGAATTTCATTAAAATTGTATTAAAAATACTTGAAATTCAGCGATAGTTTTATTATTTATGAAAATAATGAAATGTTTGCGTAGAATTAAAATTTTTTTTTAAATAATTGAATTCTTTTGAAAATATTTATTAAAGTATAGTAGATTTATTAAAAATCATTGAATTGAGGAAAGTTTTTGAAAATAATTGAAATTTTGCCATGAATTATTGAATTTTATTAAAATTTTTGGAAATAAAATTGAATTTCTAAGAAAGAATTTTACTAATTTGGAAAATAATTGAATTTCTGCAATCATTTGTAATTGCTTCAAAATTCAATTTCGTTTAGTGTTCTTAATTCAAAATTCTTCTATAAATCCATTATTTTTAATAATCAAATATATTAAAAAATTTAACTAATTTCAGAAGAATTGGAATAATTAAAATTTCTCAAAAATTTACGTTCTTTAAGACGGATTTCTAGTTAAATTCATTCGAAGCTGAAATTTTACAAAATTTCAAATTAAAATCTTTTGAAATTCATCTGTACTTATGAAAATTGTAAACGCAACTTTTTTATAAAATATAATTAATTTTGAAATATTTATGTAAAATTAGATTTCAAGAATAAACTTTAGAAAATAATAATTTTCCAGGATTTCAATTTGAAATTCCCTGACATTTCCAGGTTTTCCAGGTTTCTACTCTCTAAATTTGAATTAGTAAAAATGTTTACTAATTTGAATTAGTGACCGACTTTTTGCTTTTGAATTAGTAAACTTTACCAATATTAGTAGAAATTACTATTTATAAGTAAAGTTTACTAATTCAAAAGCAAAAAGTCAGTCACTAATTCAAATTAGTAAACATTTTTACTAATTCAAATTTAGAGAGCAGGTTGCGTGGCAACCCTGTTTTAAGAAATATTTAAGAGGCCACATTTATTTTAACCAATAAGTTTTGTATCGCCTTCCTTTTAACATTGTAAGACATAAATTTTAAGCATTTTTTCCTTTAAGAATCAAGTTTTAAAATTAAACTAGGTAGGTTATTCTTAAAAAAGTCGGTCTTATTTTTAAAATAAGCTTCAACATCTTCTTTACTTTGTTTTATATATGTTTTATTTATATTCTTAGATGTTGATTGATTGAGATAATTAAATATTTACTGAAGAGGTCTTAGAAGGACGAAATCTATAAATATATTATATGCAAAGGAATTTCTGTTGTCCTTTTGTTGTAATAAACAAAACAGAATTATATAACCAGCGAAACAAAAATATCTTATTACATCTAAAAATTCAATATAAATAGTTTGTTATAGAAAATTATTATAGTTCCACTGCTTTTTATAATTACAATTATGAGTCAGAATTCGTGAAATTTTCACGAGAAATAAAAAGTATTTTTTTTAAATCGAAACCTTTCTATTTGGCAGAGGGTTAAAAAGTGGATTTACTGAAAATGTGATTTTGAACCATACCTCCATACAACGGCAGGTATTCTTCGTGAACTTCTGAATTTGGCAACAGCTTCAAGGACGACATCTGAAATGCAAGCAGGTACAAGCAGCTGTGGAGGATATGATGGGCACATTCGGTAATCTTTGTTGATTTGACTTATTCTCCAGGATCCATGTAAATTGAACCTCAATCGTTCAACCTAACAAAACGAATTTCCATCAATTAGTCAAAACAATGAGTATTACTAATTAAGTATTTTTAAAATAATAAAATAGAAATTTACGTACTTCCGAGTTGAAAGTGGACAGATACGTACTACTCTCCTTCCCGAGTCTAGGATAATCTTTGCCCTCTTCCGTGGACCACGCATAGTAAGCAAATGCAAACATATCTTCTATGCTTTTCCGAGGGCTTATCACTCTATGTAGTCGCTTATACCATTCCAAACAATGTTCATTGGTAGAAAAAGAGCAACTACAATTCAAAACAAACCATACAATGATTCAAATACTTGACACACATTCTACTGAATCATCGTGATTTTGTTTTTATAAACAATTTTCAATTTACCCTTTAATAATTGCAAATAAAGCGATGAATTGAGTGAAATTATTAAAGTATACCTGAGTGATCGAGCGTCTTTGCAACCGATGTGAAGGAAAAACATTTCTTTCACTTCAACAGTTTCGACTAGACCGAGTGGAATATTGCAACAAGCTTTTCCGGCTTGCAGGTAAAGTCTATAATTTGAAAGTGCCAAAACTCCATCTGAAGTGCGACCGAGTGCAGTCACCGATTCTCCACTCACAGGTACAAATGGAACAACTAAACTGTTGTCCTCGCATTCCATGTGCGAAGCTTTCGGATAAAGTTCCGAGGCTCGTAATTGACAAATTGACTGCAAACTTGATGGCTCTTCGGAACTCTCCATTGCCAATCTATAAAGAGAAATTTTATTTCTTAACTCTATGAGATTTGGACTCCTAATAAAAATGCAAATATGCTACTTTCACTTATTACAATTTCTCTTATAGTTGCAGTGTGTGTGTATGTGTGTGACAACTTTTGCGTTTAACAACATTTTTCAATTGATCTAAAATTTCAAAAACTCAAGGCTCATTGTGTCTAAATGTTTCTGTAATTATTAATTTTCAAAATTCAAAATGGCGGGTCCAATATGGCAGACATTTTCAGGCCTCGGATCGACTTTAAGGTGCAAAAAAAGCCGCTTTAGTCGATTTAAAATAGAAAAAAAGTCGTTTATTTAATTAAGTTTCATCACAAAAATTTAATTTTTTATTTTTCTGATTTTTCACTGATTTCTAAATTTAATTATTCAAAACTTGAATAATTTCGTTAAATAAATATTTAAATACTTCTTGTTTGTTTTTATACGGGAATCAAATTTTAAAAAATTCCATTTAAAAGTTCAATTATTTTCTACAATTTTTAATCAAATTTCTTCTCAAAATCAATTATTTTTAATAATTTTCCGAAAGTTCTTAGAGAATTCAATTATTTAAATACAACTTAGAATGTTTTCAGGATCTTAATTTTTGTTAAATAAATCTGTTTATATTGTGATCTTGGGTCCAAAGGACCCAAGACCACGATATAAACAGATTTATCATTTAAATACAAAAATTTCAGTTCTTTATAATGATTCTAACTGTCCCATGTTTTTTAAGTTATTAATTAATTTTCAAAAAATTATAATAAAGAAATTCTTAAAATTAATTTTCAAAAAATTATAATAAAGAAATTCTTAAAATTAATTTTTTTTAATATTTTAAAAATTATTTATGAAAGATAATAGTTTTTCAATTATATAAAATTGAAAAATTGCCAAACAATTGAAATTTGGTAAATTCTATTATAAAAATAATTGGATTTTCAAAGAATTTTAATTATTAATATAAACGCGATTTCTTCAAAATTTTAATAAATCTAAAAAATTCATATGTTGTTAAAATGTTAAAAATAATTGTAAAAAATTTTAATGTTATTATTTTTTTGTATGTATTTGAATTTTTGGAAATTTTTATTTAAAAATATTGAAAATAATTGAATTTTAAAAAATTAGAATGCAAAAAATTCTAAGAATTATTTTTATCAAAAATATTTTTATATAATTTTTTGTAGCTAATTTTTATTAATTACCATTTTTAAATTTACACTTGAAGATTTTTCATTTTTGAAAAATCAATTATTTTCAAAATTAGCAATTAAAATTCTTTTAAAGTTTATTTTCAAAAATTTTTATCAAACACTTTGAAAAAAATCAATTATTTTCAATTAAATTTTACAAAATTTCAATTATTGAAACTCTTTTTTATTGTAAATTTTGAAAATTAAGTAATTTATAAAAATAGTTGAATTGTTTCGAAGAAATTATTAAAAATTTTAAGAAATAATTGAATTTTACGGAAATATTTGAAAATATTTGAATTCTTCCGAGAAATTCAATTAAATATGTTTTGAAAATAATTGAATTCCTGCAAAGAATTTTACTATTTATAAAAATAATTGAATTCTTGCGAAGAATTTTACCATTTATATAAAAATAATTGAATTGTTTCGAAGGATTCATTAAGATTTTAGAAAATAATTGAATTTATTCGAAATATAGTAAAAATTGTTTTAAAAATTAAATTCTTCCAAAGAATTTAATTTTAATTGTTTTCAAAATAATTTGCAATTAAAATTCTTCAAATTTTAATTTTCAAAAATTTAGAAAAAAACACTAAAAAAATCAATTATTTTTAATTAAATTTTACAAAATTATTTCAATATTTACTGAAACTCTTTTCAATTGTAAATTTCGAAAATAAGTTGCATTTTATACTAAAAATTATTGCAATATTCGGAAGAAAAGTCGAAAAAGTCGTAATTTTTGAAAATAAGTCGAAAAAAGTCGCATATTTTGAAAATAGTCGAAAAAAGTCGAAAATGTTATATCTGAGCCCTGCATTTTTTTCAAAATTGCTCAATTTCGCTAGAAACTTGTTACTCGGGAGTTTTCGGGGTCGCCATTTTGAATTTTGAAAATCTGACTACAGATTCGTAATTTAATTAGAGAAATTAAAAAAAAAAAAAAATTTTTTACAGAACAAGTTGAAGTCCACAAAGTTTATCAACGAAAAAAATTGGTTAACAAGTATTTTATTCAATGATAACGTATAATAGTTTACCACAAAAATAAATAAAAAAGAAAAATTTTTTCTAATGCTTTAACAATAATTGTTGTGTAATGTATTAAAAAATTCGAACACTTTAAACAGATTTTTTTCGTTGATCAAGTTTATAATTTTATGCTGTTTTGATACTGTACTTTCGGTCAAAATGCATTCGATAAAATTGTATTCGAGAAAATTGTCATTCGGTGAAAAATACGTTCGGTTGAATTCATTCTGGAGAATGGTCCAGATTAAAAAATAAATAAGACCATATCGTCTTCCTTACTGAAAAATGTAACAAAATCCACTACACTAAACTTCCTTTTTCAGTAAAATAGAAAACTTTTACAAATATTTCAAATCTGGGATGCCAAACCACCCTGATTTGAAATAAACGATCGCTATTACAAAGGTTCATAATATTCATATAAATATTATATTATAAAGTTCATAATGAGTTTTGTAATTATAACAAGCAATCATAAATAGTCTATATTGTTTTACGATCTATAAAGTAAAGAACAATGAATGTAAATTAATAATTTCACATACGCGCATAAAGTTGAATATTAAGTATATACGTATAGTACAGACGAGAATTATGCAATAAATCTTCCCTAAACAAGAGGATTTGCTTAATTTTTTAAAAGATATTACAAACATTTTTGAATTAACAGTTTTCTTAAAATTAATATACTTTAGAAATTAATTAACATTCTTTAAGATCTTTAAATCTCTAAATCTTTATACTTTTGACCATAAAGTCCCTTTTCTATGATATTAGATATACGGTTCATTAAATTTTAAAAATCTTACTTCAAATTCATAATCAGACCCCAAGAACCCTAGGATACCAAGATTCAAAAAAATTCGTCAATGAAAAAGTTTATTTGATATTCAAAATTGGCCGTGTTTTTTAAAATCGCTGCCATTTTTTTTATTTTTAAGCATTTTTTTTATCAAGATTATTAATAAATTACATGCTTCAGTATCAAAGCGATTTTTCATTTTTTTTAGATACGATGTCTTTGAACGGCTGTAGCTTGTCTGACGATTAATCTTAACTTTGACAAAAGATTCAATTTTAAATATAATGTGTTTTGAGATATTCAAAAGTTTATCTTTCAAACTTAACATTTTATATTTAAATTAAGAAAAAAGACTCTTTATACCATCATAAAGGTAAGAAAATTGTCTATCAAAACTGCATATGAATAACAAATATAGTTTGGTTTTATTAAATGAGAAAAATAATGATTTCAAAAGTGCCTTACATTGGCAATTTATGAAGAGGGTCGTTTTCAAATAGAATATCTCATTTGTTTCGTTGTATTAGGTTATTAATTAAATGTAAATGTATAAACATTATCTAAATAAATAATAGAAAATATAAAATATGTGAATAAAATAGGATATAAAAGTGATATAAATGTTATTGACTTAAGAATTAGGTCATACTCTCTGGAAGGATAAGGGTAAAGGGGGGGGGGGTAATTCAAGTAAATATTTTCTGTCATGTACTAATTAAAACTTAATATAATCTTTTAGATTTGGGTTTATTTTATTTGTTCTTTTATTGATTTCCTTTTTCCATTTTATTTTAATCGTTTCTTTATCAATTTAGTATTAAGTATATCTATTTAATTTAATATTTTGAGTAAAATGGTCTTAAGTAGTTACGCCTTCATTTCTCAGGCATGGCGTGCGTGTAGATTCAATCACTTTGTGGTGTGACATCTAGGCAGATACTGATTGAATTGACACGCACGCCATGTCGGAGAATCATATAGGATGGTAGACTTTATCTTCTAAGTTCTCTTTCCCCTAGTAATAAATATATATTAATATTTAAGATGAATATTGAAACATTATTTACTTGGTTAAATTATTTTTACTTTTTTAAGTACATATAGTCAATTCTTAGTACTGTTAATTTTAAAATTTTTCAGTGGTTTCCCTATATACCGTCAAACTTGAGGTCTGTTAACCTGACACCACAACTTTGCTCATTCAGGGCTCTTAAATGGCTTTGAATTAAATTTTCAACAAAAACCACCGTTAGCTACAAAAACTATCTCCTTAATATAGAAAACTGATTTTTTCAAATACATCTTTCATATAAATTTGACTTTTTTAGGGGTCTTAAATATTATTGAATTAAAATTTTAAAAACTACCGCTAAACTAACTAACTACCGCTAATCCCCCTACTGACAAAATAAAATATTTAAAAAATTTTTTCACTCAAATTCACGGACATATTATGGTTTTTAAATGGAATTAAAATAAATTGAAAATTAATGGTAGGAGGATGGTTTTAAAGGTTAAGGGGTAGTTTTTAAAATTTCACTTTAATAATATTTAAGAGACTCCTAAACTAGTCAAAATTTATCTGAAAGTAGTATTTAAAAAAACCAATTTTTTATATTAAGGGGTGTTTTTCTCAAATTCATTCTACGTCCACTTGGAAGCCGTAAATGAGCCCTAAATTATACGGCAACATCAAATTTGGTTTGAAAATTTGACATTGTAATGGCGACCCTTTTTACTAAGTATAAACTATGAAATTATTCTATTTGACTTGAATTACAGTTTAACATGTTTCTGAATCAAAACAACATTACCTTTTAATTCAGGCTTTTTTAAAAACATGATCGTGTCGTTCAGTTGTGCAGATATAACTAACAATAAGAGCAGAAAAGAAAAAAAATTTTGAGTTTTCGGAACCATTGCATTCTAGGAAACAATAAAATTTACTGTCATCATTATTGAAGCAGTGTGCGTTAAAAACAAAAAGAATCATTTGCTTTTTGTAATACTGCAAATTAACATTTAACTTTGGAAGATCAAGATTTTTAAGCGTAATCAAATTCAATAACTAATGTTTGTTCATCTATAGAGACAAGATTTTATGACAATCAAATTTTTTAAATTATGCTATGAAAAATCCAATATTATGCTAAAATTATGCGGTGAAAATGAAATTATGCAATATACATCATTAAATTCTACTTGAACAATTTCAATTTAGTTAATAAAATTATTATTCTTTGAAATTGTTCAAATAATTTGCTGGTTGTGGGCATTAATATGGGTTACATTATAACTTTAGTGCCAATTTCTATTTAATGACAATTATTTTATTCAAATGTCAAGCATATAATAACAAATTTAGGGAGTCCACTTATATGAAAATAGATATACTTTTTACAAGCACAAACTTTTTAAATAAACATCAAAATATTTACAAATTCGTTTTGTGTTTGTCTTAAAAAATTACGACTTTTTTTATAAGTGGCAAAGAAAAAAAAACGTAGAAAAGTGTAAAGAGAATTAAAGAACAATTATAGAACAACACGTACACGATGTATGAAATGTACGATTTTTGTTCATTTTCCTTGTGAAAAAGTTAAGAAATTGAATATTTTATAAAGTTTGTAAAATTATGATTTTACAAGTTTTTCCTTCAAAACTGTGATATTCTGTCACAAAACACATTGGATTAATTATGCGCTAAAGAAAATTGTAGTTTTAATAATTATTTTCCCAAATAATTAAGTGTCGTGAACTGGAGCAAATTTTTTTATCATGTACCAATGTCAGACTGCGACTGCTCGCTTTTTGGGAAATACCTACGAGTTTAAATTTAACTGTAATTATTTTATTTAGCTATTTGTCTTATCCCCTTATTTTAATGGGTTTTTAAAGTTCTCCTTGTATGATAATTATTTATCAACAACATAATCTTTAACTATGACAGGTCTTTCTAAGTGTCCGATAATTGGGGTCCGATAATTGTATTTACAAGAATTTTCGTGTCCGATAATTAGAACAAGCAACTTGACTTCATATTTTAGAAGAATTCATAATTAAAAATCCGATGAGTTTTATTATTTTAAGAAAACAATTGAAATTTTCCCAAGAATTTTATTATTTATAAATAGATACTTGAAATTTTGACAAGAATTTTTTTCTTCTAATTTTTGAATATAATTGAATTCTTGCAACGAATTTCATTCAAGTTTATAAAAATAACTGAATTTCTGTGAAGAATTTTATTATTTATATAAATAATTGAATTCTTGCAAAGAATTTTATTCAAGTTTATAAAAATAATTGAATTTCGGTGAAGAATTTTATTATTTATAAAAATAATTGAATTCTTGAAAAGAACTTTGTTAAATTTTTTTTAATAATTGAATTTTTGCGACGAATTTTACAAAAATCTTTTTAAATAATTGATATTTTTCGAATTTAAATAATTGAATTTCTGTGATAATTTTATTAGTTATGAAAATAATTGAATTATTTCGAAGAAATTTATTAAAAATTTTGTAAATAATTGAATTCCTGGGAAATTTTACCAAGAATTATATTAAAATTTTTAAAAAATAATTCAATTTCGATGAAGAATTTTATTATTTATAAAGATAATTGAAATTTTGAGAAGAATTTGTTTTTAAATTTTTGAACATAATTGAAATTTTGCGAAGAATATTTATAAATTTTGAAAACCTAATTGAATTTCTGGAATCATTTGTAACTTTTCAAAAATTCAATTCTTTTAGTATTTTTAACTAAAATTCTCCTATCAATCTAGTATTTATGAAAATTGTAAAAATTATTCATTAAATAATTTATAAGTCATACTTTTATAATAGTTCTTGAAAAATTAAGTTATTTAAAAAATTTGATTAAAAATGTTTGTTAAATTGTCAAAGTAGGTGAAAAAATTGAAAATAGGTGACATTCTATGTTCCCTAAAATTAAAATAAGAATTAATAAATTATATTAAAAATCGGTAAAGTGGTGTTTTTTTATAATTTAATTTTAATTGAAACACAATGAGTCTTATTTAAATGTAAAATTAAACAATCGTTCATTCCAAACAAAAAGAATCTTAAGTTAAACTCACACTTGTCAGATTATTTTATTTTTATCCAAAATAGAGGATGATGGAGCAATTTTTACTTTTGTTTCATTTTCAGCGACCAAAAATACTACATATAAAATATGTAGGTCTACAAAAACGTAGAGACAATTTTTACTGTCTGAAATTTCACATTCTGTTTAAAATAAAAAAATCACAAAAACAAATTAGACAAATTTAGTATAAAGTTAAAAATAAGATTTAGTAAAAGAAAAAATAAGAAACCGTTGATTCTAAAAGTAGAATAATTGTAATTTTAATAGCAAACTTAAAATACATACGCAATCTCTCAATCACTTGCACAATGCTCTTAATATTGACATAGGCATATTTCTATCGTCCTCTATTAAAATCACATTGCACCAAATTCACACAAATACGTATACGACACTTTTATAAAACAAATACCAAATGAACTCACCTTTAAGAAGATCTATATTTGGTTAAGACGACGGAAAAATTCTACACTCTGATCACCTGAAAAATATTGTCACTGTCATTAAAATTATCATCAATAGACATTTTTTGACAGATTTTTATTCCATTTCTCACTATTTTAATCACTTCGTATTTTTAACTATTTTAAAAAAAGTCTATAAATTTAATCGAAAAAAAATATGACACCATTTTTTCTCACTTTTCTTTAATTTAATTACAGAACGAACAAAAAGAACTTGAAAGATAAAATGACTTTTTGAAAACAAAGTAGTTACGTCTTAATTTGACTTTGATGTCCTTTTATGTTTGTACATGGCCGTGACCAGGAATTTAACAACTAAAATTTCACAAAGATTCACAATTAGAAATAAATAATTAATTTTCGAAAAAATGAATGAAAATTGGATGCAAATAAAAATGAAAGTTACACAAAGGTGTTTACATAAAGCAGACATTGGGGAAGGAAGGAAAGAGAAAAGTAGATTTTAATTTGCAATTACAATCGACGTTTTAAGTCTCGTGAAATCTTAGTTGTACTCGTGATTCTAGAATGAATTCTGGAAGGGGCAAATTACTGTTCATTTTTCCATCGAGTGCCGACAAAATGAAATCTAAAAACAAAACTTTATATACCAACACAATGTTGTTAGATATACAGAGATTGCGAAACGCTCGAATAAGCAACGGGCGCCAAGGAAAAAGCATCGGGCGTCTCGTATCGACAATATTAACGAACGCAAAAAAAAAGGTTTTCTCACATTAACGGCAAAGCAATGTTTAAACGAGACAACTTACTTTGGAGTGCAAAGTTTCAAATGGAAGATGACTGGGCGTCTCATGCGAAATCCATCGACTCCGGGGGGGTCACACTGGTTATCGAAATGTTGTCGACATTTTCCTCCACATTAGAATTACATATACAATTATCAAGATTCACTATTGAGACTTTGAGACAAAGCGTTGATTCTCGCAGTCTAAGAGTGATGTAAAAACAATTCTCACATTCTCACCATAAGCACGACATTTTCCATCGTGACGGTTCATGAAAATATGACCTGCAATGCAGAACACGACATATGTCACGTACTTCTATTGTCGTAAACAAACGACCAGGAGTTTTGATTTTTCAATACTACTACCGCACGTAACAACTATTAAATTGACGAACAATTATTTTCACTTTCCCGTCGATCACTGCGTGTGCAAAGTATTAAAAAAAACTTCTGAAACGTCTAACGTTAATTAACCTTCGCATGACGACGTGCAGAAAGGTGCAGAACAAGTACTCTACTAAGTTGCTATTTAACTCACTATTGCCATCTAACTTTTTTGTTAAATAAATCCTATTGAAATTGTTTTTCATCATTTCCTACCTCTTTAACTACAATCGATAACTATATCTAGTGATTGATCTACCTTACCGACTGCAATGAACAACATGGAGGAAACTTTTTTAGGCTAAGTCCACAATGGTCCTATAGAATAAAGGCCTAAGCACAATAGGTTCGCGAAAATCGTTCGCGAACGCAAAGCATGAGTTAGAAAAGGACAGAGATATATTTGTGTCCTTGTCTATCTCATGCGTCTCGTTCGCGAACGAATTTCGCGAACCTATTGTGCGGTTGGACTTAATAGCCTTAGTACCCTTAGTACAATGCAAAGCATGAGTTTGTTTACTGATAAGACAAACTGTTATCTAACCGCAAAGCAAGCAACAAAATTGTCCTTTAATCGACTTAAAATGCATTAAAAAATTATCCTTTAACAAAATTGACATTTTATGAACACAACATACAACAAAATTGTTATTTAACAGACTTAATTTTGTCAGAATTTTCTCAGTCCGAATTTTAAAATTCACCAATTAAAATAAATTTAGAAGAAAATTATTGTGGTAGGTCAATTTTGAAATTTGAGCTAATGTAATGTAATTTTTTTTTTTTTTAATTACAATTTTCTTTCATGTTTCTTTATAGAATTAGGTTGTTTTATTTTTGCTGAATGGTAATTTTGGGGTCTTGAATATATATTAATTATGTGCATTTCTTATCAAGTTCTATTAAAAAATTAATTTTAAATTAATTATAATCTGGAAAGAACAGGAATTTAAAAAATAATTTACTAATTTCTAACGATATAAATTTGCCTACGTCGACTATGACGTACACACTGCAAAAAATAAAATTCAGTGTGACACGTGCCATTTGTAGGTGTGGTAGGGAGGAGACAGATATATTTCTGTCCTTTTTTTCTCGTACTCGTCCTGAAACTCTGCTTTGGCCATAAACTATAGATAATCTCTCATATGTTCGGAATCAAAATCGAAAGAAAAGGACAGAAATTTATTTATATCCTTTTCTATCGCATGCTTTGTATTTACAAAGGAGTTTCAATTGCAATTATTGTGATTTAGCCCTAATATGAGATGGAAGTTATCGAAAGAAAGAGAGAATGATAGGAGTGTTTGTCGTGGTGGAGCGTGGTTGGCGTTGATTCGCTGTTTACAATTGACCAATGAGCGCTTTCCATCTGTCTGCCTTGGCTGACGACGACGACAGCTAAAAATCATCAGCGGCATTTTGTGTATTGTCATTATCGGTTCGTTTCTCAGACAACAAGGAATTATTACTTGGAAATGCGTACTCTTTCCGTGTATATTGCCTTTTTGGCAATTATTGCAATAAAAGCAGAAGTATTTTTGGAGGAAACTTTTGCTGACGGTGAGTAAACTAACATTATTTTTTCGAATGCCGGTTTTTCTAAGCAACATTGAGAATTTACTTTTTCATGAAACTCAATTTCCGAACTCTTGATATTAAAACAATTCCATTTGATGATGTGACATTCTTTAAAAAATTATTCGAAATTGTTTAATTCTGTTCTGTTGTTAAAATCGATTTTTATTTATGCCTCGTACATTTAATCGAAAGTGTTTTCCATCTTTCTGTCAGTTTTAATTATTTTAATTTTATTCCGTAAATGTACTTCTGTTCAATTGGTTTTGTTTTTTAAAAATTGAAATTGTTTATTAAAAAATGTTTTTTTAAAAATAAAATACATTTTTTTTGAGTTAAAAAGTAAATCTGTATTCTCTTATGAAAATTGAAAAATTCAGTCCTGCTAATCTCGAATAAATTTAATTTTAATATTAACTAGTTTATAAATTTGTTTGTAAATATTCAAATGCTAATAATCTTAATTTTCACTTTGGGTAGATTTTAAGTGATCAATATTGTCATTTCTATCCTTCACGTAATAAAATTAGACTCGCTCAAGAAAGACAAGTGTTTTGTTCGCATACATAAAGTCACACGTACACATTTACTCTTTTGTGAAAGTTTCTATTCACGTAATGAAAGTTTGTTTTTTTAAACTAAGAAATAAGTAAGTTTCAAATGTTTAAAGTACTTCTAGCGCCACTTTAAACACCCAAGTGTTCAAGTCAATTTAATATAAATGAATACGTAATTACAATTCAGTCTAGTTTTTTTTAACCTCGTTCTCATTGTTAAATATTTTTAGATTGAAAGTACATTTTTTAATAACTAAGATTTTACTAATCGGGTATTTTAAAATTTACTATTAAATTTCCATAAATAATAAATATTAAAACAGAAAAAGATTTTTCCCCCACTTAAACCGAAATCAGAAATGCAACATTTAAAAATTAAAAACCCATTTAAATGTAGAAGTACAGGATTTTAAAGAGTTAAATTTTAAATTAAACTTTGGACCACAAAAGCGCTGCTGTTTTACGAATATTAAAAATGTAGGTTTTTTTTATTAATAAATTTAAATAAACATCAGTTTAACAACTGGTTATATTTTTTACTAATAAATTTTTATTAGGGATCGTCCACATTCCACGTGAACAATTTTTTATCACTATGACCCCCTCCCCCTATTATAGAAATCGTGGACTTTTGACAACAAGAGTTGTCCACGTGGACATTTTTTGTTGAGAGAATAATATTTTTGATATACGAAAACTTGGAACAGTAAAAAAAGTTTTTTATTTTAAAATGATAAAATAAATATGGATATTTTGTTTAAAAAGAAATAAAATTAAAAAATAAAATAAAATATGATATTTCAAGAATATTTTAATTTTTTGTGCTACGAGAAAGAATTTTTTTTTGGTAATAATTTTTTTTTAAATTAAAAACAGTGGCGCGAAACTTAAAAGTAAAATAAACAAAATATAAGGAAAAAAATCAAAGTTTATTTACTGAGTCCACGTGGACATTTGCTTTGACCCCCCCCCCCTTCTTACGTGGACAATCTTGTCCCCCTTTTTCCTAAAAACTGTCCACGTGATATAGGGGCGACCATTAATTAAATTTTTTTTAATGAAAAAAACATATTTCGAATATAGGAATTTTCATTTTTAAGAAATAAAGCTAAAACTTTGCATTAATTTGACATTAACATAGTTTATAAAAAAATATTTAATCAATTTAAATTCAAAAAAAATTTAACTTGAAGGCATTAAAAATAAATTAATTATAAACTTGTAGACTTATAATTCAACATTACATGAGAGTACAAACTTTTTTTTATAATTTACAAAAAAAAAATTTTAAATATACTTAAATTTTATAATTAATTCGCTAATTTTGTCGTAATTTTTAAAAAGGCGAATAAGAATAGAATCTATATTTTTTATTTGAATTATAGAAAATTTTTTGTAAAAATCAATTGGAAATGATGTTATTTTCCCAAAAGAGAATTTTTTTTTATTATTTTCTCTAAATTCATTACATTTTTAAATTAAAGTTTAAAATAAAAGAATAAAAATTATTTTTACGGTTAAAATTTCAAATTACAACTACAATTTAGTTTTATAGAAAGAAAAATATATCATTTTTAAAAATATAAATTTTTTGTGATTTCAGAAAAGTCCCTTGAAAATTGGGTACAATCAGAACATAAAGGAATTGAATATGGTAAATTTGTACTCAGTCATGGTAGTTTTTGGAACGATCCAGACAATGACAAAGGTGAGTTTAAAAAAGAAAGGAAATTAAATACAATTTTCTCTAGGATAACGGCTTGGCAGTATTTTAAGTACTTAATTATATGCAATTACTGCTAATTGCACTTAAGTATAATTATTTGACAATTTTTACTCTATTTTTAGGTATTCAAACTTCTCAGGATGCCAGATTTTACGCTTTGAGTCGAAAGTTTGATAAATTCAGTAATAAAGATAAGGATCTTGTCATTCAATTTTCTGTGAAGCATGAACAGAATATCGACTGCGGCGGTGGATATGCAAAAGTATTTGACTGCTCTCTTGATCAGAAGGACATGCATGGAGAAAGTCCTTATCATATTATGTTTGGTATGTTTTTTTTATTTTTAAACATTTTCTCCAAGAATAACCAAAATTTTAAATATCGAAAGTAATCAAAACTTTTTATTAGATCTTTTGATGTCAATTTTAATGATATAATAATATTAATTTTTAGTAACATTCAAGTCTATTTTCAGTGTAATGGACATTTTCAAAAAAAGTTCATTACATTATATGTGAATTTTAGTGAATTTTTCATTATTTTTTTTAGATTTTTAATTAATTTAATTAAAGTTAATTTTTAGCTAACAAATAGAAACGAATTTTTATTTAATTCACTTTTTAGTTTAAAGAAAAAGATTTAGGATTAACTTATTTAAGCCTCAGTTGATCCAACTTTCACTTAACTTTAATTGCCAGATAGTCATAAGAAATAACGTGCGATAAATTTATCAGACACTTATCGGAAAGTGAATCAACTGGGGCTAAGATATCTAAGTAAATGTAATTTTAAATGACTTTTTTTTAACACATTGGTCATTTGTCCGAACAAGCATCTATTAAGAATATTTCAGCGTGAATGGAAAAAATTAACCAATCAAATTGATCAGATTTACAGGCTTCGCACTCATCTACTAAAACATACTATTTACTTTTTCTATTTTATTTATTTATTATTTACTATTTCAGCCACTAAAAGCTACTATTTCTGTTTTTTTAAAATGTATTTTCACTACTTTAAATTCTCTAATACTAGAAATGAAAAAACTATTCTTAAAAATTATAATCAAATTCTTTAAATTACGATTCAATTATTTTTAAAAGAATATTCGAAATTCTATTTTCAATGTCTAGTAATTTCATAAAATTTCGCAAAAGAATTCAATTGTTTAAAAAAAAAATTAATAAAATTCATCCAAAATTCAATTATTTTCATAAATAATAAATTTTCCATAGAAATTCAATTAATTTAGAATAGCATTTACAAAAAAAAATTCGAAAAAATCAATTATTTAACAAAATTTTTATACAATTCTTCACAATAATTCAATTATTTTCACTAATAAAAACATTTATCATGAAATTTCAATTTTTTAAAAAAAATGTTGATAACATTCTAAGCAAGAATTCAATTATTTTTATAAATAATAAAACTCATCGAAGAATTTCAATTATTTTTAATACTATTTTAAATTAATTATTCAAAAAATTCAATTATTTTCACAAATAAAGTTTTCCACAAGAATTCAATTATTTTCAAAAATATCAAAATTTTTCACAGAAATTCAATTCTTTTAATTTCTATTTCATATTTATTTGGACAAATTACCATTTTGTTAAATGAAATTTAAACGTTTTTGCTTAATTTTCTTTATTTTTAATTTCTTTATTTACTTTACGGTTATCTAGTTCTTTTTTTACAGTTTTCCGAACATAAAGAATTTACTGATTGTGTTTTATTTTAGGACCTGATATTTGCGGTCCTGGAACCAAGAAAGTACATGTAATCTTCAGTTACAAGGGCAAGAACTATCTCATCAACAAGGACATCAGATGCAAGGACGATGTTTATACTCACTTTTACACACTAATTGTTAAGCCAGACAATACCTATGAGGTCCTCATTGACAACGCGAAAGTTGAATCTGGAGAATTAGAGGCTGACTGGGATTTCCTTCCACCAAAGAAAATTAAAGATCCACAACAATCGAAACCAGAAGACTGGGATGATAAAGAAAAAATCCCCAACCCCGATGACACGAAGCCTGAAGATTGGGATAAGCCAGAACACATTCCAGATCCAGATGCCACCAAACCCGAAGACTGGGACGATGAAATGGACGGCGAATGGGAACCACCAATGGTCGATAACCCAGAATACAAGGTAAATTATAGTAAAACTAATTTAAATTTGTTTTCAATTTATTTAATTGAATGAATAATGGATGAGATATAAAATATTTAGTCTATACAAAAAAAAAACACTTTTAGTTACTAATGCGAAATTTGGAAATTTTAGGGAGAATGGAAACCAGAAGAAATCGCCAATCCAAATTACAAAGGAGCTTGGGAACATCCAATCATCGACAATCCTGAATATACTTCTGATCCTGAAATTTACAAACGTGATGAAGTTTGTGCTCTTGGATTCGATCTTTGGCAAGTTAAGGCTGGAACCATTTTCGACAATGTCCTCATTACTGACGATGTTGAGTACGCCAAGAAAGTCGTGGATGATTTATTGAATAAGACTATTGTAAGTATTAGTATCAACTGAAAGTCTATATTTCGAAATAATAACACAGAGCATGAAAGAATAATTAATCTTACCGATTAGTGTAAAATCAGGGTGGCCACATATTTTTTAATACAAAATGTAACTTATTTCGATTTTTATAGTGCGAAAAATAAGTATAAAAATATTTTTCAAAACTTATTTTTAAATCATTTTTCTAATTAAATTTTCAAAGTATACAAATTAAAAATCTTTTTGAATAATTGAAATTTTGTAAAATTTAATTGAAATTAATTGATTTTTTTCAAAGTGTTTGATAAAAATTTTTGAAAATAAATAAAAAATAATTAATAATTAATAATTAATTTATTAATTTTTTTTTGATAAGAATTTTGATTGCTAATTTTGAAAATAATTGATTTCTCAAAAATTTTAATGAAAAATCTTCAAGTGTAAATTTAAAAATAGTAATTAATGAAAATTAGCTACAAAAAAATTATATAAAAATATTTTTGATAAAAATAATTCTTAGAATTTTTGCATTCTAATTTTTTAAAATTCAATTATTTTCAATATTTTTAAATACAAATTTCCAAAAATTCAAATACATAAAAAAAATAATAACATTAAAATTTTTTTACAATTATTTTTAACATTTTAACAACATATGACTTTTTTAGATTTATTAAAATTTTGAAGAAATCGCGTTTATATTAATGAATTTAATAATTAAAATTCTTTGAAAATTAAATAAATTATTCTTTTTTCTTCGTGAAATAAAAAATTATATTTGTTTTATCTTATTGTCAAAAAGAGATAATTAAAAAATCTTTATTAAAAATTGTTATTTTTTTAGGAAGGTGAAAAGAAAATGAAGGAAGAGCAGGAAAAAGCTGAGAAAGCTGTTGAAGAAGAATCGAAGGAAAATGCTAAAGACGATGAAGATGAGGATGATGACGAAGATGAGGATGACAAGAAAGACGAAGTAAAAGATAATGAAGTCGAGGTAACTATTTTTTTAAATTCAACTAAACTAATTTTCTTTTTATACAAAGTTATCCCATAAATTGTGTAGAATTAAAATGATGATAAACGCCATTTCTGACCTTTGTGAGCGAAAAAAAGGTGGAATTCCTCGTTACTGACAATCAACCACCAATTTTTCGTTTTCATGAACCATTTTCCAATTTACTAATAAATTTTCTTCTCTATTTCCAGGATCACGACGAATTGTAAATACGCTTGCTACAGTGGCGAATCAGACTGTATTCCAGGAGTTGCGCAGCCTACGTTTATGCGCTAGCGCAATGTAGGAATAGACGATAATTACTCGAAACAAAATAATATTGTTTCGAAGACTGGAGGATTAATCCTGGATCCTTAAAATTAACATTCTTCGAGAAAAAAGATAATTTTTACGATGTACATTTTATATTTAAAACCTAAGACTCTCGGCAGATTTTTCTTGTGCTATATATTTATATAAATAAATATTGAAAACCGAACGATTTGAACCAAGTTTTAATCGTTCGCTATATAAGCAATATTCCAACATTGCTGCATATAATTATCGTCTTGCAGCAGCTCCCAAACTAATAAGTTGTTCAGTTTTTGTTTGTCAAGTGTTTTATATTATGAAAAAAAAAATTAAAAGTGTAATTTAATATCAATATATATATAAATATAAATATATTATAAATAATTATCTCATCATCCATAAGCAGCAGTAATGTAAAAGTGAGTTGATGTGTGCAAACGTGTCTGAATGATAAAAGAATAATTATGCAAATTCATCATTAAAAAAAAAAAACCATGTAATGATTAAATAAAGAAGTCAGTTTTTTAGATGACATTTTGTTGAAACAATTTTCAAGCCTCTTTATTTTGCTTCCCAAAGAAAAGTTAAAATCTATATAAAAATAAGATTTTTTAAAATTCCACAAAAAAATAAGTATTTAGCATTTTTAAAAATTTAATTTATTTATAGCTTATTTTTGCATTTAAATTTAATATTTAGTATATATAACTGTTATTTTAAAGAGATGTTATACTATTAATAGGTATATTTTCATCTCGGAAAAGTGTTGATCATAGAAAAAGTTATTCAAAATGATAATGAATAAGTTGAATTTTAATACTTCTGAAATTAACAAAAAGCTTTTTTTTTATTTGGCTTGATAATAATCTTTCATTGTTTATTTAAAATATATTGACAATTAAGTTTTTAAGAACTTTTTTTAAAATAAACTTTTATGAGTGTGAAATTATGGTGTAAATATAAAAATGTTTTTTGATTTTCCTGAGAAAAAAAATTATTAAGGGCGTGTTGAATTCGTAATTCCCATTGAATCTCTATGTAAAAATCAGTACAGCTTCTTCGAGGGCAATTTTCAAGCTATTGTAGAAAAACCTTTACTGCTAGTGTTTGTCACATTTGTCATTATTTGTCGATCAAATTATTTTTCTACCGTAAAAGGTGTAAATGCACCTTTATACTTACGAGTTAAGGTGATTTAACACCTTCCGTTCTGAGTATAGCAGAATTTTCATTTTGGTTGATACTTTCCATTGTGGAGAAAGCTTTATGCGCAACCTTTACGTTCTGTCACGTGTCATTGTGCTTCGGCCTTTTTTTGCATCAATGAAACATTTTGACATTTTGAGGTTAAGTTTTCTCTTTTCTAAAAGAAAAAGTTTAGTTTTTACCGGCCAAAATTATATTATTTTGAATATAAAGATGAAATTTTTCCAAGATCGAAAGAGTTTATATTTACTATCACAATTGATTCTCATTACATTTTACTTTAAAAATTCATCATGTCAAGATTTATCCGAAAACACGTAAATCTTTTTTCAGTTTTTTAGAAAATCTTGTTTTTTATATAACTGTCAAATTGCTATATTTGAAATTAAATTAATGTTTTATTCACTAATTTTTCTAATGACATTTTTCTATTTTAGATCAAATCAAAATATTATAGATCCTCACTCGTTTTATTACAACAGGCATCGAAAGGAAATGCAAAAACCTACAAATAATGAAAAAAAGTAAAATTTTCAAATTTAGTTTTATTTAGGATATTATTTCTACTGGAAAAACGAGCTCTGTGGGCTAAATTTTTACTTTTAAAAAGATTTAAATATTAACATATTTTATTGTTTACTTTGAGATATTTAGAAAATTTATTCGTTTTACGCAGCACTTTCGCGATTCGTGAGATGCAAATAATTTTTAGAAAATTATGTGTTGTATTTTAATTAATTTGACTATTTTTTTATCAACAGTTGGTTTTAATCGTTTAAAATTTGGACCAAGTAAAAATGTAATCGCCTGAAATTTAATTGATTTAGGTTAATTAGATTGATAAAATTAAATTGGTCAATAAAATTTCTATTTCTTCTAAACGGACACTACCAAAAGTTAACATTTCATGAAGAAGCACACATATAAATTTAGAACTTGAAATTTATTACACAAAGAGTATCGTTATATTTTTCAGAAGAAATTAATATTAATGTATATGTAGTACTTAAAATTTATTTTATATTAAAAACATTTCATTTAAATAGAATTTCAACAGAAATGTTCAGCAGTAGTTCCAGTATTGAAACATCAGAAGAAACGATGGAATCTGCAAATTGCAATTGTGATAATAAATTACAAGAATGCAGAGACGAATTGTCAAATAATTTAGCATACGAGATGTTTTCTAAAAGACTTGTGAATATGCTGATGTCACATATTACTTTTAAGGTAATACTTCAAAAGTTGAAGAATTTTTTTTAAGGATAATTAAGTCGAGATTCCTGTTTTGCCAGAAAAAATTATTTAAAAAAAAATATAAGAGATTTACTTAAAACTATAAAATAGAATTTTCCATAACTATAAAATATGAAGAATTAAAGATGACACAGTGATGAAATTATTTATTGAAAATGCATTCAAAAAAATTGAATTTGTGACTTAGAATTTTATTAAAATTAAAATGGTTTTATTTTTTTAAGGAAGAAGACGAGATTTTTAGTGGAAACATTTACCTGGAAGCAACAAGTTCTCAAATGCAAGTCCTCCGTGATTTTGGGAATGTCAAAGTATCAATAAGAACTGTTGATTCAATACTTAGTGATATAATACGGAAACCAAGTACAACATTTTTTGATGAAGCACTTTCTTACTCAGAATTGTTTTTGTCATTTATTCAAAAACACGTAAGTATCAAAATCATAAAATTAATTTTCTAAGTTTAATTAAAATTTTATTTAAAAAAAAACTACTAAAATAACTCTTTCGTTTATTACTTTACAGAAATATGTCTGCATAGGAATATTACTTGTAATAAGTGTATTATTTGTAAGTAGATACATAAGATGGACAAGAGGAGCGATTATTCTTCTTGTTATAGATTTAATTATTGTTATCAGCTTTTTTATGACGTGGTATCAGCTCGTTAAGGTATGTATTTTCTTTTACTTTTCTTTTTATTAAAAATGCCTAAGTATATTAAAAAATTTTTTTCTTTTAGGAAGCAGAAATTAAACAAACTGCCAAACAAATGATGTACTCCCAAATGCCGATCGAATGTCAGCCAGAAAAAATGAACATGATGCAGTACATTTTATCGAAAGTTTCTTTCCGTAAGTTCATAACTCAGTAATTTTACTTCAAAAATTGAAAGTTTAAAGTTTCACTTTAAACCTTTGTAAAGATTCAAAGTTTTTAATTCTAAAGTATTGGTATATATTGTTAAACAAGCCTTCATTATAATTTTGAGAAGTTAATTTTTAAATAAATTTATAGATGGTAGTACGGAACAATGTGAAAAGTATGTTGAAGCAATGATAGTGGATCCTTTCGTTCAAGTGACACCTGTACAGGCATTATCTCACATGTGCACTAATTTTATTCTGCACCCTCTATCCGTGGCCGGACATGTAATCAGCAATTTTGTTGAAAATGCAACTGGTACTTATTTGAAATACTTATTGTTTAACCCGGCGAGCGTAAGATTAAAAATTGGAACACCGAGCATATAAGGGTTATCGAAAACATTTTGCTTTAAAACATGCGAATCCTTACTTTAAAAAAAATCAGGCCTTAAAGAGTTAAAATTTCAGGGTTGCCACGCAACCTGGAAACCTGGAAACCTGAAAATGTCAGGGAATTTTATAAACCTTGAAAAAACCTGGAAAAGTCAGGGAATTTTGATCGAAATCCTGGAAAATTGTTATTTTCTCAAGTTTATTCTTGAAATCTAATTTTACACAAATATTTCAAAATTAATTGAATTTTAAAAAAGTTGCGTTTACAATTTTCATAAGTACAGATGAATTTTAAAAGATTTTTATTTGAAATTTTGTAAAATTTCAATTTTGAATGAATTTAATTAGAAATCGTCTTAAAGAACGTAGATTTTTGAGAAATTTTAATTATTCCAATTCTTCTGAAATCAGTTAAATTTTTTAATATATATTTTTAATTGATTATTAAATAATGGTTTTATAGAAGAATTTTAATTAAAAACACAAAAAAGAAATTGAATTTTGAATCAATGACAAATGATTGCAGAAATTCAATTATTTTCAAAAGTAGTAAAATTCTTCTTAGAAATTCAATTATTTCCAACAATTTTATTAAAATTCTTGACAAAATTTCAATTATTTTCAAAAACTTTCCTCTATTAAATGATTTTTAATAAATCTACTACTTTAATAAATATTTTCAAAAGAATTCAATTATTTAAAAAAAAATTTTAATTCTACGCAAACATTTCATTATTTTCATAAATAATAAAACTCATCTCACACTTTCAATTATTTTGAATACAATTTTAATGGAATATCCTCGAAAAATGAAATTATTCTTAAAAATTTTATTAAATTTCATTAAAGAAATTCAATTATTTGAAAAGATATTTTAATAAAATTCGTCTCAAGAATTCAATTATTTTCAAAATAATATAATTCTTTGCAGAAATTTAATTGTGTTAAACAATTTACAAAAATTCTCGTCAAAATTTCAATAATCTTTATAAATTTTTCTCCGAAATACAAATATTTTCAAAAAATTGTAATAAAATTCTTGGCAAAATTTCAATTATTTTTAAAAACTCTTATAAAAAAAAATTTTCAAAAACTCTTTTTTCTTTAGAGAAATTCAATTATTTTCAATCAAATTTTAATCAAATTTCCGAAAAATGAACTTATTCTTAAAAATTTTTATTAAAATTTGTCAAGAGAATTCAATTATTTAAAAATTTGTTGATGAAATTATTTATGAAAATTCAATTTTAAGAAACATTCGAATTATTTAATAAAATATTTATTTTTGTATTTAAATATTTGAATTCTCGTGGATTTTTCTAGTAAATATTGATTTAAAAATAAATTTCAGTTAAAAATTTTAGATTATTATAGAAAATTGAACGCAATATAGCGTACCTTTTGAGAAATAATTGAATTTAGAAAAGTTTTTAAATTAAAATCTTGGAAAATTTGAACTTTTCATACTTTTAATTAACAATTCTGTAGAATTTTTTTTTAAAAAAGGTTGTCAAAAATCCAATTAATTAAACAAAATTGAATCAAATTCTTCGCATTAATGCAATTATTTTCATAAATTATTATTTAAATTCTTCTCATAAATTCAATTATTTTTAAAAATTTTAATAAAATTCTTCAAAAGTTTTCAATTATTTGCAAAAATTGTGATAAAATTTTTTAATTTATTAAATTTCTGTAAAATTTTAACTAAATTTCTTAAAAGAAATGAATTATTTTCAAAAGTTATTAATAAAGTTCTTCATCAAAATTCAATTTTAAGAAACATTCAACTATTCAATAAATGATTTGTTTTTGTATTTAAATAATTGAATTCTCGTAGAATTTTCTAATAAAAATTTATTTAAAAATGAATTTCGGTTAAAATTTGAGATAATAATTGAATATTAAAAGCATTATAACGTAAATTTTTAGAAATAATTGAATTTTGAAAAGGTTTTAAATTAAAATCTTTGAACATATATAGCTGTAGAATTATTGTTTTTGAAAAAATGTAATTAAATTTTTTTAAAATTACTTCAAATTTTTATTTTCTAAATATTTAATTGAAGAATTTCTGAATAATCGAAATTTTTTAAAATTGAATTGTAAAAAAATGTATTTGAAACTTCTCAAGGAATACTTTTGCAAAAACTATTAAAAATAATTGATAATTGAAATCATGAGAACAATTTTATTATTTAGGATAATAATTGAATTCTTGCAATGATTTTTTATTACATTTTTTTTTAAATAATTGAAATCCTGAGAAGTATTTTATTGTTTATGAAAATAATTGAATTCTTGCCAAGAATTTTGTCAATTTTAAAAATAATTGAATTATTTCGAAGAATTTTATTCAAATTTTTTGAGAATAATTGGAATTCCTGTGAATAATTTTATTATATTTAAAAATAATTATAAATTCTTGACAAAATTTTTAAGAAAATTTAGAATTAATTTTTCTCAAAAAGTTTAATGGAATTTTTTTCAATTATTTAAAGTTTTTAATTTCTAATTTATTTAATTAAAGAATGTCAGAATAATCGAAATTTTAGGTAAAATTCAATTGTACACAAATGGATTTAAAAATTCTCAAAGAAGAACTTTTTAAAAAAATTATTTAAAAAAATTGATTTAAAGAAGAATTTTAGTTTAAAATTCTAGAAAGTAATAATTGAATTAAAATGATGAAAATAATTTTTAAAAAATTACAGTAATAATAATTTTTTATTTAAAAAGTCAAATTTCTACTGTTAATCCGTTAATTTATTTTTTCTTTTTTAGAAAAACTAGCATGGCCTATGAGATGGACTGTGACTCTTTTACTCTTCATAGGTGTGGCCTTACTAATAATAGTCTTACCTTTTTCTTTATTCGGAGGATCCTTAGGATTTGGCATTGGACCACTTTTCCATTTCACTTTAGGTCGACAAAAAGAAAAAGAACGAGTCAGCAATGCTAAACCAATTGAGAGAATTGAGTTAATTCGAGAGGTAATTTCCTTCATAAGAATAAATAGTAAATTTTTATTAATAATTTTTTACATAATTCTTTGTTATTAATTCAATTTCAACTTGTTTCTTAGGTGCCTACGAATGTTACTATTCAAAGAATAGAAGCCGGCAGTAAGAGGAAAAAAAGTAAACAAGTTGTTAAACAAATTTTAGAGAAAGAAGAAGAACAGGAGCAGTCTGATAGTAATGTTTCGCAAGATTCTATTTTGGAAAAAGGAGACTCAGCTGATGTTGATACGTCTACTGAAGATGTTCAATTTGAACTAACTGACAAAAAAGAGAAAAAAGCATTGTTACTTAAAGAAGACGGTAGCGGCGATAGATGAGCTAAGTGTAATTTCAAATCTACTGTTTAAATGAAAAAGACTGTAAGCTAGAAACTAAAAACATTTTTTTATTTGTTTTATATTTATTTATTTTGTATGAAAAAACGTTTATTTTTGCATCTTCTTAAATTTTATTAAAATTCTTTAATAAAATATCTGAAAATATATTTTCTGATTTATAAAAAAGTTCGATATTATTATAGTACAATTTTTTTGAATTCTAATATTCGTGTTTTTGAAACTTTTACTCATAAAATAAGTTTAATTCTTTTTTCATAAATGGCTGTGATGACATAGTAATTTAAGAGAATTTTAATAATTAATAATACTTGATAGAAACATTTAAAAGTAAAAAATAAGATTTTTCGTTTTAATTTAAGTAAATCATTTTGAAATATTCAAAATTTAGTCACATAAAGTATAAAGATGAATATAAATTTTCATAAACTTTGTGTCTACATTCCCTGTGTAATTATAAATTATTCTATATTAGCTTATTGACACTTGATACAATTCAATGATGTTTCAAAGTTCTCATTTTTTTAATCATCATCATTTTATTTGTAAGAAATTCATTGTATTTATTCTATACACCTTATGTGGGTGTGTGCCTTATTGTAAATAGTAGATAATTTATATAAAATTAACTATTGTCAATATGTAGAATATGTTTCTCTAAATTAAATATAACTCATTAAATAAATTCCTAAAAGATTAAATTTTTTTTTTAAATTGAAAAAGTAGAGGGGAGGAAAGTTTTTACGTTTTCGGTACCATTGATATTTTTTAGGTCGGTCAAAACTTTATAGATTTTAATTTATTAACAATGAATTTTAAAGCATTTTTCATGTACTTTCTGATGTTTACAAAAAAAAAAATAATAATAATGATTAATTATTCAAAAAAATTTTTTCTTTTTGAACTTTTGTACCCCAATAAAAATTATAAATATTAATTAACAATTTCTAAAAATAATTGTAGAGCTTTTCAATTTTCATTACAGAGGTTATAATAACTCGTTGCGAAAATATAGTTGTAAGGGAAAATGGAAGCAATGAAAGGTCTCTGCTTTTAATTATACGAGAGCTTTGAATTTCTCTACTTGTGCAGAAGTACGTTTTCTTTAATATTGCAAGGTGTCGATATTCTTCCCCCAAGTACTCATCAGGATTTCATAAGAGTTTCTTTCCATTACAAGAGATCAACGAGCTCTCCTCCTATTTTACCTCCTTTTCCTCTATTTCTACAGTCTATACTTTATCTACACTAATACTATTTCAAAAACGTTCATCATTAGTCTTAAACTTGCAGACTTTCGATCACATTCTCATTACAAACAAGAAAATACAGATTTACTCGTAAGCCTGATATCATGAGCCACGGGTTAATCCAAAACCTTGATTACTCCTCATTTCTTAGTGGCGGGGAAACAGAATATAACAGTGCTCCTCTCAGAAATGTAATATACCTTTCGAAAAACCCATAAAAAGATATTTTTCAATTAAGTACCTTCTTAAAAGCGTAAAAGAATGTTCAGACAAAAGAAAGAACATTTTCCTATCTTCCAAAATTTACTTTTATAAAATGTGGTAATGATACTGAAAGAAGGGAAGATTCAGGACATAATGGCCATAAGGATAGAGTGTACAGTAAATGAGAATGTATAATAAAGTAGATTAAATAAACTGAAAAAAATAAAGAAACGTGATCGTTGACTTCAGTTTTTAATTAATGTGTACATATTTTAAAAGTACATAAAAAAACCTTTCGAAACCACTTCTTAATTTTTTTAATCAAATAATTTAAGTAGAAACTACAAATGTTTAAAAAACGCATGTTTGAGTTTAAGCCGAAATTGTAACCAACCGTGAAACATATTCTGCCATTCGTATTTTATTGTTTACATAAAGGGAACTGTTTCCTGTGCATATATTCGGATGTGATTCCCGAATATTCAAAAGCACCAGGAAGACGAAAATTACTTGTTGTTTTTGTCCTGTCAAAACACTGGCGGCGGCCATTTTGAATTAAGAGGACCCTAGGTGCGGTGGTGACTGTAGACAATATGGCGTTCTGTTTTATCGGCCGAAGCTAATTATCTAGCGCGGATAAGTGAAATCTGTAAAAATTGTAAATTATAGTACGCCTGGGACTCACCGCAGAAGCGCTCGTGTGGCGACGCGTTCGTGAACAAATAATCGGCCATTTAAATTCATTCTCGTTTTGCTGACAGTACAAGGCGCATTACGCTATCAAATTAACAATCAAAGGTTATAATTGTATTTTGAGTACAATGTTTGGGTGAGGAAGCCTCCGGGGTCGTCGAAGAATACACGGTGAGTCTTAGTGCCTTATATATTTGTTGTTTCTCGCCAGATTGGCATAATATTTATTCTTTGAAATTTGGCTTGTTGAAAGTGATGCTTGACACCGCATTGTCATGCGGTATTTTAATTCAGAAATTTCGGCCTTCTACTGAATAAATAAATTGTTCAATTAAAATTAGAATTTAAAGTGAAATAAATTGAATAAAATTAGAATTAAATTCGGTGAATTAATGTGATATCTCCTTACCCCCCCCCTCTACACTGTTTGTTTGGCATTTTCCTAACAATTTCTGAATTTGTCTGGCAAATGTTTAAAATCAATTAAATTAATCTTTTGGATATTTTCGCATAGAACATCCTGGCGCAAAAAAAAAAAAAATTAAAATCAGTGAATTTGAACTGTAGATAACATTCATTCCTAACCTCTTTTGTCATTGGTCAAGCAACCTTATTGTCAATTTTAATATCCACTACTTTAATGAAAATTCCCAAATGAATTCAATTTGTTAAAAAAAATTTTAATAAAATTTTACTCATACATTTCATTATTTTCATAAATAATAAAAATTTCACAGGAATTCAATTATCTACAAATTATTAAAATAAATTATTATTCAATTATTTTCATAAATAATAACATTTTTTACAGGGATTCAATTATTTTCATAAATACATAATAAAACACATCGCAGTCTTTCAATTATTTTTAATGCAATTTTAATGGAATTCCTCGAAAAATGTAATTACTCTTTAAAATTTTATTAAAATTTATCAAAGAAATTAAATTATTTTAAAAACCTTTGCTAGTATGCTACAATTTATTTATTACAATTTAAGTATTATTTTCAATATACATATTTTTAATTTTTTCAAAGAATTAAATTATTTTTAAAACTTTAATGAAATTCTTTGTAACAATTCAATTTTTTTCAAAATAATTTTAATAAAATTTTTCGTAGGAATTTAATTTTATTTAAAAAGAAATTTTAATAAAATTCGTCTCAAGAATTTAAATATTTTCTTTGCGGAAATCCAATTTATTATTATGTTCAAAAATTTACAAAAATTCTTGTCAAATTTTCAATTATATTTATAAATAATAAAATTTTTCTCCGAAATTTAATTATTTTTCAAAAATTTTAATAAAATTCTTGGCAGAATTTCAATTATTTTTAATACAATTCTCATCAAATTTCTAGAAAAATGAAATTATTCTTAAAAATTTTATTAAAATTTGTCAAGAGAATTCAATTTTATTCAAAAATGTGTTGATAAAATTCTTCATGAGAGTTCAATTTTAAGAAACATTCAATTATTTAATAAATTATTTATTTTTGTATTCAAATAATTGAATTCTCGTAGAATTTTCTAATAAATATTGACCTTTTTATTTTTGTGAACTTTTTAAAGACAAAAAAGTATATGTAGTTATAATTTCTCCCGTTTAAGCTTAATTTAAAACAGTTAAGAATTGTTGGGAACCTATTATTTAAGTATTAATTTTCTAGTGAAGAGAATAGAATCCACCCCTGAGCAATATCAAGTTAGAACTTCGAACTGCAGAATGGAGAGGTAGAAATGAGAGAAAGAGAAAGGTCATAGCACACCAGTAATTTCGCAGGATTAATATTTAATATCCAGGAAAACCATGGAGAGCTTTCGTTAGAAATCATATGTAAGCGTGCAATGCAGGAATACTAACACACAAACATATTTATTTACACACAATGTACACTTGAAAATGTTCTCTGCGATTCCTGTGATAACCTTTTCCTCGCTAGAGCCATCCTTGACCCAACTACCGTATATTCAGGAAACAATTTACTGAGGCTTATTTGCTCACCAGACGCTTCTGTCGCATTGAGACTTTTTTTACCTTAGTGTAGTATTGGAATCGATAAATGCTTATGCAAGACAGAAAGCTCTAAGGTTTTTGTCATTTTAGTTTTTGTTATTTAAGGTACAAAAGGCTTGAAAGTTGATGCTTGTTCAAGCAATATGAAGCTTTTCTTCGTTTAAAGTGAATAAATCCTAATTTTTAATTTGTCCGAACAGATTAAGAATTGTGATGTGCAAACTGTAATTATGTTTATTTTTTATAAAAACAAAATTTTAATAGAGTTGCCACAAGTCAGAGAAATTAGGGAATTTAGCGAAAAGTTAGGGATTTTTATTAAAAGTACTGGAAAAAATTAAATTTTTAGAATTCTAAAGAAAACTCTAAATTTTGGTGTCTTTTTTGTTTGCCTCGTAAACTATGAACTTATCACGAATTCTAATACAAAACCTTTATTTTTTTATATTTTTGACAAGAACAAAATTTTTAATATTATTTAATTATTTCCAAAGTTTTAACTCAATTATCTTCATAAATAACAAAATTCTTCACTGAAATTCAATTACTTTTAGGGATTTTAATAAAATTCTTTGCAAAATTCAATTATTTTCAAAAATTTATCGCAATTTAATGAATTTCAATATTTACTATTTTCATAAAATTTATCAACAGATTTAATTATAGAAAAAACTTGTTGATACAATTCTACGAAAAAATTCAATTATTTTCATAAAAAATAAAATTCCTTTTAGGAATTGAATTATTTTCATCTCAGAATTTCAAATATTTTTAATACAATTTTAAATAAATTCCTCAAAAAATGCAATTATTATTAAAAATTTTATTAAAACTCAACGGAAGAATTCAATTTTAAGTAACATTCAATTATTCATTAATAATAAAATTATTTTCATAAATAATATTTAATTCGTCGCAGAAAATTGATTATTTTAAAAAATTCTGCAAAAGAATTCAATTATCTTAGTAAACAATAAAATTCTTCCCATAAATTCAATTATTTTAAGGAATTTTAATTAAATTCTTTTCCAAAATTCAATTATTTAGATAAATAAAATATTAAAATCTATCACAAGAATTCAATTCTTTTGAAAAGTAATAAAATACTTTGCAGAAGTTAAATTATTTTCAAAATTTTTTCAAAATTCTCGTCAAGAATTAAATTATTTTTACAAATAGGTTGCGAACTTCGTCTCAAGAAATCAATTATTTTCAAAAATTGCAATGAAATTAATTGTTGTCAAAATTTCAATTATTTAAAGAAAATTGAATAAAATTCTTCGCATTAATGCAATTATTTGAGATCTCAATTATTTTCATAAATTACTATTTAAATTCTTCTCTTGAATTCAATTATATTTTTAAAAATTTTAATAAAATTCTTTAAAAGTTTTCAATTATTTTCAAAAATTGTGATAAAATTCATTAATTTATTAAATTCCTGTAAAATTTTAACTAAATTCCTTAAAAGAAATTAATTATTTTCAAAAGTTGTTAATAAAGTTCTTCATAAAAATTCAATTTTGAAAAACATTCAACTATTCAATAAATGATTTATTTTTGTATTTAAATAATTGAATTCTCGAAAGAATTTTCTTATTAAAATTTATTTCAAAATGAATTTCGATTAAAATTTGAGATAATAATTGAATATTAAATGCATTATAGCGTAAATTTTTAGAAATAATTGAATTTTGAAAAGGTTTTAAATTAAAATCTTTAAACATATATCTGTAGAATTATTATTTTTTGAACAAGTTTAATTGAATTTTTTAAAAATTATTTCAAGTTTTTATTTTCTAAATATTTAATTGAAAAATTTCTGAATAATCGAAATTTTTTAAAATTGAATTCTAAAAAAAGTGTATTTGAAAATTCTCAAGGAATTCTTTTGCAAAAAGTATATTAAAAATAATTGATAATTGAACTCTTTCGAAGAATTTTAATAATATTTTTTTAAAAAATTACGTTTTTCGAAAATTTACTTAAAATTTTATTAAAAAATAATTGAAATCCTGTGAATAATTTTATTATTTACGAAAATAATTAAATTCTTGCAACGATTTTTTATTACATTTTTTTTTAAATAATTGAAATCATGTGAAGTATTTTTCATATACAATAAAAATTAAATTATAATTAAATTATAATTTCAATTATTTTTATGAAAATAATTGAATTCTTGCTTAGAATTTTATTACATTTTTCTAAAATAATTAAATTCATTGGAAACATTTTATTACTTGCAAAAATAATTGAATTCTTGAAAAGAATTTTATTAAAATTTTTGTAAATAATTTACTTTTTATTTTGAAAAATTGTATGAAAATTTAAATTATTATAACTTGTTAAATTTCATAAAGGTTTGAATTTGAATTTTTTGGAAAATCTTAATTCCCATGGAATAACAATAATAATTAAATATTTATTTTGAAAAAGAAACTAATAGAAAATTTTTTTTGAGTAATAATTTTTAAACTGTATCAGAATATATTCTATATTCTTTAGAGTCAATAAAAAGTAAGAATTTTTTCTGGAAATCAAGGGAAAGTCAGGAAAAAGAAAAGTAAATTTTTGTGGCAACCCTGATTGAGTAATAGATTTAAATATATAACAATGCGGAATACAGTATTATATGAAAGTTCCATGTATTTGTAAAAATTTATTGGAATTATTTAATTTTATAAAATATAAATGTAGTTATAAAAACCTGGAAAAGTTTCGTTATTTTATCTGGAAAAGTTAGGAAATTTGAAATGAGAAAATGCGTGGCAGCCCTGGTATGTAAAGTAAATATTGTTACTAATATTAATGAAAAATTGTTGCAATTTTAAATTGTACAAAGACTCTTTAATATTTTCTAGATTTTTTATTAAATAAATATTTTATAATTTAGAATTGATTAATTTATAAATTAATCATTTATAAAGTTATGCTAATAAGAGATTTCTTTTATGTGTGGCAGTATCGTGCTTTATTAATTTTCCAATTACTCCTTGTTCAAAAAAAAAAATATAAGATAATTCTTATTTTGAAATAAATATAATGGAGATAGTTTTAAACATTTTTTTTTTTTGCAACGTTTAATGATGAATTATGGAAGTCGTGGCTTGTATTCAAGAATTTTTTCAGGAACTTGTCTAGTCCTACGATTTCGGATAATAACAACAAAAAGCGTTATTGTTGTTATAACTAAAAGTGCAATCCCAAGGATTATAGAAATTGTGCCACTCATTTCTATATAGGCATATTTAATTTGTATTTGAGTTGTAGCTTCCCTCATTTCTCCTCCTGAAATACCAGCAACACAATGCCAGGTACCAATGTCGTTTGCAAATTCTATTTCTGAAATGAAAAATATAACAAGAATAAAAGTTTTTGTCAACACTGAAAATTAAAATCACAAATTTTTAATAGAATTTAAGTTTTTTAATAGATGTAATTATTAAAAATAATTCAAAAGTTAAAAGAAAAGCACTACGGGAAGTTCTAAATTCAGGAATTAATTGAAGTTTTTAGATGAATTATTTTTTGACCTTATGTCTATTTGAAGTACTTATTATAGTAGATTAAGTTGATAATGTTGCAATTTGTACCTTGGATTGTTAATTTACAAGATGATAACGTTCTTTCAGTCACGTACTTATTATCTACATTGTTATAAATTCCACTACCATCAGGTCTTATCCAACGACAATAATTGATCACATTGTCATAACCTGGTAAGAGATTGCAGTTTAGAATTGTTGGATTTTTGTATGAAATGTATATTTTTTCTTCCGCAATTAATAGAGAGTCTGAAAGTAATAAACGTTACATTTAGTCGTATCTATTTTTTCAATTTAATATACTTAGGTGCTAATAACATTTTTGATTGCCTCATAAACTTATGAAATTAACTACGAATTTAAAAAAAAATATTAAATTTTTTTTATTTCTGAAAATAATTTATTTTAAATAACTTAATTCTATTAAAGAACTGCCATAAAGTTATTACTTATAAACTATTTAATAAAATATATTTTTTTTTAATTTTAATTTCAATTGTGTTGAAATTAGTTTCAATTTCGAAAATTTTAACGCAATTCTTTGAAAGAATTCAACTTTTTTAATAAATATCAAAATTCTTTCCAGAAAATCAATTATTTTCAAAAACTTTTTTAAAAATTCTCGTCAAACATTTCAATTCTTTATAAATAGTAAAATTCTTCGCTGAAATTCAATTTCAGGAATTTTTATAAAATTTATTGTAAAATTCAATTATTTTTATAAATAACAATCTTCATCACAAGAGTTCAATTATTTTCAAAATTAATAAAATTCTTCGCATAAATTCAATTATTTTCTAAAAAACTAAAAAAAATTGTCAACATTTCAGTTATGTTTATAAATGAATAGTAAAATTGTTGGACAAAATTTAATAAATTTCATTGCAAAATTAAATAATTTTTAAAAGTAATAAAATTCAATTATTTTCCAAATTTTTTTAAAAATTCAATTCTATTTTCAGGAATTTTTAAAAAAATTCATTGTTAAATTCAATTATTTTCATAAATAACAATATTCATCAGAAGAATTCAATTATTTTCAAAATTAAAAAAATTTATCACTTAGATTCAATTATTTTCAAAAAATAAAAAAAAATTGTCGTCAACAATTCAATTATCTTTATAAATGAAAAGCAAAATTGTTCGACAACATTTAATTATTTTCAGGGAATTTTAATAAATTTCATTGCAAAATTCAATTATCTTCAAAAGTAATAAAATTCAATTATTTTCAAAAATTTTAAGAAAATTCAATTATATTTTTAGGAATTTTTATATAATTATTCATTGTATAAATCAATTATTTTCATAAATAACAATATTCGTCATAAGAATTCAATTATTTTCAAAATTTATAAAATTCATCGCATAAATTCAATTATTTTCAAAAAATCTAAAAAAAAAATTGCCGTCAACATTTCAATTATATTTAAAAAATATTAGCAAAATTGTTCGACAAAATTTAATTGTTTTCAGGAATTTTTATTTTAATAAATTTTCCCAAAATTCTATTTTTATAAATAATATAATTTATAGCATGATTTCAATTATTTTTAATACAATTTGATAGGAATCGTCCGAATGTTTTCGTTTTCATTTATTTGACTTATTTATGAATATCTCGGACGTTAAAGATTATTTTATTAATAATTATTCTTAAAAATTTAATTTTAATTCTTTGAAAAAAATCAATTATTTACAAAAATATTAGAGTTTTTCACAGGAATTCAATTATTTTCAAATATTTTAATAAATTTGATCGAAAGAAATCATTTATTTTTAATACAATTTTAATTAAATTTTTTTGAAATAATTCAATTATTCTTTTAGATTTTAATAAAATTCTTCACAAAAATTCAATTATTTACATAAATAATTCTTCGAAAGAATTCAATTATTAAAGATAAATAACAAAATTATTCCCGAAAATTCAATTATTTTGAGACATTTTAATAAAATTCTTTGCAAAATTCAATTATTTTCATAAATAATAAAATTCTTCTTAGAAATTCAATAATTTTTGAAAATGTTAATAAATTTCTTAGCAACTATTCAATTATTTTCATAAATAATAAAATTCTTCTCTTTTTTTTGTAAATGTTAATAAAATTCTTAGCAACTATTCAATTATTTTCATAAATAATAAAATTTAAGTCAGGTTTTCAATTATTTAATTATTCCTATAAAAATCAATTATTCTAATAAAATTTCCCAAAGGAATTCAATTATTTAAAAAAAAATTGACAAAATTCTACGCGAATATTCAATTATTTTCTGAAATAATGAAAATTTAAGTGGAATTTAATTATTAGAAAAAGAATTTGCATACATTTTTTTTAATTCTTAATTCTTAGCAAAAATTCAATTATTTTCATAAATAATAAAATTCATTGCATAATTTCGATTTAATATAACTTTAATAGAATTCCTCGAAAAATGTAATTATTCTTAAAGATTTTCTTAAAATTCGTTTTAAATAATTGAATTCTCGTAGAAATTTCTAATAAAAATTGATTTGAAAATTAATTTCAGTTAAAGTTTATTTAAAAAATAAAGTTATTGTTGTTTTCGAATAATTTTACAATTAAGTAAATTCATAAATAAATGTAATATATGTAGAACATTTTTTTGAGCTATCTAATAATTTTTAGAGTGAATCAGAATATTCTTTAGGGTCAGGGAAAAAGTCAAAATCAGTCAGGAAAAAGTCTGGAAATCAGAAAAAATAAAAAAGAAAATTTTAGTAATATTGTTCGATAATATGTTGTTGCAGGGCGGGCGCTTGTTAATTATTTGTTTATTAAACGTTGTGAAACAGAAATTTATTAATAATTAAGTGGTGCATATTCAGTTAGACGTGTCATGCCCTAAATCCCAAAGAGGGTGTAAGATCCCATGGTACCTAACGTCGCGTCGTGTCACTCGCATGTTATATGCGGGCTGCGTTATCTATTACTTAGTTAATTAGTTCTGCAACTATGTGTTAGCTATAGTTAAAGGAGAGACCGCGTCCGCGAGCAATTATTAAGTCATGGATAACGAAGGTGCTGCTAGTACGCTTTACGAATCTATTTAATCCAATAAGCGTTGCTCTCAGATATTAGTTTTGCAATTAAAACGATCTTCAAGTTTCCCTTCTCTTGTAAGGTCAGTTTGCAAGAGGTCGACTTCCAAGTTTAGCAAATTATAAAATTTTCTGCAAGTTCCAAGAACGCTTCGAGAATTTTAATAATGGAGTAGTCGAGAGAATTGCAGTCGAATTTCGTTGACTTTGGCGCTGTATAATTTTTCCACTGTTATAGTGCTGTTGTAATATAAAGTAGGGCATAATAAATATTAGCAATTTACATTTAAATAAATACAGTGTCGTATCGAGATAAGGTTCTCAAATTAAAGAGTTCTTCATACTGAATGTAATTATTATGAATTAAAATTCAGAAGTTGACGATGTTACTTTTTCACTATAAGATTTAAATTCGCATTTACCCACATACATAGCAGCAAATTTTCTGCAAACTTGCCAAATTCATGAGCTTCGCACTCATCTATACTAAAACCTACTATTTACTATACTTTTTTTACGTTATGCTATCTATTTAGGTCCTTTTTTACATTTCAGCAACTAAAAGCTACTATTTTTGCTTTTTTTTTGAGAATTTCCACTACTTTAAGTTCGCTATACTAGAAATCAAAAAAGCGATTCTCAAAAATTATAATCTAATTCTTTAAAACCATTCAATTATTTCAAAAAATATTCGAAATTCAATTATTTTCAATATCTAGTATTTTCATTAAAACGCAAAAAATTCAATTATAAAGAAAATTGATAAAATTCATCAAAAATTTAATTATTTTCATAAATAATAAAATTTTCATTTTATTTTCAAATAAATTCAATTAATTTCGAATAGAATTTTCGAAAAAATCAATTATTTAACCAAATTTTTATACAATTCTTTACAAAAATTCAATTACTTTCACTAATAATAACATTTTTCATAGAAATTCAATTTTTAAAAAAAAATTTTGATAAAATTCTAAGCAACAATTCAATTATTTTCATAAATAATAAAAATTATCGAAAAAATTTAATTATTTTTAATACTATTTGAAATTAATTATTTCAAAAATTCAATTATTTTCACAAATAAAGTTTTACACAAAAATTCAATTATTTTTATAAATAATAAAATTCTTCTGAAAGAATCAATTATTTTTGAACATTTTAATAAAATTCCTAGCAATTATTCAATTATTTTCATAAATAATAAAATTCATCGTAGGTTTTCAATTATTATCAATACAATTTTACAGGAATTACTCAAAAAATGTAATTATTCTTAACAATTTAATTTAAATTCCTTGAAATAATCAATTATTTAAACAAAATTTTTTGGAAGAATTCAATTATTTACAAAAATATAAGAATATTTAACAGGAATTCAATTATTTTCAAAAATTTTAATAAAATTGTTGGAAAGAAGTCAATTATTTTAAATACAATTTTAATAAAAATTTTTTGAAATAATTCAATTATTTTGTAGATTTTAATAAAATTCTTCACAAGAATTTAATTATTTACATAAATAATTCTTCAAAAGAATTCAATTATTAAAGATAAATAACAAAATTATTCCCGAAAATTCAATTATTTTGAGGCATTTTAATAAAATTCTTTGCAAAATTCAATTATTCTCGTAAAAAACAATAATCATTACAAAAAATCAAATATTTTTAAAAGTAATAAGTTTCTTCTTGAAAATTCAGTCTTTTTTTTAACATTTTAATCAAATATTTCGCAATAATTCAATTATTTTCATAAATAACAATTTCTTCTCAAGAATGCAATTATTTTTGAAAATTTTAATAAAATTCAATTATTTTTATAATTAAAATTCATCGCAGGATTTCAATTATTTGTAATACAATTTGAGAGCAATCGCTGAAAAAATGTAATTATTTTTAAAAATTTTATTTCAATTCCTCGAAAAAAATCAATTATTTAAAAAAAGTTTTCTTTAAAATTCTTTTTAAATATTCAATTATTTACAAATCAATAAGAATTTTTCACAGGAGTTTAATTATTTTTAAATATTTTAATAAAATTATACGAAAGAAATCAATTATTATTTTAAATACAATTTTAATTACATTTTTTTGAATAATTCAATTATTCTTTTAGATTTTAATAAAATTCTTCTTAAGATTTTAATTATTTACATAAATATTTCTTCGAAAGAATTCAATTTTGTCGATAAATAACCAAATTATTCCAGAAAATTCAATTTTTTGAGGTATTTTAATAAAATTATTTGCAAAATTCAATTATTTTCGTAAATAATAATATTCATCACAAGAATTCAATTATTTTTAAAAGTAATAAATTTTCTCTTGAAAATTAAATTATTTAAAAAAATTCTAATAACATCGTTCGCAAGAATTCAATTATTTTCATAAATAATAAATTGCTTTTTAGGAATTCAATTATTTTTAAAAGAATTTAATAAAATTTTAATAGAATTCTTTGTAAAATTTAATTATTTTTTAAAACTTTTCGCAATTCAATGATTTTCAATATCTACTACATTTTTATAAAATTTCCAAACACAAATCAATTATTTAAAAAATTTTTTGTAAAATTCTTCGTAAGAATTCAATTCTTTTTATAAATAATAAAAATTTCTCAGGAATTCAATTATTTCAATTAGAATTTTCATAAAATTAGTCGAATGAAATCAATTATTTAAAAAATTTTATAAAATTCTTCGCAAGAATTCACTTATTTTTATAAATATTTAAATTCTTTATTCATAAATAGAAAGATTCGTTGCAGGAATTCAATTTATTAGCAGGATAAGAAAGAAGTAAGTATTTTTTTGATGAAAATTAGGAAAAAGTCAGGAAAGTAAAATACAGAATGGAATTTTTGTCAGTTTTGTAAAGTGTCTAAAAAGAGTTTTTTGGTCGTCAAGTTTAATTTCTCGATAGCTACTTTTTTACTACTTTTTTTTAGGTTGAAAGCTACTTTTTTCTACTTTCTTAAAATTAACCATCGAGTGCGAAGTATGAGTTAATTTAAACTTTCAGGAAATTTTTGCTGTGTGTCTTAATTGACAGTAGATTTTAAATAAAGAAAACTTTGCACAAACCTGTGACTGTGACAGAAATACGAGCTGTCATTTCAGTTGTATTTGAAGCACCCATATGACAACTCCAGTTACCATCGTGCGAGTTGTCAGCAACTTCAACAACAGCTCCACATTCACCAAACTCTAGGCCGGAGCCTTGATACGTAAGGTCTGTTGGTGATCTTCTGTTTTTCGATACTGAGTACGCAGTTCCGTTAGGACTTAAAAACCAACAGTAATCTAGAATTTGCCCTGCTAAACACTTTAGCTGAAAAATAACATTTTTAAGAACAACCTTTTATATAAAATACATGCCAAAATATTTATATCTAATAATATTTTTTGTTGCAAAATATTTGATAATAAAATTTGCTTTACCATGAATGGAGTTCCTTTCTGTACATACAGTTTGTTGCTTATAGCTGTATGTTGCTGCATAACGAGTACCCTACTTGAATCATCAATATTAAGAATACTTCCAAATATATCGTCTTTTATATGCATTGTACATTTCCACGGACTATAATCTTTTAAAGATGGTGATTTTATAGTCAGTCCGCAGTCGTATACTTTAAGAGTATCTAAATATTTGTCCTGTTGGTCACCATCTCCATAATATTGATACCTAATTCGAATGTTATAAATGTGAATGAAAGCAATAAGAATAAATTTATTGATTTTAAAAATTATTTAAAGTTTATAAGTTCTTAAAATATTTTTCTAAAATTACTTCTCGCTTCCTATTCCAGGAGTAACACTTAATGTAAAGTTATCAGATCTGGTAAAGAGACAGTATTTAGATGCTCTATAATATTGCTTCTCTTTGTATCGTACTTGACACAAAAGGTTTATTGAGTTTTCCGTCTGATGATAATTCACGGATGTAGTCAATTGATCTGAAAAGGCAAAAAAATGATACTTAAAATGTCATTCTTGGAAATCTGTAAAATACAATGTCACCGATAAAAGAGATGATTATTGAAAAGTTCTACCATAAGCTCGCTTTACCATAAGTTGTAACGTTTACAAAAGATGTCATTGAATCAGTGCTTCCAACAAACCCATAATTTAATCTCCAGACTCCATCATGGTATTTTGTAACATATGGAATTTCGTAGGAACAAGATTTAGATTGAATGGGCAACTTTTTTCCAGCTGGGTCTTCCAGTTGACAATAAGTCACTTTTGGCTCTGCCCTTTCATCTTTTGGAAAAATTATTACGTTTCTCTTACCTAGTGGAAAATGCTCCTGAATTTTAAAATAAACACTTGTTTTTAGAATCGTACACAATATGAAAGAATAGGCTTCGCCCTCATCTACTACAACCTACTATTTACTACTTTTTTTTTACGTTATGCTACTATTTGGGTACTTTCTTAGATTTCAGCCACTAAAAGCTACTATTTTTTTTTTTTTTTTTTGAGAATTTCCACTATACTTATTCGCTAATACTAGAAATAAAAAAAACTATTCTCAAAAATTATAATCAAATTCTCTAAAACGATTCAATTACTTTCAAAAAATATTTGAAATTCTATTTTCAATATTTAGTACATATTTTCATAAAATTTCGCAAAAGAATTCAATTAGTTAAAGTAACATTTTTATAATATTTATTATATTTCGAAAAAATTTATTATTTAAAACAATGTTTATAAAATTCTTATAAAGAATTCAATTATTTTTAAAAATAACAAAATTTTTCACAGAAATTCCATTCTTTTTTTTTACATTCTTTAAAGAAAATTTTTCGCAATAATTCAATTATTTTTAAAAATTCCAATAAAATTCTCTGCAACTATTCAATTATTTTCATAAATAATAAAATTCATCGCAGACTTTCAATTTTTTTAAATACAAAAAATATTTTAAATATACAATTTTACAAGATTGCTCAAAAAATGTAATTAAATATTCTGAAAAATTTAATTTCAATTCCACTAAAAAATCAATTATTTAAAAAAATTTTTTGTAAATTCTTTGGAAGAATTTAATTATTTACAAAAATATTAGAATTTATCACAGGAATCCAATTATTTTCAAAAATTTTAATAAAATTGTTCGAAAGAAGTCAATTCCCGAGTCGAAATTTAAGCCCTACTTTCACCCTGAATTTTCAGGGTCTATTGAGTGTTAGGAGTAGTAAAGTAGGGTCTAATTCTAATACGATTAGACCCTACTTTGACTCCCAAAATAGGCGGAAATTTGCCAATCTTCCATTTGGAGAAGCAAAGGAGGGTCTACTTCTAAGAAACCTATACCGTACTTTTAAACCTCGTAGACCCTACTTTCATACTCCTAGACCCTACATTCTAAAAGAAAATTTTGAATTATTTTTTAATGCATTACTTGAAACACTGCAAATGCAAAAAGTACTCCAAATTCATAAATACTGATGTGTTTTATAGCGTCTATATACACTTCGTGTATATAGACGCTATAAAACACATAAAATTCCACTTTTACTCATTCCTAGTGCTTCAATTGAATCTGAGCAAATCTTCAAATTTTTCTTTTTCTAATTGTAGGGTCTAGGAGTATGAAAGTAGGGTCTACGAGGTTTAAAAGTACGGTATAGGTTTCTTAGAAGTAGACCCTCCTTTGCTTCTCCAAATGGAAGATTGGCAAATTTCAGCCTATTTTGGGAGTCAAAGGAGGGTCTAGTTTTTAAAAATTGTATTGAAATCAGACCCTACTTTACGACTGCTAAACCTGAATAAGCCCTACATTTTCAGAGGCTAAGTAGGGTCTAAATTTCGACTCGGGTTATTTTAAATACAATTTTAATAAAAAATTTTTGAAATAATTCAATTATTTTGTAGATTTTAATAAAATTCTTCACAAGAATTTAATCATTTACATAAATAATTCTTCAAAAGAATTCAATTATTAAAGATAAATAACAAAATTATTCCCGAAAATTCAATTATTTTGAGGCATTTTAATAAAATTCTTTGCGAAATTCAATTATTTTTATAAATAACAATATTCATCACAAGAATTCAATTATTTTTAAAACTAATAAATTTCTTCTTGAAAATTCAGTCTTTTTTAACATTTTAATCAAATATTTCGCAATAATTCAATTATTTTCATAAATAACAATTTCTTCTCAAGAATCCAATTATTTTTGAAAACTTTAATAAAATTCTTTGCAACTATTCAATTATTTTCAATTATTTTCAAATAATAAAATTCATCGCAGGATCTCAATTATTTTTAATACAATTTTACAATTTTAATTTCAATTCCTCGAAAATATCAATTATTTACAAAAATATTAGAATTTTTCACAGGAATTCAATTATTTTAAAATATTTTAATAAAATTGTTCGAATTATATCAATTATTTTAAATACAATATTTTAATTACATGTTTTTGAAATAATTCAATTATTCTTTTAGAGATTTTAATAAAATTCTTCCCAAGAATTCAATTATTTACATAAATAATTCTTCGAGAAAATTCAATTATTAAAGATAAGTAACAAAATTATTTCCGAAAATTCAATTATTTTCATAAAAGTCTAAAATATTCAACACAAGAATTCAATTATTTTTAAAAGTAATAAGTTTCTTCTTGTAAATTCAATTATTTTCAAAAATTTTAATAAAATCTTTAGCAAGAATTGAATTATTTTCATAAATAATAAAATGCTTTTTAGGAATTCAATTATTTAAAAAAAAAATTAATAGAATACCACACAGATATTTAATTATTGTCAAAAATTTGAATAGGATTCTTTGTAAAATTTAATTACTTTTAAAAACTTTTCGCAATTCAATGATTTTCAATATCTACTACATTTTTATAAAATTTCCAAACAGAATTCAATTATTATTTATAAAAATTTTTGTAAGAATTTCCTTATGAATTCAATTCTTTTTATTAATAATAAAAATTTCTCATGAATTCAATTATTTAAATTAGAATTTGCATAAAATTAGTCGAAAGAAATCAATTATTTAAAATTTTTTATAGAATTCTTCGCAAGAATTAAATTATTTTTATAAATATTTAAATTCTTTCATGAATAATAAAATTAGTTGGAGGGATTCAATTCATTAGTAGGAAAACAAAGAAGTAAATATTTTTGATGAATATTAGGAAAAAATTAGGAAATTTTTTTCGATAAGCTACTGAATTTTTTAAATCTTTTTTAGGAAAATCTGCAAAGCTACTTAAGACTAATATTCTATTTAGTTAAATTAAATCGTTTCTGTTTTATTTTGTATGTTTTTTATTGCATGAAGAAAGTGCCCCACAAATTTTAGAATGTTGGAAAAAAGTACTTTTACTTATTTTGGATACAGTAATTAAATTTAGAACTTGATATTATCATAGTTTTGGAATTAAAAAAAATTTATATTTACCACTTGCGGCATATGATTATTTTCTGAAGAAATAAAGCTTATTTCGAAAGACATCTTGTATATTTCATGACTGTTAATATCTGAAGCATAAAGATGCAAATAATTGCTGAAGTCTGTTTCGTTACGCTGAATTTTTACACCACATTTATTAGATTCATTTATTGATAAGTGATTGGCTTTTTCTGATAAAATGTCATAATAATGTGTGTTGTGATAATCAGTCTATAATATGTAGAAAATATTAATTTTTTATCGTTATAAGCATACGCAATGTATGATAAACAATACTTTGTTCAAAAATAAAAAAAAACTATGAAAAAAAAATAAAAAAATTTATTACTAAAGTAATAAAAGTAAAGTAAGTAAAGTAAATTATAAAAAATAGTTACATACGTAAACTTGAAGCATGCAGACTTCTAATTTAGGGAAATGCAATGGTAGTTTTAGAATTGCATACTGATTCTCATAAATGTTTATTCTTACAATATCTTCGAATTCTTTCAGCTGTTAATTAAAAAAAAAATTGCATTTTATTATAACTACGTTTTGTACTATACTAGCTTTTTATTAGCTTTTGGACAATTTGTTAACAATTTGTTAACAATTTGTTGCATTATGTAAATGATCCGATTAATTGAAATGTTCAAACTTACGTTCTTTATTTGAATATAAATCTTTCTGTCCACTACTAGGTTGTTAGTAGTTTCAATATTTATTGACCACAATCCATTTAGTTCAGCAGAAGGGTCGTTGATTTTTATGTCATATCCATCAAATTCATCATAGTTCAAAGCTATGTTCACTGAAGGTTCAGTTTCATTAACTGGCACGGTTACATTCTCTCCTTTATTTGTTGTTAGACTACAACTTTTTACAGTTTCATCATTTAGTCGAAGTGGCAAATAAATTCTTTTTGCTCCAATATTTTGTTGAACAAGATAAACTGAAAGCACAAAAAGTCACTCGCGTTAAACTTCTCTACGAAAATTAGAATTTTAATTTTATCAAACTAGTTTATAGAACATTTCCATAATCATTTTTAATGATGGCACTATTGTTCCTAATTCAAGTGATTCAGATATTCTATCCGAGATTGAAGTAATGAGAATTTCTTGATGTTAACAAGAGACTCGGGAAAGATTTACGTATGCTTTTTAGAAGATAAAGTTGAGGGGTGATGAAAAAGGAGCTAGAAACAACCCTACAGAGGAAGGGTGGAACCGAGGAAAAACCATAAATTTAGCAATTTACCGTCTGCCCCATGGACGATTTGTGCGGCCACAAAGCACGCAAAAATAATGAACCACTTCATTCCGTATCCACAGAGACTTTGATATGACATATTGATTGAGTGACTTCCTTTATATTGAGATAATCAGTTTCTTATCGCTTTACATTACACCTTATTTTATATAAAAACTAATTAACGGATAAATCTCTTATTTTAAACTTTTCACCTATTAAGACCTTTTCACTATTACCCGTGTAGAAATCACCATGCTATGCCTAAAATGATTATTGGCCCTAGCTTGGACCTAACTTGGCAACCCCTTTTTATATATCCTAGGCTGGTCCTAACTTGGTACTAGCTAGGAGATCCAGTTATGACTTAGAAAAATTTTTAGGAAAATGAAGTGTCAAAATTGATACATGAAAAACATGTAAAAATTGATAAATATTCTCAATTAATATTTATAAAATTAATTTATAATCATATTTGTTTAAACAATTTATTGTTTGACATAAATCAGAAAATTATACAAATACTATAAAATAAAGTTAATTTATTAATTTATTAATTCAGCAGTTGTTTAAACAAATAATTGTTATTTACTAACTTTTTACACAATCAACCTAGAAACTAGCAGTTTTTTCTAATTTTGCAATAAGTAAATACTCAGATTAGTTAATTGCAAAATTTTAAAAGACTACAAGTGTCTAGACGCTTTATTGTCTTAAGAATTAATAAATAACAACCATTTTTTGTTTAAACAAATGCTGAATTGTTAAAATTATAAATTATCTTCATATTTCACTACTCAAGTGTAATAATCGCGAAGTTAGATAGAAACTGCAAATTTTTAAGTAATTTGTTACAAAAGTTAATATAACAGCAAAATTTATTTATTTATTTAAACAGATACAGACTGCAATATAATTATCATTAGTAAAATATATTTCTAATTTCGTTCGCTGATTTTCAGTTTCGTTTAAGTTGGTGCTAAACACTAAGAGATATTGCAATTCGAATGTGGGCTGACCCACCCAGGTCCAACCCAGGACCTACCTGGGCTTCCTAGTTTCATTAGTAAAAATTTCTAAGTCCAAGTCTAAAAAATTTTTTGCAACAAAAAATTAATGCTTAAAATGATTTAGAATAATGAAAAACGTGTTTTTAACATAATTTTTTTTTACATTTTTTTAAAAAGTGGATCACCCGCTTAATTAATTAGGAAAAATTTCCAAGTCCAAAAGACGAATATTTTTTTTAGACCAAGAAATTAATGTTGAAAATGATTGAGAACAATGAAAAACCTGTTTTTAACGAAAATGTACAGATATTTTTTTTCTTGATATAATATAAAAATATTAATTTTTGAATTTTTATATTTTGATATTATTTTATTATTATTGTTGTTGTTAAACTATTTTTTTATTTATTATCGTGTATTAGTGTCAATAATTACTATATTGAATCATCAAAAGCAAGTTCACAAGTCACTGACAATAAAAATTTTGATCTCAACTAGTTTCATTAGCATAGTGGTTAGGGCGTTAGTCTCGTAGTCCGTAGGTCGTAGGTTCGATTCCCGCGTGCGTTAGATTTTATTTACTTCTTAGGTTTGCGTTTATTCCGATTTTTCTGCGTTGTTTTCGTATAAGTAAGCAATTTAATGATTATATATACTGTAAAATAATTTAATTAACAAGTTTCTAATTTTTTTTATAATTTTTAATGTATATATTAGAGGAATATATATTAATCTCTACATATACTAACATTATTTATGAATTCGCTTTTGGTCATCACTTAATTGAAAAAAATAATAATTAATTAAAACTAATACTTATTATTAATAATTTAGGTTATTTCTTTAACAAATATTATTAACTAATTAAAATTATAATGAAATAGAAAATACTGTCTGAGATGGTCCTTTCTAGGTCCTAAAATGGACCCATAAACTGGTCCTAACTAGGCTCCCAAGTTAGGACCAGACTAGAATCGCATCACCACCCATTTTTGGTCCAACCTACACTGCCAACCTAGGACCAAGCTATTAACAGGGCAAAATAGGTAGGACCTGGCTAGGACCAATTTTCATTTTCCACACGGGTAAGTTTAAATACTGATTGTTTCATTTTTGGATGATTTTTATTGTATCCTCAAAGATAAGACGTGTATTTACTTTGTAATAGTTTCATGAAAACATTATCTTCACACGTTGAAATTGAGAGAATATTTCAAAGTTCATTATTTTTATAATATTTATGATAATTGAACAAATTATTTTATTATTCAGGGTTGCCACGCGCTCATTTCAAATTCTCTGAATTTTCCAGGTTTTCCAGATTAAAAAACGGAATGTTTCCAGGTTTTTAAAGCAATATTTTTATGTACCAAATTAAATTTCTTCCTGATTTCCAAACAAAACTTTGACTTTCTCCCTCACTCTAAAGAATATTCTGATTCACTAGCAAAATGATTAGATACACAAAAAAAATATTCTATTATATTTACGAATTTCTTTAATTGAAAAATTATTCGAAAATATCAATAACTTCATTTTTAAATAAATATTTAATCACTATTTTGCCACAGGAATTAAGATTTTCAAAAATTAAAAATTCAAACCTTTTCAAAATTCAATTTTTTCTAAAAATTTACGCTAAAAATTCATGCTTTTAATATTCAATTATTATCTCAAATTTTAACTAAAATTCATTTTTATGAAATGAAAATCAATTTTTATTAGAAAATTCTACTAGAATTCAATTATTTAAATACAAATTTAAATGTAAAAATGCAAATAAATAATTTATTGAATAATTGAACTTCTCTTAAAATTCAATTCCCATAAATAAATCGTTATCAACAAATTTCCAAATAATTGAATTCTGTCAATGAATATTAATAAAATTTTTAAGAATAATTACATTTTTCGAGAAATTTGATCAAAATTGTATTAAAAATAATTTAAATTCTGCGATGAATTTTATTATTTGTGAAAATAATTAAATAGTTGCTAAGAATTTTATTAAAATTTTCAAAAATAATTGAATTATTGCGAACGACTTTATTTGAATTTTTTAAAATAATTGAATTTCTAAGGAGAAATTTATTACTTTTAATAATAATTGATTTTTTCTAATGAATATTGTTATTAAACAAAATAATTGAATCTGGCAAAGAATTTTATTAAAATGTATAAATATAATTCAATTTTCAGGAATAATTTTGTTATTTATGGTTCTAATTGAATTCTTTCGAAGAATTATTATTTATGTAAATAATTGAATTCTTGCGAAGAATTTTATAAAAATCTAAAAGAATAATTGAATTATTTAAAAAAACTTTAATTAAAATTGTATTTAAAATAATTGATTTATTTCGAACAATTTTATTAAAATTTGTGAAAATAATTGGATTCCTGTGAAAATTTCTAATATTTTTGTAAATAATTGAATTCTTCCAAAGAATTTAAAAAAACATTTTCTTAAATAATTGATTTTTTCGTAGAATTGAAATTAAATTTTTTAAAATACCCGTGTAGAAATCACCATGCTATGCCTAAAGTGATTATTGGCCCTAGCTTGGACCTAACTTGGCAACCCCTTTTTATATATCCTAGGCTGGTCCTAACTTGGTACTAGCTAGGAGATCCAGTTATGACTTAGAAAAATTTTTAGGAAAATAAAGTGTCAAAATTGATACATGAAAAACATGTAAAAATTGATAAATATTCTCAATTAATATTTATAAAATTAATTGATAATCATATTTGTTTAAACAATTTATTGTTTGACATAAATGAGAAAATTATACAAATACTATAAAATAAAGTTAATTTATTAATTTATTAATTCAGCAATTGTTTAAACAAATAATTGTTATTTACTAACTTTTTACACAATCAACCTAGAAACTAGCAGTTTTTTCTAATTTTGCAATAAGTAAATACTCAGATTAGTTAATTGCAAAACTTTAAAAGACTACAAGTGTCTAGATGCTTTATTGTCTTAAGAATTAATAAATAACAACAATTTTTTGTTTAAACAAATGCTGAATTGTTAAAATTATAAATTATCTTCATATTTCACTACTCAAGTGTAATAATCGCGAAGTTAGATAAAAAACTGCAAGTTTTTAAGTAATTTGTTACAAAAGTTAATAAAACAGCAAAATTTATTTATTTATTTAAACAGATACAGACTGCAATATAATTATCATTAGTAAAATATATTTCTAATTTCGTTCGCTGATTTTCAGTTTCGTTTAAGTTGGTGCTAAACACTAAGAGATATTGCAATTCGAATGTGGGCTGACCCACCCAGGTCCAACCCAGGACCTACCTGGGCTTCCTAGTTTCATTAGTAAAAATTTCTAAGTCCAAGTCTAAAAAATTTTTTGCAACAAAAAATTAATGCTTAAAATGATTTAGAATAATGAAAAACGTGTTTTTAACATAAATTTTTTTGACATTTTTTTAAAAAGTGGATCACCCGCTTAATTAATTAGGAAAAATTTCCAAGTCCAAAAGACGAATATTTTTTTTAGACCAAGAAATTAATGTTGAAAATGATTGAGAACAATGAAAAACCTGTTTTTAACGAAAATGTACAGATATTTTTTTTCTTGATATAATATAAAAATATTAATTTTTGAATTTTTATATTTGGATATTATTTTATTATTATTGTTGTTGTTAAACTATTTTTTTATTTATTATCGTGTATTAGTGTCAATAATTACTATATTGAATCATCAAAAGCAAGTTCACAAGTCACTGACAATAAAAATTTTGATCTCAACTAGTTTCATTAGCATAGTGGTTAGGGCGTTAGTCTCGTAGTCCGTAGGTCGTAGGTTCGATTCCCGCGTGCGTTAGATTTTATTTACTTCTTAGGTTTGCGTTTATTCCGATTTTTCTGCGTTGTATTCGTATAAGTAAGCAATTTAATGATTATATATACTGTAAAATAATTTAATTAACAAGTTTCTAATTTTTTTTATAATTTTTAATGTATATATTAGAGGAATATATATTAATCTCTACATATACTAACATTATTTATGAATTCGCTTTTGGTCATCACTTAATTGAAAAA